TCTCTGGATTGTATTGATCGACAAAAACGGAGCTCTTAAGCCAAGTTTTCAATTACACGATTAAAACTGATTATTACGTACAATATATCTTATTAGTGACAAAACATTTTCTACCGACAATGATCTTATTGTATCAATTCTGATTTTTTCGTTCCTTATTGTGTAGTTTTGTTACGTTATCGAGTGATCTCGGAGTGTGCGCGCGCAAGGCAGTGTGACCCTGTGACGAGTGGCTGACTTCGATGTGTGTGTACACGTTTCACTCTAGGTTCTAGATTTCGTAAACACAAAACAATGAATTGAATGATTTTTGTGACAGATATTCGGATTCAGTATCACAGTGAGACTTTATAAAACGAGAATCTAATTCCATTGTTTTAAGTGTTAATTATTTCATGTCACGAGAGAGGGTGTTGTATTGGCGTGAAGCTTAACCGTTACGGAGTGAAGTGTTCAAGTGTTTTCATTACTGAAATCTGTGCTCGTTATTTGAGTGATTTCATTGTTTTAAGCAAAGAATGTGTTACTCTTAATACAATTTGTGAAAAATATATTCCTACAAATAATACCACACCCCTTTTTAATGTTCAATATAGTATTAAAATCACCTTATATGGATATTTACGTAAATAATAAAGAGTGACAATCCACTCTGAATATTTAAACTAATGATATGAGGCCGATATGAGTTTTATTCTTGCTATATATTGTGGGATTTTGAAAAGAAAACAATTTACAGCCCTTATATTATTTTGAGGGCCACCGAAGCCTTCAATTACGTTAATATAATGAGTGGTCGGTCTGTAAACAGCAGTAGCATTGCAGTGACGACGAGAACAGAAGGCAGTGTCCGACAACAGAGTAGCTGTGCGGTGCCGAACGGAGTTAAATTCGCTGGCGAAGAGTCCAAAGATAAAATGTACGAGCCCAAACACACAAAGAAACTTGTCAGAGTCCTCACTGTGGTTGCCTACGTGTTTTCTGTCTCACTAGCAGCCATTATGTTGTCTGTATATTACGTATTTTTGTGGAATCCAAAGGATATCCATCACCGAGCTGTACACATCACTACTCCAAATCCAAATTCATCTCCTGGCTCTAGCTGTCCTCAGATCATCGCAGCTTCCATTCAGGAACAAATAAATAGTCAAGGTAAAACATTAATCGCACTTAATTTACTGTTCTTTAAGAAGAAACTGTGGTCTAAAACACGAGAAGACAGTTCCATCAGGCACCAAACGTAAGAATGATCTCCTCTCCCAAGTCTTAATGGGGCGTGTTTAATTAAGCACAGATACAAGTGTACGTTCTATATTTGAGGAGCGTTTCCCACGAAAATTTGTAAAAATTCGCATATTATCTTACCCACGTCTTCTCTAAATTATGTCCGTCTGTCCGATGGGATAAATGTAACTATTATAGAATCGATCAAGGGATTTGTATGAAATTGGTGAGGATTATTGAAATCTGTGATCTTCTCAGTTAAAACTCGCTAAATATTTATCGGAGCGAAAAATATTTTGAAATGACTTGTAGGGAATGAAATACATTTTATGTGCAATATACTTTTGTTTCTGTAAGTCTCGAGGTTTTCGAGATAAAAGAAGATTTTTATGTTCTCGTCTTTTTTTCTGGAGAACCGATTGTATTCTCGGCTTGTCAAAGAATATCCCACTTAGCATCAAACGTAGGGATTTACTTATTGAAAATCTATAGAAAATAACAGCTAATGTGCCATAATTACTAAGCTATGCCTACATTTCCTAGCTTGTTATTTTATGGCTACAGTTCTTCAGATTGCAGGGTTTGATTAGTCCAATAACAGTAAAGTATTCATGACAATAAAACTACTCCAGTTAAAACAAAATACATGGTTTAAACATAGAATCAAATAGAAATTGGGATCACTGCCAAACACTACAAAAAAAAAACTGCATACCGTATTTAAAATCCATTTTACCAGACTTTTTCTCGTGCTATAAGCCTCGCCTTTCGTAACTTCATCGTAAGAATTCCACAAGCTATAACACATGTCTAATTATTTATCATAAATGCAAATGCATGAATATATTATGGTTACGTGACATGGTTCATATTGTACATGCGCATTCTGCCTGCCGTGTTTAAATATTCTTTCCCAGAAAGCATTTCGCATATGCCATAGCCGGGAAGTAACGTTTACAACAGTTGCTAGTGAATTCTCACATAAACAGAGCTAAATTTACTTCCAGGACCTGCCTGCAAGGGGCACGAGCAGAAAGCTCTCTCCAGAAGACCATTCAAGTATTTTTAACGCCGAACACCAGAAAATATTAAAGCTATCAAGCACGATGTATTGGTTCAAGTATGCACGTACTGAAGGCGATTACTAATTTCTGCACTTTATGGTTTCTGTATTAGAATTCTTGGAGCCAAATGTACTACTGACGAAACAAACGCAAGATAAGGCTAGACGTCTGATAATATACTATAAGTTTTATTCATTTATGGTAATACTGGTCTAACTTGCTTGAAATATAAGACTGATTGTAAAGTTGTTCGCGAATAGAATAGAAAATTCAAAACTGACGATCTTTGAATTTATCTGTACTGCTGAAATAACTGGGTCCCAGAGCAGGAAATTTTATAATGTACTGACAGTGTTTGTATGAAAGAAAATGTTTTGTTATTGTCATTATTATTATAATTATTATTATTTAACATTAAACATTAATGTTAATATTGTTTTGCCCGCCCTACGTGAAGTGTCACGTGTAAATTAGCGCGAGGTATAAGGACCACAATTTGTGAAACACTGCTCTTAATTAATTAATCCGCTTAACAAGGACGAACTCACAAATAAACGGATAATCATAAATGAGACGCAGATAAGACGCTCTGCAGTACAACACAGAAGCGTTTCGTTTTATTCCGAAAGCAACCAACAGCTTTTATTTACAGTCATTGGTATGTTAAATTTCACGATTTTTTTACGTATTGACTGTGAACGAAACTTCATTCTTGGCTGGAAGGAAGAGTGTCCCTTTTGAATTTTAATGATTTATCGTTCCTTCCTCTGAATAGTAAGAGTATATCTCTTTAACTTCATGTTTTAACCATCAGGAAGCCTCTGAACTGTGGGCAAAATGACTTACACAGCGGTTCTCAACTTCTTTTCATATGCAGATAAGATAAAGTTGGGAACACTGCGGAAATAATAATAAGCTCGTATATCAGAGAGCCCGTTCGAATTTGAAAGATGACTGACACAGGCCGTATATATTTATGCTTTCGTTTTCCAAATTTCCATTTAATACCAAACTTTCTCAGTTTGAAGCGACATATTTTATCTTATATCGCTTAAAACGTATGAAATTAAGTTGGTGATAGAGACATCTGTTTTGAATAGATATTAAATCTGACCTTTCACATTAGGGGAAGAGAAAATGGTGCTGAGGAAAACCACAGATCTTGAATTTGCGTAATGATGAGCTTCATAATTTGGACTTCTCACCAAAAAGTATTACGAAGATAAGATCAATTAGGATGAGACTGAAATGGCATATAGCACCCATGGGAGAGATAATAAATGTACACAAAATTTTGATTTCAAGATCTTAAGGGAAGAGTCCACTCTGTAGACCCGAGTGTTTTCTCCTGAGCATGTGTACAGCGTGTATATTGAGTAAATTAAGCACAAAAAATTGTCTAGATACACATTTTATAAGAACACACATAGCTAATCGGACATAGTCCATGGATAACAATAAATGTCATGTTAAAAGAATATATGTGTAAATGTTCCAGTACTGACAACAGATATAAAAGTAAATGTCATGTTAAAAGAATATTTGTGTAAATGTTCCAGTACTGACAACAGTTTTGAACCCAAAAAAAGCGCTACCAACTGCAATATCTATTCTTTCTGCAGATGTTTCAATAAAAGCTGAGAATCCGGTACCTCATTTGCAGCCATCTTCAACGTCAACTACACCAAACCAGCAAGTGACCACAAACTCTACACTGGACCACCTTCTTGACACCTAACAAGGTAAAGAGATATATTAAAGGTTAAATGAGTTTTAAATATTGTGCTTCTCTTTAACATCATACAAAAGGGTGCTTAAACTATCCAAAATTGGAGAAATAAAACGCTAATGTGAATCAGAACTCACGAAACATCTCAAAAGCACGTGGTTTAACAGATTTGTGAAGTTTCGTCTTGATTTAAAACTCCTTCATGTGCTGATCAGTTGATCTTGAAGGCAGGCACGTCATAAAGGCAACGGTTAACCCGAACCTGACGCATAATATTGATGGTTAATGACTCCAAACAATATTTATTTTTGAGGTTAAGTATATTTTATCTTCAACTTTACAAATATCAAACTAACATAAAAGTGTTGAACAGCGTGCATCATTCTTATGTAATTAATATTTTCCAGGGTTTGAAAATGTCAACACATCGTGACATAACAAAATATTCAAGAAAACTGCAGAGAATGAAGATTGTTGATACTGATTACACCATCACAGGTTACTTTATGTAAAGCAGATGAAACTTACGAGGAAAAAAAAACAGTTTATTTATCGGTAGATTATAGTCACTTTCTCTATGGCAAGATATATTATATATTATAATGACAAGATCCAGCCATCAGTCTGTTTTCGAACATTTCTTTAAATTTAACAGAGTGTTGTGTCATCTCTTTTTAAAATGGTATATGTGATACATTAAAAATGATACTCTACTGTATAAATATAATTTAACTCCCAAATACATTTGACATTTATTCATTATGTATCGTATTATAATGTAACAAAAAATCTATGATAATTTCCTTCTCTTTAACATTTAAATTATAGCTTCCATTTAACAAATTTCATAGATGATACAACCTAAATAAATGTAATTTATTGTATGATGCCATGATTCAAGATTTTATATGCTGTATAGAAATATTTGTTGTAGAACGTTTCATAAGATAAACGTTTTATAGTAATTAGGGATACAGTTTATAATTGTAAACTTCAAGTGAACTCCAGTAAACTTTACAGTAAATATCAGTGGGAACAAAATACAAGCTAGACACATGAGTCTTATCTCTGAGGTTATCATTAATTAACTTTACACTGGCTAAGGCTAATAATTAAGGCTTAACCAGTCTTTCTCTCTTCATGCCATGTTCCTTTCTTATTACTGTTAACTCCCCCCACCTCATGTTTCTCCTGCTGATAAAAAAATCAGTAGTCATGATGTAAGGATGCTAAATACTTTGGTCATTGACTCTAATTGAGATTATGGTTACAACATTTCAGATCCTACCTCTGTATTGATCCTCTAGTAAAAAACAAGGTAGGACAGGGAATACCTACTCAGCTTGCCCTTATCACTATAAACACTAAAATGGCATTCAGAATATGAAAGAGCAATTTTAAGGTTATGTAAATGTCTGCAGCGCAATCTTGTCATTTGAATGTGTTATTGTTATGCAGTACATTGCTGAAACAACTTTCTTTCCTAATAAGTTGATTGTTTCATGTAAGGTAACAGTATTATGCAAACATTTAACACTATATTATATGACAATTCTTCAGTAGGTATGTATTGTTTATACTAATAACTAACTAGATGGCTTACCGAACCCAAAGGTTCATCACCGACTTAACCAAAGCCCTCCACCGGAACCCTGTCCTGGGCCAACAAAATCCAGTCTCCTTCAACTCCTATCTCCCATAGATCCCGCCTGACATTATCCTCCCATCTACGTCTAGGTCTCCCCAGCAGTCTCTTCCCCTCAGGCTTGCCAACCAATAAGTTTATACTAATACATTTCAGAATTGTTTTTACTTAAAATTTGCACAAACCTGTGAATGTTAGTATTATTGACAATGATTTTTCTTAATTTATTACTTCAGAATATGAATACATGACACACCTTCTTCATATGGCCTTACAGTGACCAGCCAAAAATAGGAGTTAAAAAACTGTGAAAAGATAATTATGAGTGAAAGTATCATAGTTCCATTTTTTTTATTTTCATATACATTGACCATGAGGAGAGAAAAATTATGTATATTATTCTGTTTGGGTATTTCTGTGGAATCACACTATGAAAAGTTACATTTCAACAAGATAAAACGTCACCTTTGAGATTACTTCTGATGCTCTAATGAAATGAACATCCTAATTAAAAAGTATTTATAAAAATATAGTTTTTTAATATTGTTCTAATAGCTATGCTGTGTATATTACAGTATTGTACACCTGTGTATTTTTTTCTTGATATAATTTTCCAATAAAACAGAAAAATCAATCTGATATTCCCTCTCTTGTACTTTTACGTGATCCTGAATGTGACTTGTCTTCTAGAATGTTGCCGTAGTCTGGTACACGTTTACTATAGTTTCATAGGTGCTTGCTGTCTGAATCATCAGGGTCACCTGATGATGGAGTCGGCAAGGACCTCTGAATCATTGGTAAACTTGTACCAGACTACACATTGCAACATCCCAGAAAACAAGTCATCTTCATACTTGCCACCATGAGAACCTGAAATCTCATCAAGGCATAATTTTCTCAAGCACTTTAACAGGTACTGTATATAAGCTGAGTCTGCTGACAGAACAGTGACTGACTAGGAACTGTAGTCGAAGTCTCCCATCTAATGTTCACATTAAGAATTTGTAGTGGTTTACCTCCATTCCCCAATAAGCTTTTATGGTATAGCACAGGGGCAATTTTGCTCTGTTTAAATGCAGTGTACACCACCACCACCACCATCATCCTCTTAAATTAATAGATAAACAATACTTTTAACCCATTTTATAGATCATCATACATGTCATGAACTTCTGAGATGATTGTATTGACATTTTTGCTGCTATGAGAATCTCAAATATGATACAGTACAAAGTACAAATCATTTATCTCCATATAATTGATTAGGTCCAATATAAAGACAGCATTGGGATATTTTTGGCTCTGACATATGTTAAGTTATTCCTATGAATTATGGTTGGACCACATAATGGCAGTACGAAAATTGTCAAGTGGTCACGTTCGTTTCTAAAGTGATTTTTATGTCGTAGCGGTGTTCATGTTTATTCTTCAGATAACCTTCCTTCTGCCTTCAGCTCCAAAATAATAGCCATATGGTTCTTACCGTTTCACTCTCAACTTATCTCAAGGTCAGTAGTAATGATATACTGGCGTACCATAAACTTGTCTAGTTGGAGTGTTTACTTCCACCGAAGTGCTCGTCCGTGAATTCACATATTCTTCAGGAACGTAAGAAAGGGAAAACTGGTGTCGTAAGTTCTATATTAAACGAAATATTATTTACTACGTGCAACGGATGTGGCACAGGTCTGTGAGTTTTGTACCACACTCGTATTACTAATGAATCAGAAACGAGTTTCAGGACGAATTTCAGTGCGATCGTGATCAAATTGGACCTTGTCTTCGAAGCATGTTCCATTTTATAAAATGCGTTTTAGTGACAACGCCTAATTGGCAGCGGTAGCAGTCCTTGGGGTGTGAGAAATGAGGAATATTATATTTTAAACTGTATCGATTCTTGCTTTGGGAATTTAATCGTGCTATTTCAGTAGCTGTTACTATGTAATTAAATCACTTCATTGACTTTTCTGGACATGTGATTATACAGGCCCGTAAAATCCATTCGTGTTTACCGATTTTCTGCGTTTCTCTGGCCCTGGTATTGTTGCTAGGCTATTATAAAGTTTTTTATGTTGCTTATGTCCATGGCGATTTCGTTGCTTGGCAACCACTTTATTTTTTAAAAATAATCACTATGTGGCGCCATGGCTATAATTGCTAGAAAATGTGTGTGGTTTCATCCCATTGTTTTTAGAAGAAATACAAAAGCATTTAGCAACTTCCTTACCAAAAAAAGAGCTCAAATGTTAGTTTGTAAAAATTATATTCATGGCCACAAATATTATGACACCCATACTGAGAGAAAATTTTAACCATATGTGGAAAGCTTGAAATCATGGTGTCAAACATATATCATGGCTCCCTTGATTCAGTGGAAAATCTATGGTTTAAAAGATCTCAGTATAAGCTGTTGTGGACTGACATTCTTATATAAGAAATGGTTTAATATTGTTTTGTATGGGTAATGTGCAGCTGTTTCAGTCAATCCTATATATGTCATGGCATCCCAACACATAATAAGTGGCCCAGAAGTAACAACAATAGACACTTCTCTTGGAAAGAGTCTATACCAGAGCTTGGTAAACCATGGAAATAACATAGCTATGGTAGGTGTACACTACTTTTGTAATATCATGATGCATGGAATGTGTGAATTAGATGAAAGTACATCACTCAGTCAAGTTTCATGTCATTTTAAATGAGCTACAACTCTCTTCATATTGCTGCTAGTTAAAAATCAGTATTTATTTTTCTTTAATAATGTAATGCTAATAGATTTTCATAAGTATAATTATAAAGATTTTACATGCAGTGTTCCAAAAATGTAACATTAACTTGAGGTAAGAATGATTTAACAGAGGCCCCATATCTATTTAATTAAAACAACTGCTGTATATGTTCCAAAGTCTGTACTAAAATGCATCTTTATGAAATTTCTGTGAAATGTCAGTGGAACAGAAATTTATGGTCACTTTGACGCTGAGGTCCAGTTACTACTAATAAGTATAAGATGGGCATGTTGAGCTGCTCCTTAGGAAATTAGTTAATATCTGATTTTAACTTTGTATAAAATAAGAATTATATTTAACCACTATGAATCAAAATTCAATTTGTGTAACAATATTTACGGTAATCCTTCACTACCAAATTTAAGAAGTCTGTTACCAGTTCAACAATTATAACATTTGGGCAGGCACGTGTCCTTCTGTCCATTTACTTTGTGCACAGAGCATATTATAATCAGAAACAGTTCACAAATAATAATAAATGGCAGGCCCTCATCTTTTCCATAACTGTCTGTGACATTTGCACAGTAACAACTATTAATTTTTTCTTATTCCGCAAAGAAAGACTTTTATTTCTAGTAATGAACTTATAGGTGGATGCACTAACAGGAGAAACCAGAACATTTTCTGATATTTTAACAAGAAGTCTCAGTGTAGCAGAGTGTCTTCACATACGGGGCGTGACAATTGGGGATGTAGTGGGTATCTGCAGTGAGAACAATCTTGACTTTATTTTACCAGTCCTGGCTTCCTATTACATCGGTGCAACATGCGCACCACTGAACCCATACTATACTACTCGTAAGTACCAACAAGAGTATATTTAATCTGTCCTTTTCCTGTTTTGAACTAAAATTCTCAAGTTTTCTGGCCGTTGACTAATTTAAACTTATTAAGCTGTTTAACATTCAAAATCTGTAAAGCAAAACTTGTTCTGATTTAAATGCACTGCCTAGCTTCAGAAGAAACACAGGAGTACTAAAAACATCTGCACATTAATAGTGTCAGTTAAACATCAGTGAACTAGCCTATTAATCTATGATACTGTACAGGATTATAAACATTTGATTTTTTTTTTTAAATTCTGCTGTTTTTTTCTCCCCCCACCCCTCACTATCTGATTTGCCGTATTTCCATCATCTGTCATCCTTAATGTTTCAGTTAATTCTTTTATTCATACTCTCACATTTTTCTTAAGTCTGCACCTTTATTCTATGGTAACTAAAGCATTTTCTTTGGCATTTAGATTTACTTTCATAATTTATATTCCTTGACTTTAGCTAAAAATATGTTTCCCTTCTGACCATCCTTTTTTCTTTATATAGACCATGATATTCTTCCATGTTTCATGCAATAAATGCCTGTAATCATGAAAATCATGTACTGTCACTCTACTATTTGCAGGTGAACTTCTTCATGCTGTCAATATATCTAAACCACGCATTATATTTTGCTCTGATGGAGCACTGAAGAGTGTGGATGAAATTTCACATCAAGTTGGATTCCTGAAAGAAATTGTAACTTTTGGATTTCCATTATCACATAAACACACTCCATTTATTAGTTTTGTGCGAGACAAATCACGCAGTTTCCAACTACCGGATGTTAATGATTTAAATATTACAGCTGCAATTCAATGCTCCAGTGGAACAACTGGGTTGCCAAAGGGTGTGATGCTTACACAGCGGAATATACTTAGTATTCTGCAAACTGCAAAGTAAGGATAGTTGAAACTTCTCATGATTAATCATACTTCATAAAATTATACATTCAAGTTAAATAAGTCTGAAGTGTATACAGGTATCCAGTAATATCCAGATATTGAAGCTGTTTTAGAGTTAAATCAAAGGAAGTAAGGTTTGTGATTAAAATTATCCACGTGTTGATTGCGTTTTTCTAAATATCCAAAATCTATATACACAAATGTTGTTACATTCACAGCGATCCCAGGTTCACTATTACGAAGCCTGGAGATGTACTTCTGGCATTACTGCCTATGTTTCATTCATACGCATTTATCTGTCAATTAATTTCAACTACTCATGGGTCAAAGGTTGTAGTTATGAATAAATTTGAAGAGGAGCTATTTCTGAGAAGCATTCAAAATCACAAGGTAAGAATCCAGTAGCTACCCTGGCTTTTCTTGAAAGTAAACCTTGGTCTTCGAGTTTTAATCTTGATTCACAATAATGGTACCAAGTTAGGATATTTCTTTCAGTGTGAAGATGGTCGTCTTCTGGGTTGTTGCGCCATGTAGTCTGGTAGAAGTTTACTGACGTTTCAGAGGTCCTTGTTGCCTCCGTCATCACTCTGATGACAGAAGACAGCCATCTTCAGACTCACTGCTGTGAAAACCTAAAATCCTACATTCTTTCAGCTTACACTTACATTACGTTAAATCATCGGGGTACTTCAGCACAGGTTTTGCTGGGTTTGCCCTAGTTTTTTTTACAATATTTGTTGGAAGAAACAAGTTTTCTTTTTTACAGCAACTGATAAGACTTTTTATCGATTTCTTTCTTAGATAACGACTCTGATGTTGGTGCCTTCACTTGTTGTATTCCTGGCAAAAGCAAAAATTGTAGATGAATATGACTTATCAAGTGTGCAGCACGTTTTCAGTGGTGCTGCTCCTTTGAGCAAAGAATCTGAGACACTTCTGAAAAAGAGACTAAGAGTGCAGTCAATTAAACAGGCCTACGGCATGACAGAAACTACACTTGTCGTTACTTTGCCACCACCAAATGGAAACAAGAGTGGATCTTCCGGAATACTGGTAGCAGGAGTAAAATGCAAGGTAAACAACCCTTTGATAACAGGTGAGACAAGACAGTATAGACAACTTCCCATAACACACATTAACGCTGTGACAATGATTTTTCAGTGTGCAACATTACTTTCAGTCATTCCCAACAGCTACAGAGCTTCCGAGTGTCGGATGAGTTAACAGAAGAAAATTAATGACTCATGACTAGGAAGGGACATAAAAGGGAGCACCCATGGCCTATGTTTAACACCGTGGTACTGGCCACCAATAACTTGACCTCATTTATAACCTCGCAACATGGGAGTCAGTATGCAGGGGCGAATATAGTGATCCCAGGTCTTGAGGTTTTGTATGTTACAATTAACATGTTTATTTTAATGTATTACTGCTGATACGTTATAATGTGGAGTGTGTAGCAAATCCGACATTTTTTGAATAAGTAATTTTGAATATCTGTTTAAACTGGTAAGGGAATCTGATGGTGATGGATCACCAGTTTCCATGTCAACGAAATTATATGTCACATGTATAACCACCTTCTGTTCTGGAAAAGATTTGTATCTTAGTATGTGAAAACGGTTAAACTTGATGTGATTTCACTTATGTTGAGCAGGTTGTGGATTTGGAAACTGGAAGAAACCTTGGACCCAATAAAAAGGGAGAATTATGTTTCAAAGGCCCTCAGATCATGAAAGGGTATTGTGGTAATGCTCAAGAGACATCAGCGATCTTTGATGCCGATGGTTTCCTTCACACTGGAGATGTGGGTTACTATGATGACGATGGTTTCTTTTATATTGTCGACAGGGTGAAAGAACTCATTAAATACAAAGGATACCAGGTAAATGGCAGTATTATTTTTTCATCTAAAATATGCCGATGTAAACATTTCCACAACTTAAAGAAATCTTTGATGTATGTTGTATTTATTTAGGTTCCGCCAGCTGAACTAGAAGCCGTTTTGATAAACCATCCCGCTGTTAAGGACGCTGGAGTCATCGGTGTTCCTGATGAAGCTGCTGGTGAATTACCATTAGCTTTTGTAGTGAAGCAACCTGGAGCAAGAGTGACTGAAGACGAAATTATTAAATATATGGCAGGTTAGAAAAGTCAGATAACAAAATATCTGGTCCATGTTGGTTTTCTGGGTTGTAACGCTGTGTAGACTTGTACATATGTAGAAATCAACATTTCTGAGGAACATACCGTCTAGCCTACATGAACGTCTTCACTGCAATGAGAACCTGAAATAACCAAGTATCATCATCGTCGTCATCACTATGCATTCTTTGCATGAAGTGCATAAGGAGAATGCATTATGAACTGGTCGTCAGTCCAGTTGATTCTACTCAAATGTCACTGGACAGACTGGGATGAAATTTTACGGACAGGTTGTGCTAATCTGCATAACCTCAAGATCAAACTTTTCAATTTCCTACAAAGTGGTGATAACAAAATGGCACTAGGAAAGCCATGAGGTAGACTCTGAGGTACGGTGATTTGGTGGCCAAAGTGGGGAAACTATTAAACAGGATGCATTTAATACTTCTAAATGCATGAGGATATTATGTGTATTCTGGTATGGAATATATTTTATGAGATTGGTACTGTTAGTTCTGTTATGTTATTTATTTGATACCAGGCTATAAATACATTCACTCTTGGAAATGTTACAGGGCAAGTATCCCCGCAGAAGAGACTACGTGGTGGAGTTTTGTTCGTCGATTCTATTCCAAAGACAAATAGTGGAAAGATCTTACGAAAGGAGCTGAGGTCTATGTTAAAATCCAAGTTGTGATTGTTTCGAACATTGTAATATGTGCCATATATCAGCTGTTTCACTACCATTAATCAGGTCACAAATTATGGGCAGCTAATTGAGGAAGGTAAAATGTTCAAGCAAAAGTGTGTCTTGCACTGGTCATCCATCAGGAACAATTGAAGAAGATAAAGATTATATAATATTGGATCTGTGAAGTGTGGAATTTGGCTTTCAGAATTTCTAAATACCTTTTCATGTAATGCTCAACATAGGTGGCCATGCAAAAAATGTTCTTCGGCTTAGAGTTTAACAGAAGTAACCAAAGAATCAATGGAGCTTGGCATGTGATATGGATACATGCATACATACTCGTATAATTTTGATGTAAAGCTTTGATGTTGTTATGTTAACTTTGTTAAAAATTTGAAACAAATAAATCTTATATTTACTTCTCAGTTTGCTAACAGTGATGAATCATTGTGACTCAACACTTAATCAATATTTCAGAGGTACCTGCTGCCTCCATCATCAGCATATAATAGTGGATTATCCACTGTTTTCTATTACCTGAGGCCATTTTCCCCTCTGTTACTGTGGATAAATTACAGTCTACTGAACTACATTCCACAAAGGATTTTTACAGGGATGTCGAAACAGCATAATCCGAGGGGCAGAGTTTGCTATGACCTGTATCTGTTAACACAAGGATAATAACTGGAATGTGTCATTCACATAGGAGATAATAAGCAATCAATTTGAATATTATGTTAGATCCCACTTTCTATTGTATATTTTAACACTGTACACATAAAAATCACTTAAATTAATGTGTAATACCCATATATTAGATACATCAATTATTAAAACATTTTTTATCACTACAAATCTGTTCTTAAAGGAAAAGTCACAAAAATTTTCCATGTATATAATAAGGATATAAAACTGTCTGATAGGTACAACGTACTTCCTTTAATAAATTCTTCTCGGGCTACCAGCCGTGTAAGGTGGCCTAATGAAGAAAAGGCCAACGTTGGTTTTTTCTTCGTTAAGTCACTTTACAGGGCTCGTAGCCCGAGAAGAATGTATTATACTTTGTCACCATGAAAGCTTCAGATCATACACAACTCCATTATGTGAGTAAGCAATAAGCTAATAGTGAGTTATACTACTTTCAGTAGAAAAGCTAAATGCAGACAATGTGACCCTTCACTGCGCTACTTATTGCTTATCTAACCCAACAGAAATGTTAGAGTGTGGTACATAACAATCAAATGAAGTCCAACATGACATTCAGATGAACATAATCTTCGAGATGATTCTACATATCAGATGCAGCATGCACCATATTCTCTGCAAAGAGCTTTCCTGTTAGATAATAATATACTATATAGCAGCCAGCAAAACTTCATAAGCATTTGCAGAAAAGTATATCGACTAATATTTGGTCTTCTACATATATCTTCAGTGCTCACTACAAAGACTGTAATTCAAAGATGGCTGTCTTCTGGGTTGCTGCTCTGTGTAGTCTGGTAGAAGTTTACCATTGTTTCAGAGGTCCTTGCTGCCTCTATCATCAGGGCGATGGACGCAGCAAGGACCTCTGAAACGCTGGTAAACTTCTACTAGACTACACAGCGCAGCAACCCAGAAGACAACCATCTTTGGACTCGCCATCATAAAAGCCACAAATCGTACTTAGTGTAATTCAAGTTACAACTGACTTGAGAACTTTTTACTGGGAATCAAAAATATAAAGCACCACTCAACATAATGTACTGATAATTTACATACATTTTCCTACACGCTCCGTAACATGAAAGAGAATGAATTTTATTTTGAGACATATAAATCTTAGTAAGTTAGAAGATGATATTGATGGAACCAATTCACAGGAAGACATTTTGTAAAAAAAAAATCTGACTTTACATCTGAGCGGTTTCCTTCACGAAGAGTGAGCTATATACTTTAACAAGTTTCAGTCATTAGTAGATTACATAACAGTCCACTCATGGGTAAATACAAAAAATTGAAACCCCAAGTTTCATTGTATAAATTTATTTAAATTTAGGTCAATATTCTCCTCTTGGTATTTTGTTCATAAAATGATATGTAATGACTCACTCTTTGTGTTACAGCCACTTACCACAGAAAACAAAAGGCCCTAAAATATTAAATTATTTATATCCTTTAGTCACACAAAATGCAAACAGTTATGTAAGGTAATTAAAAGCTATTAAAATATAATTCTTATTTAAATTGATGAGATTTTTATGGAAGCACAGCATAAAAATCTCAAATAATTATTAAAATTCTGCTGCGCACAAAAATCCGCAGTTCTGCCGTACGTAATGCCCACATGTCAATTGCATTCACAGAATCTTTTCATGCATCTAACAGTATCTGTTGAGAAGATTCCCGCCTTCGTAAGATTTTGCGAAAATTCGCTTTTGTAAACTTGGTACAACTTAATCTACATTAATGTTACAAAAATATGACTCATATGCAGCTTTTGAAAGTAATCTTACTTTAAAACTGCTATGAATCTGTGTCATGTTAATGTCTGATATAAGATGTAAAAAAACAACAGCAAAGTATATAAAACTGGTGATGGAAGTCCATGTTGCTACAAATACTTCATAAGTACAATTTCTACATATACTTGTAATAACAAGCAATTTATTATCAGAGAAACCAAACTTAACAACATTAGAGAAGTAAATCACTTCCTTCATTTTGAAATTTTGTATAAAACCACGTAATGTATTAAAACATACATTTTATACCAAATTCTAACATGGAAATCCATCCCTTCAAAAAAACAATGAATTATGGTCCTCCCATAAGATTAAAAAATACAGTTGCATAAAATAGAGATTCTGGTTTGGGCAAAACATTCCATGAAAATGTTAAATAATATCATGTATGTCCCACCATTTACACATCCTTTTGTGGAAGTAATCAAAAGGGACAACGTATTTGTTTCTTAGCGGGTACATTACCTTAAACGACAATGGCTGATGTCGCCATCTGATTCACTCCGCAGGTTCCATCACCACGATACACTCGATAATAGCCCTATGACAAAGATTTCAAAAACAATATAACCCAATTTAATATATCTAACAATTTTGTTTCTACGGCACTGCATTATATATCAAGTCACAAAACTGGAGAAACATGGAAATTCTATTACCAAATATTACAAAGAATGTTTAGAATAAAATAAACCATTAAAAACTCAGCCGACAAGCATCTGCTGATTTGGGATGGAATGACTCTACACCGTTATACGAAGCAAAGGTCATAAAGCTATATTGATAGCAACGATCAGCTTCCCACTCCAATAACAAAATCTCCACACTGATGGAAACAAAAATTAAACAAAATAAAATATGATAGCATACCTGTTCACCCCAGTTTGCACCCCAGCTGTTCTTAATAATCCAAAATGGAAGTACTTTTTGAAACATTGGATATGCTGAAAGAAGAATACAAACAAAAGAAACATAAGAGTAGTAATTCATAATTAGAAAATCTTACCTGTTCCCCCCAAAATGTGCCCCAGCTATTCTTAATAATCCAGTAGGGAAGAATTCTATGCCGTATCGAAGATGCTGCAAAAACAGAACCACGCATGTCCAAATACCGTAGTTTATCCTCCGTACAGCTAAAAACACTTTTATATGTCACCTTACATATAATTTTAAACCTATATCACTCAACGCAGGGTTCTGAAGGATTACACTATGTAGGTTTCAATACCTATCATACTAATAGCAGATTAGCTTGTAAAATGTCACCATATTAGTTTCAATAAGGCATCCAACTTAAATAAAGTAATAAGTCTACTTACTGTGTACGCCAAAACCAACGATCAGAACACCATGATCCAAATTTTCCCTGTCACACAGGAATTTCCATGGATGTGATACACCACCCATATAGAACTATAACAAGATATGGTTTCAGATAGAATTTAAAATAAATTTGTTGTTACACATAACTTGCACATAGAAAATACACCAATTACATTTTATCAAAAGTAAATTTTATTAGTTTTTAAGAGTGGAACTCTCTCAGCAGCTTGAAGTAACTGTATTCTAGGACACCTAATTAACAGCACCGCACAGATAAATCATAATTAATTAAATAAATAATAAAAAAACAAAATTAAATATTACCTGCATAGCATTTGCATTGATACCAATTGAGATGGGTCCATTTTTATACAACCACTGAGCCATCTTTGTTTCATTCTTAGTAATATTTAAAGCTCCTTGAACTGTAACTTTCACATCACTTTTCTTAAAATGGCATTTTTCATCTTCGCCTTCATAAGGGTAATCTTTTTCAGTTTCTAAGCCCCCCAACGATTCAATGGCTTTATAAGCATTCTCTGGAAGACCTCCATTGCAACCATCATCCAAGTTGTCACAATCCACTAACTCTGCAAAAATTAAAATTTTAGATCTTAATTCACTGTAATGGTATAATCTTTAACAGGTAACTAACAACCATTAGACACGACACGAAATAAATAACATTCTATTAATTCTTCGTACCTCACATTTAATTTGAATAAATGCAGAAGAGACATGAATAGTTTGACTTACCTTGTTCTGAAAGCGAGAACAACTTTCCCTTCTTAAGTGCCCACTGACCCTCAATGTTTCCAGTCACCGAGAATGCCCAACATGAGCCACACGAACCCTGAGCAAAAATTAACAAAACAGGGAGATAAGAAATGTGTACAAAATTTTGGTTGGAAAGCCTGAAGGAAGAAAGGCCACTTGGAAGACCAAGGCATAACCGGGAGGACAATTTTTAAATGAATCTTGAGGACATAAGGTTCTGGGGGTGTGGATTGGATTCATCTAGCTCAGGACAGGGAACAGAGGTGGTCTCTTATGAGAACAGTGATGAAACTTCAGGTCCCATAAAATATGAGGAATTTCTTGAATAGCTGAACATGCTATTTGTTTCCCAAAAAGGACTCTGCTCCATGAATTTAATTAGTTACTGCCCCTTTCTCCCAGTCATTCATCTTGATAACTATGAGCTGACAATTTCCTGCTCCTTTGCCAAGAGATCATGAAGACAATCCTGTGATGTGCATAGACACGGTTTCGGAAATTACTTGGTAATCCCGATACTAAGGGAGTATCTCCAGACGACGATGAGACAGGTCTTACTTGCATGACAAACTACTTCCACTCAGTGATCAACGGTACCATTAATATGAGAGGGAGAGAGAAAATCACCTGATTTTTGACTTCTGTAACAACGCTGAAATTTCGCCAGTCAAACTCCTTTGGCAAAGTGACATCAGGAATTTTAGCTTCTTGCAGTGGGATGTCGTTGGAAACTTTCAATTTGCGATTAAGACCAAGATGGTATTTCTTGAATTCCTTTGCTGGAAAACAAAAATCAATTGTGATGTAATTTACAGATATTTTAAGATGATGTAAGAGAATAAACAAACATACGAAGTTCTACATCTATGGTAAGAAATTATGGAAAAAAAGAGCTGGGACACATGTTCAAATAATGCACAGCACACTGTCATTCCGTCCATAATATAACAACAGTCTACACACAGGGACGAAGAAAAAATAGAATGTCACATGAGAATAGAGTTTTAATCAAATATGAATGATGTTAATGTTATTGAACTGTGTACATCCCAGGTTTTTTTTACATATTATTTGAATTCTACTTCACAGGCCTCAACTGGCTTCCAAAACATTTAAAATGCTCTTACGTTGGCATTTTCAGCAACTTTATCAGATAAACATGTATGTTCATTTTTAATTATAATTTCCAACATAAATACAACAAAATGTAAGAAGAAAAATGACACTTGTCACAGAATTTCCCATAATTAGCCACAAGCATACATTTACTCAGTAGAAACAATGTTAATCAGTTGTAAAAAAAACCAATATGAATATGGGAACATATTCGGCCATCAATCTTTAGAAGAAAATAAAATGAAATAAAGTTAATTTCAAATGTTTACATGGTGTCAAAACATACAATTCTAATGCCATAAGCACATGTTCATACTAACGTGTAAGATCTGCAAACTGTGTTGCCCCATACGCAGCGGTGCCCTGTTCAGTCCTCCGTAGACGTTCAACTTTTTTCATGTTCGCTTTAAAAATATGAAAACGACGTTTATATTCTGCCTCGCTTTGATAATGTTTGTTGTGTTTATTTACAAATTCGTCAAACAATCCAATGTGAATGTCATGGCTACCACCACCTATCCATGATCTCTGTAAAAGAAGAGAACAGTTGAATATTGAGAATTTAACCATGTTATTCAGAAGGTGACTACTTCTTACTTCTGTAAACGGAGATATCAGTACTTACCCTCTTTACTCTATTATCTGCAGCAGAACTGCATGAAACATGATTGACTTCACGCTGATTAAGCCATGGCCGATCCCACACTTCAATATGACAAATCTGATTATTCTAAAGAGAGAGAGATACAAGCAATATAGCCTTAATAAGTTACATAAACAAGCTAGTTCACAACTACGGTAAGTCCATTTTATCAGTCGCTGTATAGAAAATAACTCCATACAAGTAATCATACATCCCAGGCTTTTCCTGCCCCACTTAATGGTACCTGCACCTTGTCGTGGTGGTGGGGCTTGAGTACCTCAGTGACCCCAAGAGCTACTGGTAGGGCCTCACTAGCCAGATTGATCGAGGGGGAGAGGTCAGACTAAGACAGGTACCCTGGTCCTCCAGGTTGGGGGTTGGTCGCAAGGCTAACAACCTTGCACCATAAAAAGGAAGATGTTTCGAAACCTCGATCAAAGCCTCGGACAGACGGACCTAAAAGAGGAAAGAATGGAAGAGGAGAATTGAGGAGGCCATGGAACGAATATGGACCGGAGAGCCATAGAAGAAGAATAAAGTTAACAATAAGTAGGCATTCAGTCAATCTATGATACATAACAATAACGCCATTAACACCGTCAGTTATTACCGAATCATTCTTTAGCTGGCAGCCATCTATATCTGCATCATGACCTTTACGACAAGCGCTGTACCCCAGTTCCAAAGTTAAATGAGTCAACACTCCAGCAACCATCTGAAAAAAAATAAATTATACACTAAACATATTACGTGCGTGAATACATACACTTCCACGCAGTCATTTCAGGAAACGCAGTATCTCAATCCGCAGTAAGAGCACGGAAAATGCCTGAACTCATAAGAGACAAAGTTAATGAGGAAATGAGATTAAATGAATTAAGAAGTTTATAAAAATATGCACTTCACCTAGCATTATTTCAGAAGTCAAATCAACCACATACACACAATTTAACTAACAACAAAAATGAGTAATTTGGTGAAATAACTAAACTGGGAAAAATGTTTAATTTACCTGCTTTTGTGCCTCTACTATCCTAACAATTTTCTGTCTATAAAGTGCATTAGATCTTCTGTCAACTTCTTCTAACGCAGTTTTTGCCATATCATGGATGTAAGGATCATCGAGATCAGCTTGAGCTGGAGCTCCTACGAGAACATCAGCGTGCCTTCTTGCTCGGCCTGATGGCGATTCCTGAAACAGAAAGCAGACGCTAGCCCTTGAAATCAACAAGGAAACAATTTTAAGTTTTCTGCGAACAAAAGTCAACTAAAGATGCAGAAGAAGTCTGAAAACTTTTCTTGAGACTACGAAACATTAGTCAATGGATTTTTATAAGCACCAATTTTTCGTCCAAAAACATTCTACAATAATTACCACATATGCATTGCACAATTCAAATGGTTATTACATTAATATTGCAATCCTTACGTCAAACAATTTTCAAATTCTAATACCAAAACAATTAGAAATTCAGACCACACTAATGAACAAGTATTTCCTAAATGTAGGAACACAGGAGTCATTAAGAATGAAAATGCTGCTAAAAATTTAACTGCAGAAGTGACTCAAATAACACAATTCTAAGGTGAATTTTCATTTTGTACATTAGGGAGACATATGTCAAGTTAACAGGGTCCACAGTGGCCGCGCGGTCTGAGGCGCGTGCCTTGTGCCGCTTGGTCACTGGGACCATGGGTTCGAATCCCACTCAAGCCATGGATGTTTGTCCGCATTTTTCTGTGTAGTGCTGTCCTGTGTGCAGGTAGAGGCCTTGCGACGGGCCGATCCCTCGTCCAAGGAGTCATACCGAATGTCTATAGATCAAGCCAATGAAAAGTTGGGACCCGCAGTGCTCAGGCACTTGAAGAACGGGTCGTTCCCAGTATGTCAAGTTAACAATAAATCTAGGCTTCCTGTTAAATGTATAATATAGTTTATTCAGCTACTGAGTATGCCTTATATACTCCAAACTCTCAAATAAAATATCAGTTAAATAAATATACAAAGAGCAATTACAATACATATAATACGAGTCCTACTCACAGAAGCTGCAGCTGTGTTTTCGGAAGCAGAACTGCATGAAACATTGGTGACTTCTCGTAGATTAAGCCATGACCTATCCCATACATCAACATTACAAATCTGATTACTCTGAAAACAAAATGAAAACCTCCTATAATTGCCAATGTTATATACAAAACCTGGACTAAGTTAGAAATGATCATGAGAAATTAATTACTCGCACCAGAAAATTGAAGCAAAATTACTCTAGCATTATCACTGGTCCCCATCTTGAACCAAATAAATAAAGTCCACATCCTCCCACCCAAATAACTTCCTTCTATCTACGCTTATAAGTTCCATGTGGTCCCTTTCATTCAGATTTTCTAACCAAAACATCTTTAATTACACTCGTCTGATCCTATATCAAATGTATCAAATGTTTAAGAAAGAAAATTAAATAAAATTCCCAAAATACACAAATGGGGCAATCTATATCAAATGTTTAAGAAAGCAAATTAAATGAAATTCCCAAAATACACAAATGGGGCAACTGTAAATTACTTCATACAATATTTCACAAAATACTTGCCATCAGACACAACGGATAAACAATCAGTCAAATTAAGCTACGCGAATTGAAAGTACGCATGTAATGAATATTACCGAATCTTCCTTAAGCTGACAATTACTGATATCACCATCTTCTCCTTTACGACAAGAAGTATATCCCAGTTCACTGTAAATTACTTCATACGATATTTCACAAAATACTTGCCATCAGACACAACGGATAAACAATCAGTCAAATTAAGCTACGCGAATTGAAAGTACGCATGTAATGAATATTACCGAATCTTCCTTAAGCTGACAATTACTGATATCACCATCTTCTCCTTTACGACAAGAAGTATATCCCAGTTCTAAGGTCAACCGCACCAGCGTTCCAGCAACAACCTGGTAAAACACAGAATTTTGTTATCAACAGCTCAGATATCCAGCACCCACTCATAGGATGATTAATACATAATGGATATAAATAAGATGGAAAGAAATAGCCATGGTCTACTTTAAGGTACTACCCTGGCAATTTCCTGGAGGGAGTGAGGAAAACCACAAAATACTTCAGTCAAGATTGCTGGTCTCCAGCAGAAGATTTTCCAAAAATGAAGCAGAAGCACTAACCATTCCATCACTCTTTGATGGTAAACATAAAATATGGCATCATGACACACATCTGGTTTCAATACAATAAAAGAACTGCAATTGTAAGCGTAATTCAGCTACAATCCCAAAAACTGGCAATGAACGTGCGTTTTCTTACCCACATGATGGCCAGTTTGTCTGTACAGAAATAACATACACTTTCACCAAGAGATTTGAGGTAACAAACTTTCTTACAATCACAGAACAACAATATTTCTTTTCGTTTCACTGATAATTTGAGCAATAAGTAATAAACACATTACTTACTAAACAAAAATTAGTACTAAGCATACCTGTTTCTGTGAATTCACTATCCTAACAATTTTCTGTCTATAAATTGCATTAGATCTTCTGTCAACTTCTGCTAACGCATGTCTTGCTATCTCCTGGATGTAAGAATCATTAACATCAGCTTGAGATGGAGCTCCTAAGATCATATCAGTTTGCCTTCTCACTCGATCTGTTGGCAGTTCCTGAAACAGACACAAAATTAAAGTTCAGAAATAAACAATCAACACGGGTTGAAATTTCAACGACTGTAGTTATCTGACCACCCCCTTCACTAGACGCGACCCCCTTTAATTCCTACTTGTGGGGATACATTAAGGACTTGGTATATTAGCAGAAATTACATACACGAGATGAACTCCTACGGCATGTAATGGACGGTGCTGTTCTCACACAGAACAACCATGAAAACATATGAAAACCAACATATGCTATTTTAAAATAAGCTCATCTGTGCATAGACAATGTAGGATACAACTTCAAACATCAAGGTCTTCGAGTATGTACACTAAACATGAGGAGAACATCATTCCCTTAAAAGTAATTAATTTCAATTAAAATAATTTAATTAACATGTTTGAATTTCCTCTCTTTCCATCATAAATATGTAACAATTCAGATTTCAACCCATGTTTATACAATCTTCTTTTCTTCTCAAAAATAAGCCAATGAATAACCACCTGAAATTTGACAGATAATTTTTAGGATGTCCTGAATATGAGATACAGAAGACCCACAAAGTATAGACATCTTACGTAAGTCTGCACAATACAAATTGTTTTAAAAATATCAAATGATCTAAGAACTATAAATTTAAATCTTTAATTTAACTTGCACAAAATCTTGACATCAATATTTTATTTCACGGTGAATGAAGCAAGCTCCAAATATTTATACACAACGATATTTAACTTACGCTATTGGCCTTGGACTCGGGGGCTGAACAAACTAATGATGTAACTTGATAAGAATTTTCAAGCCAAGGTTGATCCCATATCGTGACATGGCAAGTTTTAATCCCCTGTCAAAACACAACACTGCATTAAAAAAAATATGTGTATTTAAAGACAAGAGTACTGCCACCCTTCTAAGAGAACTTCTCTTAATTCGCTGAACTCAATTTTTATGAGTTAACAATTGCAAAAAAAAAAAAATATATATATTAAGCACAAACTTATTCTACAGGCCATTCACATTTATGAAAATACTATATTGCAAGTCTTAACATCCACAATAGCAGTAGTAAATTCTTTTCATATTATTATTGCCCTGCGTGCTAAACGAACCAATGACCTTCGTTGAAATACCTTCTCACATAATCAACCTAGAGGACACAAAATAATCAGAGAAAACTTTCTTAACACAAAGATTCTCCTGGAGATGTCTGATTTGCTTCACATTAATATTCTTTTTCTCTGGTAATATTTTTAACATTTCGCTGTAACAATATTCCTAAAATCATTTCTTACGGTGATAGCTCTTATATGAAGACTCACGTGAGATACAGAGCTGTCAATGACGAACCACGTCAAAGTGCATAAAGCTCACTGAAGTGGCAGTTAGATCACAACCATTTATATATTACAGTATCAAAGCTAAACAAAATACAGACCTTCGAAGCCTAAATAAACATAATATTCATGGTTTTTACTGCTCAAACATGAGATACAAAACAGCCATCCATATACTGAAAACAGTAACCAACCACACTGAATTATCCATTAAATAATAAAAAATGAATGACACACACCTTACAGTATTTATAAGGCCTGTAAACTTAAAGACGCAAACCTGTTTCATTAGTCCGAGTGAGTGGGTTACTTTAAAAGCCTAAGTTTTTACTTAAAAGCCAAGCACATGGATTTCTCATAAGTTAAAGGGTAAAAATTAATTAATAACACAGCACAAACAGATTTAAGACATTCTTCTGAACACACAATTGAAAATAAAAATAAAACTTACCAAATTTTGATTCAGTTCACAAGTACTGTTTTCAGCCTCTCCTTTACGCTTAGTACTTTGACCAACTTCCAAAACTAGAAACACGTTATAACCAGCTACCACCTATAAAATAAAAATAAAATTTATAAAAAATGAACGAACCACTCTTTAAAATATTACATCCAGAAAACAGCCGTGCAATCTTGAAGAAACCGGTTTCTATGACATCCAACAGTTATTCACAGATGTAAATTCTCCGAACTCATTTCTGACCTCTGATTTGATTTAAAATCAAACACCGCCCTCTAAAATAAGCTTTGTGCTTTAGTAAGAAAAAAGAATCAGATAATTTTATGAGACATTATTAAGCGCACCATAAATCATGTCAAATACGTACCTGTTTTGATGCGTTGACAATCCTGACAAGACACTGACTGTACAATGAATTAGTACTCTTGTCCAATTCAGTAACGGCAAAATCTGCCAGATCAGTGATGTACGTATCACTCGTATTGGCAGGTAAGGGACCTCCTGGTACAACATCACGTTTTTGTCTTAATTTCTTCTCGGGCAAAATACTTTCTTCTGTGGTACATTCAGACTTCACAACCTGCAACAAAAAAATATTCCTAAAGGAAATACCAGATAAATAAGGTCCACCTTAGCACCTTATAAAACATAAGGTCCCTAAAAATAAATTAAATATTTACTATTTTAAACCCTTTAAATGTCATGAAAGTACACAAGTTTCGTTACATAATTGCTATGACACTTCTTGTAGTCAACGCATTTCAGCTGGCAATGACACCTCCCATGCTTCATTTGTTTCTGTGGGAAAAATCAAGGTCCGAACAGACCTCGTATTTCAATATTTTCTCAATACAGTTTTTTTTATTTTCCTAACAAATAAACATTAATTAGAAACAGGATGTCCTCGAGTAAAGTGAATTTAGGGAAATTTTCAGCAAAATGACCCCCCCCCCCTCTCACTCTTGCTAACGCATACATACATATATATATACACACATATCAAGTTATACTTACTTTGGCATCTAGATGCGAGTTGTCAGTAAATGTTCGGTGTAATTCCACTTTACATATTTTTACAGGTGATGAGTGATGTTCCATGCAGTCTGGCTTATTGGCTCCACTCTCACTGCAAGACGTAGTTCCCACTCTAAGATGCAGGTGGTACAGTACACCATTTACAATCTGTAAAAAGGTAAACTTACAAACATATCTCAAAAATCCACCATGAAACAATATATCATCAAAAAAAGGAAGAAATTTTTTTTTACATAGTGTGAAGAATAACGAAAACATAATATGAATGTTCAGAATCAAAAACTATTGAAACTTAAAGATATATGAGAGTTACGGGTCCGTAATCTTGCTGTAACACTAACAGAATATTAATGCATTTCCTTTTCTTACAAAATGTGACAATTTGTACCTGTTTCTGTGCACTCAGGACCTCTAATACCACACGCTTCTTATCGTCTTCGTCAATCTCGTCTAATGTTTGGACAGCGATGTGTGCGAGTTTGTTGACAAGTTCTAGTTCTGATTTGTCAATATCCTTCAGACCACCGAGAGTAGACCGCGGAGTGGTCTCCCTTCTGTTACGATTCTCTCCCGTAAAATACGCTCCAAAATCTTCCATTATTTTTTCCTGCTTTTCATTACTCTCGTCAGAACTCTGGTCACTTTCATCAGAATCACCTTGTACTTTCTGACTTTCTGTCTGTTCTGCTTCTTTGAAGTCATCACTTCCTATTTTGGATTTCGATGAATTTTCTTCCTCACTAATAGATTCAGACCTCGGTTCATCAAGTTTTGATTTATCAGACTTCTTTTGTTTGCCATCAGGATTATTAACATAAATTTGTTCAGCGTCACTTTCAACGGGGCGATTATCTGGCTCATGTTCAGGTAAATATAAGCCATCTCTGCCATAGGAAAAAGGTATTCTTGCAGTCACGGGTTCTGGTTCATCCATTGCATCGAGGTAGTCAAACATTTCCTGACGACCGCCTTGATAACTTGGTACAAAGTTTGGTTCAATCTCATTTTCAAGGTCATTGTCGTAATAAGTACAATTATTGCCGATAATTTCACGGCTAGTATCCAACCAAGGTTTCTCCAAGAATTCGACTAAGCATGTTTTGATATCGCTCGTACTTGGTTCGCAAGAAGTTCTATCCAGTGTTGAACCCTTCATACATGACGTTTCTGCAACTTCTAGTTGAAGTATATATTTAACTCCATTAACAACCTGAAATAATTTAAATTTGGTATCAAAATTTAGGTTGCCCCATGCCCTCTAAACAGAGGGCATGGGGCAACCTAAAACGCTCTCGATACTATAAACGTTTGGACACGAGTTCTGACAACGGTGCAAAACAACAGGTAAGCAGGGCAGAAATTCAATTACTACAAAGAATACAAACACAGATATTTCATTATCAATTCTATTCACAATGTAAAAATCAGATCCTATGTTGCCTTAGCAGTACCATCTCAACTCCTCTCTCAGCCTACAAGACCTCACCGCAGGTGTTAATAATGTGGTATTTCTTAGCAGCCCTCTGGTCAGCTGTTTCTTTTTATATATTCAGATTATAAATTTTTCTCTTTCTTTCCTTATAAGCATGTATTTTTAAACAGTAAAAGGTGACAGTACCATACCTGCTTTTGTGCTTTGGCAATCCTCGTTACTTTGTGCATGTACCTTCCGTACGACCCCTCGTCAATTACCGCAACAGCTTGATCCACATATTCCTGCAATGCTGGGTTGCTGACGTCAAGATCAGTCAGACATCCTGTGCAGTACGTATGTGTAGCTATAATAGGTTCTTCCACTATTGGCTTCCGCGACTCTTCTACAGTTTCTACTACCGGGTCTTGCTCGTCGACAGCTGTAATGGAATAATGTTCTACCGCTGGCAATGACGTCTGTTCACTTAATGGTTCTATCTGATCATTCAACATTGTGTTCAAAACATCTTCTTGAAGCTGGAACACGAAACATCTTTATCGGTTATACCAAAACTGAATAATAATAATAATATCAAATCTAAAACTTCTTGACGATGGTGAAGAGTCAATTGAATAAAAATTTACTTGGATATTATCCATCGTCTAGTAATAAAACGTAAAAAACGTAAAACGACGTTTCGGAGATGGGGCTCTATCTCCGTCTTCAGGTTCCTACTCAGTTGGGCCCATTAGATAGAGCTAATCCCCATCTCCGGACCAGGTCTTGCACTCTCAAATGAAGAAAAATTAATAAAAAATGTGATTAAATTACTCATCACAAATACACATCATCAGATGGAGCATACATCAAAACTCATATATAATACATATCTACAAATGATACAAAAATACAATATCAACATTAAAATATTTGAAAAAAAAAACAATAATCATAGGATTTTCGTTAGCAAATCTGTCACACTGACACGCAATTTACCCAGCTCTATACTGTGCGCTCTGTTTCAGAGGTACAATCTGTAATGACATAACAATCAGACATGTATCCATACGTTGAACTTGTCTGACATGGCTCAAATAAAAAAAAACAATGAAGGTTTAAGAAACATTCACATATTAATACTCCATATATTCAAAAGTTTCTAAGCATATCAGGTTTCTATATGAGACAAATAAAATATAATAATTTGTCATTTACTGAAATAAAATATAAAAACTTTCAACTATGTCATTTATAAACACACATTAACCTAACCTAACCTAACCTAACCTAACCTAACCTAACCTAAGCTAACCTAAGCTAACCTTTTTTTAAAGCGATGTGTCCCGATAACCCACAAGTACCAAAACAATTACCTCTCTCATATCTTCATTTGTATGTCTGGCCTCATCAGTTCCATTATGTGCGTCTTGATAACAAGTTGGTTCCGAATAAAGCGTGTCTTCGATCCAAGGGCGATCCCAGCTCGTGATGGAACATATAAAACGTTTGTTTGATACATTCTCTGGACACTGTCGCTTTTCATAAAGTCCATCAGTATCACCTTCAACATCGACATTCTTCAGACACAGCGTTGGTGCTATGCGGAGGTCAAGCGTTGTAAGAACGGCTTCAGATCCTGGAGTAACCTAAATGTAGTAAAATGTAACACGCGGACAAATCAAGTTCTTGAACTCTGCTACCAATTCAAAGGATTTCCTATCAATTCCTGTGACCTGAATTTCCTCTATATATTCTAGCAAAGAGACATGTTCACAATTCAATTTTTCCCACATTCATTTCAAGCCCAGTATCCCTACCGGCTTCTAGTTCTGATCTTGTGGTCTTACTTAAAGGCATTTATGTTATTAAATAACTAACTAATAACTATTATCAGAAACATATTCTGGTAGTTGATGTGTTCCACTCACTTCTGCAGAACAGCCAACATTATATTCTAAAACATATCGTAAACGACAATCTCAATAGAAAACGTACGTGTCGAAAAAAAGTGGCATTATAATTACTGGAGCAATTGGTTGCCAGCCACATTCTGTAAAGGAACAGCACAGCTAATCTGGTAACGTATATTTCCCAACAAAAATAATGAGGTAATAGATGCCGTAACATTTAATTTCAGTTGAAGTACATGCCATATCCATACTCTACGCAACTCCTAAAACACACGGTATGACGACTTACAACATCCTATCAAATGGTGAAATCAAATAATAGCTTAAACAATAACAGTGGAAAATTTACCAGTTAAAATCCATAAATGAATACCGGTAAAACTAACCGTTGTTTCAGCTCTCAATACATCCACTAGCTTCAACGTAAATTCTGAAAATGAGAGACTGTCAAGTTCTTCTGCAGCTCTTTCAGCCATGGTGGTTATATCGGCAGCACTCATTGGTACATCAGGCAGCATCCCAGTAAGAGGGAAACATGCCAGGGTCGATTCCAGAGCCATCTCGGCAGTCTGGTTCACTTCAGCTTCACACACTTCAAACAACAATGTGTCTCCTCCATCGGTTCTTGCAACTTTCAGTGTCAAGTATAAAGTTGTAAAATTTCCGGCGCTCTGTGAACATATAAAGACATGACAAATTTTCAGCTGTGAATAAATCACTGGTACCACTGACAACTGTAACTTTGTACACACTAATTCTCTGTTGTAAAATTAATGAGGTCCGTTCTCTGGAAAAACACCAATATACTGTATTAAAGAATCTATCAAAGAATCTATCAAAGGAGTCTTAAAGACATGAAAAACTCCATATAGGTCCTCAAGTAAAGTGGCTCTTAAAATAAACTGAATCGAAGTCACAAATGGCAATACCCTGTAGAGGAAGTGGGGGAGGTTATGAATGAAGTAATATCATCCTCCCATCTGTGTTATGGTCTTCTTCCATTTTGTAGGATTTGAGGTTTTCATGATGGTGAGTCTGAAGAGGATTCTACATACACATATGATTTACATTTTCAATTTCTCCAATTTCATGTTATCTTTCAACAACAACAAGAAAAAAAATTAATAAAAGGACATTTTATTAATAACATCTTGGCCACTTCTGGACCATGGGCCATAACTGGTCCAGAAGCATGCTTTTCATCAAGTACACTAAACATACAGCTGTAATATTTTAACATCATTTTGATAAAAATTCTTCTGAAAATACTGTACTTAATTACCTGTCTTTTAACTGACATAATGTCAACAACACTCCTTTTGGCATCTCCATTATTTTCCACGTGCTGGACTGCAAAAGCTGCGATACTTCTAATTTCATCACTAACATTTTCTTCGCCAAATCCATGGTCATTTACTGGAAATATTGGTTCAAATTCCTTCTTGGCACATTTTGTTCTATCTTCATATATATCCCTTGTGTTTTTTGATGAATCCTCTCTTAACACAAGCTCACATATTAGATGTGATGGAGTACAATCTACTGAATTGTTGCAGCTAACAGTAATGTCTAACTGCATGAAGAACAATGAAGGGAGAGAATCATTCTGTAAAAATAACAAAAAAATATGACTGAAAGTACAGAACATAAATTCTGAATTAACTTGCACTTTGTTCTGAGATATGAGATATGAGATTATGACAACCCTCCTGCAACATTTGCAAGACGTTTTTCTGTCTCTCACTCTCTATTAGAATTATAGGCATATAAATCTACGTCCTTACATATAAGAATGCCCTAAATTATTTACAACCATAAACTTTTCTTCTAAGCGCATATGACAACTTCAGTAATCACGTTACTTACTTTGTTATACGCATTTATTATCTTCGCTGAATCATAAACGTATTGAGAACCTGGTTGATCATTAAACGAGTCCAATACGAACTGCACTTCATCTTTAAATGTACCGACATTCGGTTCTGCACATATCACTCCAATTAAACACAAAAGAATCACCGATAAACGGATCAGTCGCGCCATTTCCACACCTTTAGTACTGTCATAAACACAGGTTCATGAGTTTAGTTCACTGTTTACAGCGATTTTTCAGCTTCGCAATAATTAAATCTGACAATAATGATCCGAAAACACTAATGACTACGAATATTCTCAGCCACACACTATTTCAACATTCCAACCAATCCCGACCAAATATATCTGCACGACGCAGTACAAACAGTTCAATGATGCCGACGTCATTGCCATTGTGCGCTGCAAAGCCACACGTGACGTTATAGTGACGCAATGGTTTTGATTTTAGACGAAGTGTGTTAATGTAAAAGGAGAGTAACCAAGTTTGTGCAATAGGTGATAGTCACAGATGCTGTAGTGTCTTTGGGAAATGTGTGTCAAGTCTAAAACATAGGTAAGTTATGGGAATTTGGCCTGCTTACCTTTCTGAAAGGTTAAGGATGTAATAGTAACACCGCAGTCTCTAACACCAACATCACAATCAATAATAATAATAATAATACAAGCAGCTTGGCAAAAGGTTCATCTCTCTCGTACTTGGGAGGTAAATAGAATGTGGAGCACCGAATTCCGTAACTGAGGGTATCGTGGTTGTACTCAGTCTTATAATGAAATAGACCGCTGTCCAGGTGCGTTCGCAACCTGAGGAGCACTTGTTAAAACCCCTCCGCCCGTTTGTCAATATGCACCACTACAGACAAACTGATTTCAGTTTTTAATTTTGATCGTATAATTTCACCACGACTTATAAGACGTCTGTACGTTTTCTAGCTTATTTCCTTACTTAGAAAAATATTCGGCAGTAACACCACGTGATCCTCCTGTCGATACCAGAGTAACCCATTGTTACAGCTAAAAGAATTCGAATTTTCTCGTCTTTTTCCTGACTAAATAATTCGGACTTTGATGCAATAAATAAAAGTAGTCATATTCGCTTCCTTTTCCCAATTGCACTTCTGTACAACTCTTGTTATATTATTAAATCTACAGAAAATATATTTCCCAAACCCTCTACATTAATTAAGGGGGGAAAATCATACTTTGGGATCTGCTGGTAGGGGCGTTGATACTATGCCACTGAGGTTAAAGGTCATTGACTCCATCCAGCTTGTATTGCAAATTAGCATTTCACTGTTGACCAGAATTCATGAAGCATCTATCTAAATCCATTATTTACATAATATAAGAGATTTATCATTTTCAACACTTCAGAAAACTCAGGCTACATTTAGAGTACATGTTACTTCACTAACAAAAAGTAATTAATTGTTCAGTGTAAGAAAAGTAAATAGAAATGTCATATAATTGGAATATGTTCTCCTTGTGGTGGCAGTTTTTATGCCACAGTTAATTTACTAAGTGATACGATGAATATTTACGAGTTCATAGATTGGAGATACGTTATGTCATGAAGACCCATTTTAAATAAAATAAAAGAATGAAAAATTAAATTTCCACCAAGACGGTTATTAATTTTATAAGGTTCGTGAAACAGAAACATTAAAAGATCCGAATTAAACAAAGAGTCAGAAAGACTGGTGTAATTTGTTGGATCATGGAAAGTATAGTTAGTTTGATACACTTGAATTCTTTTTGAACTTCTGTTGAAGTGTCTTTAAAGGCACACCTAGAATCAGATATATGTTTGCTAGTAATAGCTTCCTTCAAATGTAATATTCTTTGTGCAACACATTAACAGAATTGAATGTTTACTCAGCAGTGTTAGAACACAAGAAAGGAAATATTTTACATTTCTTTCCAGTAAAAGTTGGTGTTCACTACAGTATGGCATCCTTTCCTACATATAATCTGGTAAGTCTTTCTTTTGCTTGTGATTTATAAATTGCTATATACATAATGTGTTTGTAAGCAGGATGATGTTTGTTTACATTATCTTTCAAATATATTTGTATATTCTGAATTGTTTGTTTGCATCTTCTGCATTTTTTATCTTTTCTTTTGTTTAATATTTCTGTCTCAATTTTTAGAACATTATACATCCGCATGTTTTAGGGTCTTCCTTATATAGGGATCGTAGATGGCGGTTTCCATCCAGGAAAACTGGTACGGATCCAGGGAACAGTCTTGCCTTCTGCAAATAGGTATTTATATCACTTTCTTTGCATTTGGCTTTGTCATACTTTGGGGTTATAATTTTAAAAGATATATTCAGCAGTATTACCTGTAGTTGTGAACATACAAAAATCAGAGCTGGTGGAAATGGACTAATCAAAGTGAAGAAGCCATCCATATACGAAGTTCATGTCATAGGCACGTGTTTAGCTATCTGATGTATTAAAATTTAATTATTTAAAGAAACATTTGTAAAAAAATATAAATGGTAGCATTAAATTTCATACTGATGATATATGTGGTGTTCATTCTTTAAAATGGTTTCAGTTTGTACTCTATATTTTTTTAATAACATTTAGTTCTTTCTGAAAGCATTATCCATCTTAATCTTAGAAACATTGTTGTTCTGGCTTCCGACAATGGTTTCTCTTCCACTTGTCGTGCTATAACTGAATTATTTACGTACTTTTTCCTGAAATGGTAGTTGTAGTAGATAATTTATTAAGTTTTACTTCTTTTTTTTTTAGGTTTTCCATTAATCTCCAATGTGGGCCAAATGTATCGCCTCGAGATGATATCGCGATACATGTTTCGCCTCGTTTCAATGAAAACTATATTGCAAGAAACTCGTTACAGAATGTGGCTTGGGGTATTGAGGAAAATCATGGTCCTATGCCTCTAGCAAGAGGACAAGGATTTGAAATAATTATACTTTGTGAACCAACCCATTATAAGGTATATATCAACAGAAATTGGTGTTAAGTTGTATTACGGATTACTTTGTCATGATCAGTGCTGTCTTTGAACATTCGCACTTCATAATGTGACATGATTTTGTATTACATTTAATGTTTATTTGTTGCAATTGGGCAAAACTGTGGCATAAAATAATTATCTTGCTGCCTTTCTTATATTCATCTGTTTGCCATTGCCATAGTAATAGACTGGCAACCAGCAGTGCTTCGTCTTTTTACAAACATTTTATAGCAATTTATGACCACTTGTCTATCATAAAACTTTCAGTGGGCATTAACAGTATCAAATGTTATTAGCAGAAGAGATTTATTTCCACTCTGCTTATTCATTCATGGTGACAAACAGTGCAACTTAGTTTTTAATCATTCAGTTATAAAAACTATTATAATTCAGCTTTGAAGTGTTGCTTAGAGGCTAAGTGTAAGTATAACTAACTAACTAGATGGCTTACCGAACCCGAAGGTTCATCACCGAATTAACCAAAGCCCTGCACCGGACCCTGTCCTGAGCCAACAAAATCCAGTCTCCTTCACACCTCTTGTCCCATCCATGTGCGCTACATGCCCTGCCCATCTCATTCTTCTCTACATACAAATTAAAACAAAAACAACTTTTGTTTTCTTATGATATTTAAAGAAACAGATAGGCACTTCATCCTCTCTTGCATACACTAGTTGTTTTTTTTAATAAAAAAAATTTTCAGGAAATCAGCCGTGTCAATTTTGAGTCAAAAACCAACATTTCAGCTAGTTCTGTCTAGATTATCAGGACCAGAGACTGATGAGGCAAAGTTATTCTCCAGTAACGCTGATTTTTTGACTCGGCATTTACACAGACGATCACCCAAGAGGACCGTATAACATTCATGTGTCGTGAGTTTTAAATCTTACTTTTATTTTTCTCCCCCTTTCAGATTGCAGTGAATGGACAACATTACGCTGAATATGGTCACAGGATTCCTTACCAGAGAGTGACTTACCTCGCCATAGATGGTGATGTAACAATCTCTCTTATTAATTATGAGGGTGGAAGCCGTGTTCCTGGTGGAGGTGTGGGTTTTGTTCCTCCTCTCATGACTCCCGTGCCTCCGCCCCCTATGCCAGGATCTGTGCCATATCCCACAAATCCTACTGCATACCCCACAGTTCCAGGTGCAGTGCCATACGGTGCGCCACCCCCAGTTCCAGGCGGTTATGCTTACCAACCAGGATATGCACACGGTTATCCAGTAAGTCGTTAATCGTGTTCTCCTAGAGTTTTGTAATGTAACTTGTGTTTGTATCACTGTATTTCAGCTCACAAGTTCTCTTTTGAAGGAACAAAACTATAAAATATTGTGGTCAAGTGGTTAGCACTCCTGCTATGTATCAGGAAGCCCCAAGTTCAAATCTTGGCCTGAAGACTTTATTTTCTAACTTAGGGTTTTTCTTGGGTTTCTTCAGTACCTTGACACCAGTGCTGGGATAGTACCTTAAATTAAGCAATGACCTATTCATTTCATATCCCTTCTGATTCTTTATCCATTAATCATCCTATTATTCAACTTTGTGTAGTCTGAGCTACTGACGGTGTCATTAAATGAACCAAAAATAATTACTTTATTATAACCTCCTGCTTGTAACTTTTGAAATATAAGTCCAGACAAGAGAATCTAGTGAGATTTGTGAAGTGTATTTTTTTTAACATCATTTGCATGAATTGTTTTTGCTTCTGTGTTCTGGGACAAGCTGTAACATGCTTAGATGTCAATGTTCATTGCTTTTGCACTTTCTTGCTTATTGGCCATAGGATGTAATTGTCTTCTTGTGGATTTCATTATTTTCAGCCTCCACCACCAGGCTACGTCCAAACCTCACCCTCAAATAAGGGTATTCAGGGGTTGTTAGACAAAGCTGGGTCACTAATCACAGGAGTGAGTATTCTTCAGCTGTTGAAGTACTTCTCTATTCCGTATGATTATATCTGTGCTGTGGAACTTCCATGTAACCAAATCATTACATATCACTGAGATAACCTACATAAGATGCTGTAATACTATGGAAGAACTGCATAATGACGAACTTAAAAATTTGTACTCCTCCCCCAATATTGTCAGGGTGGTTAAGTCGAGAAGAATGAGATGGGTGGGGCATGTAGCGTGCATGGATGGGACAAGACGTGTGCACCGGGTATTGGTTTGGAAGCCTGAGGGGAAGAGACCTCTGGGGAGACCTAGACATAGATGGGAGGATAATCTCAGGCGGGATCTACGGGAGACAGGAGTTGAAGGAGACTGGATTTTGTTGGCCCAGGACAGGGTCTGGTGGAGGGCTTTGGTTAATTCGGTGATGAACCTTCGGGTTCGGTAAGCCATCTAATTAGTTAGTTAATACTATGGAAGTTGAATCAAAAGATTCCATCAAGAAACAGACTGATCCATCTGCATTTTAAGTATGTGTATTTTCTTACCACTATTAGTCTTGTTTCCAAAAAAAGAATTCTTCGCAGAGCAGCCATATCTATTTATATATCTTTCCTCTGCCAATAAGTTTTGAGCCAAAGGAGCAGTCAGCATGATAGTCATTATGAAAGTTGCATAGTTCGGGCTACTGTTCACACCATATGTTCTGAACACTTGTTGTAAGGTTTCAGTGAGGTGTAGCCACTACTGTATAATGATATGCAGATTTTTACAACGGTGAAACTTCTCTAAAGCTGCAGTTAGATTATGTTGTATTCATATAGCTTTACCAGAATTTGATAATGATGTTTCTACACATCAAATGCGTTTTCAGAGTAATAATGTACTTCACGATCTTCAGACTTGAAATTACAGTACTGTATTGATTATTGGAAATCATGTAGCGAGTCATGTGCTTGTACAGTACACATAAAACTGAAAATTAATCGTAGTCCTCTGGTACATACGCATTACGTGTCTCGCAGCAATATTTTCTTGCATATATTTGTGGGATTTTTCTTTTCTTCCCCTCTCTCTCGCCCCTTAATGTATGTCACTGCTTCATGACTGTTAAATGTTCTGTGGTTTGGAATTGACACATTTTATATCTGCTGCTGCGGCTGCTTCTTATTTCTCATCTTCGTGTGGAAGCATTTGACAGTCCTGAGTTTGGATGTTATAATATTATAGATGATGTTATTGTCTGTCTAGTTCTCTTCCTCTCATGAACCTTTCAGGATTAAATTAAAAACACTGTATCATTATACTAGCAGAGCTGTTGATTCAAATGCCCTTTATGTATTGACAGTGTGGCAGGAGGCAATTTTTAAAAAAATTAAGGTTTCAGTTATATATGTTTTAAATTTCCATTTGGTTAATTTTAATGTCAGTGATGCAGGGGCCATAAATTAACAAAAGAAAAATAACATAAATTGAAGTACTGATGTTTCGTGGCAGTCATCTAGTAATGTCGTGAAAGTATTACTTTATTTCTTTGTACACTGTCCATTGTCTGAATAAAAAAAAAAGACTTGCGAATTTGTTTTCAGGGAGAAGAGAAAAGACCTGGTGTATAAAATTTATATGAAATGTTTGGTGTTATAACCTATCACCATCGGTTCTACCTGTTTGCTCTCTTCTTATTCATTTGAATGAATTAAGCCTTTAAAAACTGTAACACCATCAGGGGAAATAATAATTTGTTCTCATGAATATAAAACAAGCTTGTAGGATTTGAAATTTGCATGGTGGTGCGTCTGAAGATGGCTGTCTTCTGGGTTGTTGCACCGTGTATAAGTTTACCGACATTAACGAGCTTGATGTCTTCTTTTTTAAGAAATCACACCATGGTCATGGTGGAATTGGGACAGCACTGGGTGCAGGTGTGGCAGGTGCGGCTTTGACGGGACATCTGAGTCCAGTAAGTTTCTGTGTATATTATTAGCCGTTCTGTCAGTATTTCAGAAACTACAAATAACTATACTGAGTTTTATTTACTGGTTAGCATATCTGATGCAAGCTGTTTCTGTAGTAAAAAGAGGAAATCCTGTGACTTATATACCACATATTAGAATATGTGACAGTTTTGCACTAGGGGTACATTTTTAGGATGCATAGTTATACACTTTTGACTGCTGTAACTTGTTTTATACATAATGTTATTGTTTAGCTTATGGGGGAAGTCACACAAAATATTTAAAATTGTTGATCCCATGAATATGGTCACAGTTAGAAGATTTGTCTGAAATACTGAATAATAAAGTAATACACACACAATTAGAAATCTGAACGTAGAAAAAGTCTGTTATAGGTGATTTATAAGTTTTCGACTTAGTCAACTCAGCCTAATTAATACCAATATATAGAGTTGTCATATAATAAGACATATATCAAGGTTACAAATTTGGAATTACATTAAAAAATGAGCACTGCAGAAGGAACAAATGTATATAAATACAGTTAAAAGGACAATTTAATAGTGCAAGGTTGTTCGTCTTAAATCTGTATTGATTAAATGAAAAAAATAATTGCAGCTAAAAATCAGTTCATCATGTTAGTTAATTGTTATAGCCCAAGTACAAATACAGTAAGGAAATTAGGAATCTGTCTTGACACACACCCCTGCTCATTTTGTGCTTTTTTTTCCCAGAAAAAGGCGTACAAAGCGCAGAAGAAATCTCATAAAAAGGCGCTGAAATATGGTCTTCCAGTTGCAGGGTTGGGATTAGGTGCCTATGCACTCCACAAAGGATTTCATCATGGAAGCAGTTCCAGTAGCTCAAGCAGCAGCAGCAGCGAAGAAGAATGAGATTATTTATACACACTTGAAAATTTTACTCATCGAATGAAACTCCTGTTTATGAATGTGCTTACACTAAACAGAAAGAATAAATCAGAAAGATTATACCAGGAAAACAGTTGATTTGCCCAAAAATGCAGATGTGTTGTTTCTCTTCACAGACGTCATATAAGTTATTTTGGTATTGCTTCTGCAAATCCTGTATCAGCTATTGATAGGATTTTGTGTATATATTTGACGTTGAAATAAAGGTTATATATACATACACACACAGTGTACCATTTAAAATGCAACCCAAAAACAATCATGAAAAGTGAGAGAAGAAATAAATCACAATCACACGCAGGTCCACCCCATCGTAATAGACTGTAAAGATCACCCTGGTTGCTAGGTCACAGCCGACACCACTTATGCATGAGCTGTGAAGGTGCAAACATGGTGTATTCACGAGCAGGTCTATCTACATTAAGAATGGGAAAAAAAATTCTTAAATTCTATAATCATTAATAAAATACCAGCTCATATATCGTTACAATGTATTAAATCATGGTTAAAAACTTGTATGTTCTATTTCTGCAAGGTGCCTAATAAAAGCAGCAATTATAATTTTTGAATTTCTTCTTTTAATTACCCATCACATTCATTCCCCTTTATTTTAGAAATTATACTCAATGCTTTTTCAGGTATTGATTATGCAAAGCGAAAAAATTGCGCTTTACAGTACATGTGATGTCTGAGCGTCTTGAACCCTGTGTCCAAAGGCTTTATCTTTTATTTGAAGCAATTCATTATTTCCATGGAGCACAGTACTTTTTGAGAAGCTAATGGTCACTCATCTAGTCAAAAAATGTCCCATCTTTTATGGAACCAGAAGGTTCATTACTGTGTTTATAGGAGCTGGCCGATTATCCCTATTCTGAGCCAGATGACTCCAATCCACAGCCTTCAGATCTTTTTACCGAAGATCCCTATTTAATATTATCCAATTTATGACTATATCTTCTGAGTGTTCTCTTTCGGACTTCCTAACCATTTTTCATATATTTCTCCTGCCCATTTCATTGTCTATGATTTTATTATCCTAATAATACTTCTGGTGTAGGGGTTATCGTGATCCTGAAGGCAGTTCCCCCAGGGCGAGACCCTTCCATTGCATTGAGGTACCTGCACCTTGTCGTGGTGGTGGGGCTTGAGTACCTTAGTGATCCCAAGAGCTATGTTGGCGGTAGCATAGCTGCTGGTAGGGCGTCCCTAGCAGATTGGTCGAGGGGGAGAAGTCAGACTAAGACAGGTACCCTGGTCCTCCAGGTTGGGGGTTGGTCGCAAGGCTAACAACCTTGCACCGTAAAAAGGAAGATGTTTCGAAACCTCGATCAAAGCCTCGGACAGACGGACCGGAGAGCCATAGAAGAAGACGAAGAAGAATACTTTACGAAGGTTACAAACTATGTATGGCTCTCCTAAACATGCAGTTTTCTCCAGCTTCATTCCATGTCATCCCTCTTAGATCCAAATAAACACCATCAACATGTGTTCTTCCCTCTATGCGAGAAACAAAGTTTCACACCCATACAAAACAAAAGGTGAAATTACATTTTGTTTACTTTGTTTAATTAGCAAATGGGATGACAAAGGGCTTCTGAGCTGCCTGGGAGAAAATGTTTCCTGAAATTTATTTGCTTTTAATTCTCAAAGATCTATGCTAATATTATTATCCTCCCAACTGGAATCTTCTCTTCAAAAGATTCAAGAACATTGAAGAGTGAAAATGTAAAGTAAGTGACCACTGGACAAAGGAAATTTTTCACTGGTGGATTTGGGTCAAATGGTACAGCAAAAAAGACACATTTGGGTATTTTTAAACATTTTTCAACAAAGAAATTTTCACAGTACAAATTAAAAAAATCACAGGAATATGTATTCAAATCAAGATCTTTATTACAGCCTTGGAAACCAGTGAAATTTTTGTTACGCTGCTTGATAATGACCCACTATTTTGAGCACTTTGAATACAGATACCAGAATGAATGACTAAGGTAAAGTAAACCACTTACTTTTATTATGCAGATTAAACAACCATCACCCAAAATCAGAATGAAATGTTATTAAAATTGTAGTAGTTGAAGTAACTTCAGTCCATGCATGCATCTTCTGCAATGTTTCATCTCCTCAGTCCCCATATTACTTACATTGATTCATATAATCTGCTGCTGACAGGCTAATTTTCAGGAGCTCCCAACTTCCACTTACTAAATTCTATTACATTAGGTATCCTCTTTATCTAACTCTTGAACTTCCATTTCATCTGTATGAATTGTTCCAATTGTGAATTCATCCATTGCCTAGGGAAAAATATATTTTGTGAGAAAGAATGAAAATTATGATGCATTTTTCTTTTTGTATCCAGTACGCACCATTCAGCATAGTGTGCATTGGTAATTAGTAGGATTCACGACCCATCAGTACATGGGTTTGCTCAGGACCGCGACATTTAACGCTCCTGCTGTGACCCCCTTTTCACAAAATGATGATGAGAGTGGAGTAATTGGAGGGATGCCACGGAGAAACCCCGGAGGAAAACTCCGTGATGCCTTGACCACGGCCTTGCCTAAAACAAGTTGTAAATCTGAGCACCGCCGGGAATCAAACCCGGGACCCCAGTATTACAAGCCTAGCGTTCTAACCGCTAGACCACCGTGGCGATTATGATGCATTGTACATAAGCAACTCTTGTATGCACTTTCACTATCTGCATTTTCACTTATCTGTGGTTTTATTTCAGTGTTGTGAGGTGTATCGATACCCTGTCACCAAATTTTAATGCCTGTTACCTACACCGCACCTTCTCAAGGCTTATTGCAGAATGTGACGCAGATGATAAGCTTAGCGTCAAGAAATTCTGGTACCAGATTAATGTGGTACCTCATACCTCATCACCTGCCTGTTTGGGATTACAATTACACAAATAATGTTCACTGAAACATTTTTTTGTGTAGCTATGTGAGATATTTTGCCATTCTATTAGTTGATGAAGTGATTTTTCATAACAGTTCTACTTCCACTGTCAAACCATCACAGTCAATCTAAATGACGAGAGATCACGGCTTTTAATATCTCATTCATACTTACATCGACAACCTTCAGCGCCTTCAACTCTTCTTTCTTTTTTCTTTCAAAGAATCCAGCCTAAAACAATATTTAGTGTCATAATATACCCTTTATAACACTATAAATTATGTAACAAACTATTAAAACGTTTATTCCACACAACATCAGTGACAAACGATTAAGATCATTGTGATACTGCAAATGGAAGCATTTTGATGGTGATATTCAAGCATATTTCATTATAATTAATTAAATGTAAACATGAAGTCCATAATGCATCTCTGATGTTCAATTATACATAATTTTACAGCATAAAAACTACATGAGTTACTGAGCACTGACGATGCTAATACACAGAACAATGTAATGAATAGCAGAGAAACAAGGAATGCAACCAGTGTTGTTTTCTCCATCAGAATTTCTGAATGATGAAGAATGGAAAAGTCTTGGGTGACCAGAAAACTAAAGTTTCTTATTAGCAATTCATTAGATTTATTGGGTTCTGTATGGTTCTGACGATGGTGTGATATAGTTGAGTTTGTAGAGTTTTTGGATTTTGTCCATCATCCAAGGTTAAAATGTATATGATGTTTCGAAAACCAGATCCATTTTTGTCTTCAGGTGTATGGGGCAAGGGCACCTACTCTGCTGGGTCAGATAGAAAGAGCTAGTCTCAATCACTGGACTGCCCCTTACACCTGAAGATGAAAATGGATCCGGTTTTCAAAACATCATATACATTTTAACCTTGGACGATGGATAAAGTCAAAAAAACTTACAAACCTGACCATTAGATTTAGGATTATTATAAATTCAGTTTCCCCAAAGTAACAGATTATACAGATAAAACTGAATTTTGGAGCATCCAGTACTTACCTTCATCAAGCCTATAACAAGGAACATAAAGAGAAGGATGCCAGCTATAATGGCCAATGCGATGATCCAAGTAGCTACCACTTCCTTTTGGACATTTCCAATAAAAATGGAAGATACCATCACTGAATTGTTCCTGCAGGTGTAGAACCATGCTATTAGTTATTATAACAAACCAAAAGAAATTCTCTAAAAATCTGATAAATTACATATGACAGAGATTAACTGTGTCTTTAGTATTAAAAATACATACATACTAACAACGCTAGTTACAAATATTTGAAAGTGTCTATAATTTTTCAGAAGCTGACAGTTTTGAAACTAGTTCTTTTCTTTTTTTATTGTCACATCCTGATCAGCATATTTTAAGCTTATAACAAGAATACAGTGAATGTAACAGCCAAGTGGTTAGCACCCCTGCTTCATATTTTGGACATTTTGGTTTCAAATCTGAGCTTGGTGACCGGCTATCTTGACTGAGGGTGTTCGTAGTTTCCCTCAGTCCCTCCAGATAAGTGCTGGGATAATACCTGAAATAAGGCCATGACTGCTTCCTTCCATATCCTTTTCAATATTGTAGTCTGAGCTACTGACAGTGTCATTAAGTAGATCACAAATAAATAAATTATGCAATGTGAGTGTTCTATTTCTGTAGAATTATAAATGTGAACATTTTAATAGAGAATACTGCAGACAATACACGGCGAAAAAACAAATAACAGACCAGTACAATATAGAAGAGAAATTTATATTTTATAATGAATTCTTCTCAGACTACCAGTTGTGTGAGGTGGTTGAAAGGGGAAAACACCTACGTTTCAAGAACCATCTTCATTCTCGTCCTCAGGGTACTGAAGTTCAGTCTGGCTGGCTGGCTGGCTGGTATCCCAAGAAGAATTCATTATACTTAGTTGCCATGAAATCTTCAGGCCATAAATTTTTATTTTGCTCATGCCAAAACTATTACTAACTCTTAAATATGTCATATATTAACGTTATATATTTGAAATTTTTAACATAAAATTTGCAAAAAAAAATTAAACCTTGTGGATATTACCCAGCTGTTGACTTCAGATTTTCGGGTTTCTTAATAGTAACTGATCCACTTGTTGTGAGATGAATGATATCCTTCTTTCCCATGAATGGACCTAAGAGCATAAGGTCCAGATTAAATTAAAGAAATGTTTACGATGCTTATTTTTGCATATAAAATTATTATTATATAATAATGAATGTCACAAATGGCCTCTTGACGACAATAATAGAATCATCTTTGTGTATTCACAACACTGAAAGACTGGTGATGCAGATAACAATTTGATTTGACAAATAAGAATGCATTTTAACTATAATGGATTTCATGGACAATCAAATATTCTAGGGCAGCCATTCAGTTTGTACCATTACTTCTTTTGCAGGGCATCTAATAGCAATGTAATAATAGTGTTAAATTATAAAATACTGCAATCTCCACAAATGTTTACTGTTTTCACTCAGCTACCATTTACAGAGTGAAAGCTTTTATTATGGCACAAATAACTTATGTAACTAAAGTGGGGAATATGTAAAACAAGGCGATGAAGTACAAGTATATACCAACAGACAGCACCATTAGTTGGTTAATTTAAAGAATGTTCCACTTAAAACACAACATTAACTGATACACAATAGCCCTTTAATGCACAGAATGATATCAACAGCAATACTGAATTCGTTGTTGCTGATGAACTACCTGAAATCGGTATGGCCTTATTTCAGCCATTTTGTTACTCAATGAGCACTTGTCACAGACAAATACTTCTTATGTCCCAAACTTTCATTACCAGTTAGTGTACTATTATTTTATTCAGTGCTTCCATGGTAACACAGTGGTAAATGCTTCATGAACATCCGAAAATGAAATTGGTGCAAAATAATGTTCAAGAATAAACACATATTCTGTTTGTAAATACAAGATGTTCAACTGATACAGCTTCCGTGGAACTGGCATTAGCAGAGACTGCCTAGAAACCAGGATGACCTAAACTCAAATGTCACGTAAGAAGTTGGGAGAGTTTATTAATGGGAGGTTTGGACCTGTTTCTGTTTTCATTTTTGTACCAGAGTACATGATTGTTGTTTGGTTGTGTTTTAAATGGTATACTCTGTAGCTGCCAAACTAAGTCATTAATTTCTTAGAAGTGTTCAACATACCTAGATCACTGATTCTTAAGATCATACTCATTATTATTATAGCTGAAGACTGGGAGGTACTGTCAAAAGGACCAGCAGTACATGTTACAGCATTACACACAACATTCGGTGTGGAACAGTTTATAAACAAAGTACGATTCGCTGGTGGTTGGTATCCTTTTGCCTCACTTTGCATCTTTGACACATCTCTTGTTGCCAGAATTTCCTGATTTTGTATACCAGACTTTGGTTCATCATCAGAAATGTCTCCATCTTGTACATCATCTTCAGAGTGAAAACGTATTCTTGATGAGCATGATAATGGTTGTCCATTAAGATATGCCTAAAATGAACATGTAAGAGTTTCGACAAGAGGAAATCAATTCTGCTGAAAGTATACATTTGTATCTTCTATAGAGAACAGATATTTGTTATTAAAAATTCGAGAAACAAATATATTTCTTATCCTATGTGGCCATGAAGATTTTGTACTTTAATATTGATAAAGGATCATCACATTTAGAGGACTGGACCAGCTCACATGAACTACTGCTTAAGTCACTGGTGTCCCAAAAGGAATTTGTTAATCTCAAGCCTAAGATGAAGGCATTATACAATGAAAACAAGAGGCATGCAAAAAATTATTAAATGGTATAGTAGCAGTGGCAAATGATGGTGAAGATTACGATGGTGGCAGTGGTAATGACATGATGATGGAGTACATGAAAACACAAAGTTGTCCCTGGTACTTAATTAAGCACTGCAGATATATGAGAGAGTGACGGTACAGCCCCATATATTCTTAACATTGGCACTATAATAATGATACACATCCAATTATAAAATCAGAAATTTTAAAAATGAGTTCCCTTCAGCAAACAAAGCATCTAGTTCCTAACTTATTAATATCACACATATACTAGAATTTGGGCAATAATAAAAACAGGCACTATATGTAACATTTGTCTTGGTATCTTACAGGAAGGCTGGGCAGGGTGGAAGTTTAAATTTAATTTTCTTCAGAGAAGCAAATCAAATCATTTTGTAACTCATCTTTCACAAGTTTTAGGAACTTTCACCCAGAAAGCTGATTTTTATATAATGCATATTATCACAACAAACCCTTTTCAGTCTGTTTAAATATTATGTACATATCACCATCAACACACCTTCTTTGTTACAAATATATTCCTGTTGCATCGCATGTTTTAGTCTGATATATTCTCACTTAATATATCTGGGCCTTCAAATTGAAGTAGCATTGTTTAACAATATTGTGTAAGTGTAATCCACAGAGTCACTGGCATGTTATTCCCTATTATCGTATTTTTTTACACAATATGACAATGTAAAATTAAGAACATGTTACAATTATTAAATAAGTACCATTTAATTTTACCTTTGGGCTATACAATTCCAAGAAAGTAATTTTCTTGCTGTTTGATTCATACCATTGTACAGGAATGCTAAAATCAACTTCTGCAACTTCAATTGGACTTATTCCCACTTTCTGCACCTATCAGAACAATTATAACATCAGCGACAGTTTCTTACTCCTTTTCATTTGTCAACATACATGCATAAATAGTTAGTAATTAAGTAATTTACACCAGATTAAAAATCTACTGCTGTGTTACATTTTAAAGACTGCATATGGGAGTTCAAAAAGTCTGAGATGTTACTAGAAGGTGTTCCTGGCGATAGCTCCATCACTTTATAAAACCAATAACAACAGAAATTACTTTGATGTTAGTTGTCCAATTCTTACCTCATATATCTGTTTAAATTTCATTTCATTTGCTTTGAAGTAAGAGTATACATCTTCTTCTGATTTTCTGTAAATAAATGCTGAGCTGTTAATTACTTTCACTAAGTTCATCTCCTAATACAAGCACCTACTTTGTGACACAAGCTAAGTGACAATATCATTATATACACTTTAAATGTTACATCTGGTAGTCTGACATCTTACATTTTCTACTTTAAGTAAGCATCAAATACACATTTTAACCATAGCAAAATTTTCTTTGTAATAAACAACTGAAAATTATAATTTCTTTTAACACTGATATTAAATTAATAATTTTTCTAGCATTCTGAAAAGCATAAGTTGCAATGAACAATCTACCTTACCCAATAATACTGACATCTGCATCTGTGGTTAAATTAAGACGCAACTGCTGCTCATGCAAATTTTTGTCTTTACTCTTGGTGTAGGCCGAAATGTTAAACGTGAGAGACTCAGATCCGACTTTTACGCCGCTCATATCCAGATGCAGTGTCACGTGTTTCTGTAATAAATAAAGGACAACTGAAATAAGATGATAAACCATAGTATGAAGCTTTAAATAGAATAATTAAGTATTTACAGAAACACAAACACACACAGAGCAGCTTATCCAGTAATTTGTAGCACTTTGGTCAGGCTACAAGTTTCATGCAGTGTTCTGAATCAAAAATTAAACTGTAGGCAAATGATCCTTAGCGATAAAAAGGAAGACGTCGGGGTCCGCAGTGGCCGCGCAGTCTGAGGCGTGAGCCTTGTGCCACTTGGTCGCTGGGACCGTGGGTTCGAATCCCACTCAAGCCATGGATGTTTGTCCCCGTTTTTCTGTGTTTTGCTGTCCTGTGTACAGGTAGAGGCCTTGCGACGGGCCGATCCCTTGTCCAAGGAGTCCTATCGAATGTCCATAAATCAAGCCAACGGAAAGTTGGGACCCGTAAAAGCGTACCGGAAAATGTATAAACATTGTTAAACCAGAAATAGAAGAAGGAAGATGTCATACACAGGAGGCTTAAATGTATGTTGACAAGACACACACATGCAACCACAGCTCGCCACAGACCAGCTACAGCCACCGAAACATTGGATCAATAGCTAAGTGCATAGTTATACTCTGTGAATAACAACATATTGTGCAGTATTACTTGAAATACATTTGTGAAACATCTTATTTATTTCTAAATCCAGTTTAAACCATTTGATTAAATGAATTAGTTTCCTTGATGCCACTGATGATGACCTCTTGAGGTTGAAATGCGTATGGAAATAGTGTCTTTTTATAGTGTTAATAGTTGTTTGTTTACTTATTTTATATTCTAAGACACATATAATTTGAAAGAAAAATATGAGAAAAAATTATAAGAAAAATGTTGTTTTAATTCATGTCCCTTTAATTTCATTATTAATATAAATGGACATTTGCTAGTAACAGAGCTTAAAATTCAATACTGAGGAATTTTATATATTTTTCACCATAACAGTTATTAAACTATTATACAATATAAATAGAAATGTATCTGTATTACTGTTTATAAATGTTGTTTACAGACTGTTCTGTATAAGAGACTTCTTACCGGGTTTCCAGTTCTCAAAGGGTTGCCAAAATAGCAATTCAACTGCAAAGCATGCATTAAAGAAGTTTCTTGACAGTCCATATGACCCCTAGCAAGTTCTACAGGAGATGGTATGGTTATGTTGACACCAGCCATATATGCAGGTTCTCCAGAATTAATTAAACCAATGTTTAGTTCCAACTCTGATTTTGATCCAATTATGAAAGTATCAGATCTATAACACAAAATGTTATCCAAAATTATTTCACAATTTAAGAAACTTTATGATTGGAGATTTTAAGCACTGTATGAGACTAAAGCACAGTGAGATATTAAATTAAATCCGTGGCGTAACAGCTCCAGAGAGCCAAAGCCGACTAGCTTGACTGCTGGCCTCACGTTCACATGCCTAAGCAGAGGTGAACGATCATCCAACCACATATAGGGTGACGTGTGGTCAGCACAACGAACCCCCAGCATTTGCTAGCTTTCCTGACCAGATTACGCTACTTATCGTAGCTCCCCAATTTCCTCACGATGCTGGGTTGACACCGGCCCCATACAATGGTCGAAATCTCATGAGAAAATTTCTTCTCCCCCGAGACTCGAACCAGCGCACATTCTGTATCGCCGGTCCGAAGCATGATGCCTCAGACCGCGCGGCTACGGCGCAGGACACAGTGAGGTATTACACACACCATTTTACACCTACCTAGGTGCATAAGGTCTTATGACACAACAGATATTTTATATCTTATGGCTATCTATTACGCTAAACATAACAGGAGCTCTGTACAACGGAGGTTGTGGCATGACGGAGAATATAAATTTAAAGACTAGATAATCCGTGATATCTTGTTAACAGCACAGAAAACAAACATTATTTGATGCAACCCTCAGGGTGCAATTAAGAGAAATTGTGCAAAACAAAATAAATACACACTGGGCTTTAAAGCTATCAATGGTTAATCCAGATTGATAACTTCAAATCTATTTTCTAGTTTTCTAACAAAGAACAGCATACATACACTAAACCTGAAAAGCTGGATTTCAGTTGCAACTGTGAAATGCAAATGTTGTCATCACCACAACCAGTTGCAAAGGGTATATCTATCTGTACACTGCTGGTGGACTGCTTTTCATTTAGAACTGGAATATATTTCTTGAAAGTATCCTGCACTAAAACAATACACAATGAATTAACATGTTCAAATAAGGCTTCCCTGTATCTAGAACCATCACATTTATATATATATATATAATGAAGCACATAAAACAGAACATACACGATTTAATCATGGGCATTTCGAAAGAAACTAATTCTTTATGTTAAGTTCATGATAACTTGTGTATCATTATGTGATATTCAACATGGATACGGGTGTGTTTGTGCATGTGCACGTGCAACACCTGTAAAGATAGGATGAAACAGAACATTACCTATCGTGTAATATGAATCAGGAACTACTTTTACTTTTACAATAATGTGGTTAAAACCAGTTTCTTCTTGTGAGGGAAAACCGGAAACAACCGGGATCAATTACAGACCATGTCACAATGAAAACTGTTCACATTACTGTTGTAAATAAATGTAAAAAAACTTAACGCATGTATGTCTATAAACATAAAATCACAGAAACATCAGTTCTTTTGTGACATATTACACATTAAGTCATTATGGTATTAATATCAGCAGAAAAATGCTTCATAAGAACTTTAGGTCACACACTTTTTGATCACAAAAGAATTGAAGAACTTATGGACATTATGGAAAAGCAACTAAACATTACACCAATAATAGATTTTATAAAGCAGTACCAGAAAAACTAGAAAGAACATGTACACATAATGATTTCAGACAATATACCAAAAATGATTTTAGGATACCACCCAAAAGGAAAGAGATGTTTGGGCTGACCCCTCAAAAGATGGAAGGATTCTGTTATGTAACGCCTGTAACAGGCCATAAGGCCTATACCGGAAAAGAAGAAGAAGGAGGAGGAGGAGGAGGAGAAGGAGGAGAAGGAGGAGAAGAAGAAGAAGTAGTAGTAGTCAGTTTAATAAAAAATATCTTCAAAAACTAACGATCAGTTTAGCGCACCTACTTCCTTAAATTTATATTCCATGGCCTTCTTGCAGCAAACTCTGGCATTATATAAGTCCCTATGGATTCAAGAAGTACATGACACTGCTGGGTATGTCCGTCATGATGCTGTGCACAAACACGAGTGGTAAATTCAACTAACCTTTTGTTACATTTTTTCCGACCAAGATCAATGTTTTATTTTCTCCACCTCTTATCAGTCTCTGGCTCACTCTTATACTGATAGGTTCAAATATGTGCTGATCTAAATGTGTCCCCTGTAAAACAGAAGCGCACACACACGCACTTTCTGAGCTATGCAACGGAAGTAAGCACATAATAGAGAACTAAAATTTCAGTGGTTTTGTTGGGTGGGGGGGGGGAATTTGTTGGTTCTTGTTCTTGTTTCCAGACATTTGTTAAAACATGATCACTGAACAACGAAACAAATGGGCAAAAATTACTTAAAAAACTGTGATTCTGAACAAAGAAAGTGTTTTTATGCCATGACAGATAAAACATTCAGAAAGAAATTATGTATATTATAGCAGTAAGCTGAACACAGTTTATTGGTCGTGCACTGTATAGTGTATAGGGAGCTATGATGTTGACTTAAGATGACATGAAATTAAAGATCATTATCTCTTTTATGAGTGCCTGATTATGATAATGTTCATGAGAATATTTTAACCAACACATAAATACAAATATACTATTTCTGTCTTACCTTCAAATTAATTTTGAAAATCTCACATTTTCCAGTGTCAGGAACAATTACAGTTTTATTGTAAGGCTTGGTTGCACCTGCAATAGTGGCTCTCTGGAAATTTTCATCCACGTTAATTTCTCGGGTTACATCTAAAACAGATTTTTTTTTACGTTTTTAAATAAGAATCTGCTGTTTAGGGAATAAATTAAACCTCTAACTTTTTTCACCATAATTTTAAAGCCTTCATAAAAATATCTTGCAATTCTTATTATCTTTAACACCTTGCAGTATTACATATTTCAATTTGAATGTTACATTTAATTTTACAGTACCAGTATATCACCAAAAATTAACAGAATATTTAATACCAGCATCTATTTTAAATATGACCAGGAGATCAACTATCCTTAAGTTAGTTTTCCTCAATCCCTGCGGACATATGCCAGAAGTTCCTTAAAATACAACCACTTCATCCAACACTATTCCCAACTTTACAAATTCAATCATCATGTTGTGTACTATTTGACATATATCTTAAACAGTTATTGATATAACTAAACATCCTGTCTAAATAATTTTTAAGGAACAGAAACCCATATATAGCATTATAAGAGAATTACAAAATTTTCAGATTACCTGAAACAAAAAATTAACTAAGAAAATATCATAATGCAATTTTCACTTACTGAGAGAATTAGGAACATCCGTCCCTTTGTAAAAAAGACAGACAGAAACATTGAAATCTGTCTCATTTCCATGAAGTTGATTGATGTCAGTATGAATCGCTGTTTGAAAATATACAACAGGATGAGCCCGAAATAGAATCACATGTCCAGACTGGAAGGCGCCAACAGCAACATCTACAACATGAGACTCTTCATCACGGATGCTTCTCTTCCCTTCTACAATTACAAAACACAACAGAAACACTTACCAGAATACATATTCATATCAATGTCAGCTGCTCGAGCAATACTGATTCCAAATCCTCTCAGATTCAAATCTATATCCTGTCCCATAATTTTCTGAGTTTGTGTAAGACCCAAAGTACTGCCACTGTAGATGTAGATAGCTCCAACATTACCATTTTCATAAGGTGCACCCACTGCAATATCTGTTTATATACAGAATTAAAACAATTATATGAAACAAGTATTCACTTTATAGGCAATATCATTACAATAAAACATTTCATTGACTAACCAGCAAAACCATCCTTGTCCAAGTCTCCCAGTGCAACAACAGCGGTTCCAAATCGAGACCCCTGGTTCCTGCCATCTATCTTTTGTGCTTTACTAAACATTGTAGACTGAAAATTAATTCAAATCGAGAACACATGGTGAAGAACACAGGAGGGTATAATTAAAATGGATATTAGAGAAGTAAGGTGATTAAGTCGAGAAGAATGAGATGGGCGGGACATGTAGCACGCATGGATGGGACAAGAGGTGTGCACCGGGTACTGGTTGGGAAGCCTGAGGGGAAGAGACTGCTGGGGAGACCTAGACGTAGATGGGAGGATAATGTCAGGCGGGATCTATGGGAGATAGGAGTTGAAGGAGACTGGACTTTGTTGGCCCAGGACAGGGTCCGTTGTAGGGCTTTGGTTAATTCGGCGATGAACCTTCAGATTTGGTAAGCCATCTAGTTAGTTAGTTATTAAAGAAGTTATGTTTATCAACTCTGACTGGATTCATCTGGCACAGGACAGGGACCAGTGGCAGGCTCTTGTGAACACAGCAATTATATATTTATACCACTGCATGAACTTTGACCCTTTGCCATGCCATTTACTTTCACTCGATCCTGATGTTATCAGAGAAATTAATTTAAATGCACTTTATACACTGCATTTTATCATGATAAGAGTAGCAAGGGACACTTCGTTTCACTTTGTCACACATGGCAAAGGGGAAATTTGTAAATGAGACAGGAATACCAATACAATTAAACTGAAATGTTTTAGATTACAATTAATGATAAGGGACAAAAAAATAGTCTCAGTAACTGGGTATGAAAATCTTGTATCACCACAATCCTCATCACTAATCAGCAGTTTATCTTACCTGTGAATTCGCAAGAAAGAGATAAATACGACCTTCATCATGCGAAATGGTGTACAGATGTGCTCCAACTATCAAATCATCTAGACCATCTCCATTAATGTCTGCTACTGCCAGACTTCCCCCAAAAAACTCACCGCTCTTTTCACCAACCAAAATCTTGACTGCTCTGTTCAATACATCTGCTTCATTTTCATATATGTATACCTGCAAATGTAACAGAGTTAAAAAATCCAGAGTGTACATTTTATGACGTTTGTTTTTTTACACAGGCCTTCGAACTGGACAGATTATTTGTAGTTACCATGATGACATATGAATATTTTGAGAATTTGTAATTGGAAGGTTAGGAGTTCAACTGATTTCAAGCTGAGCTGCTGGTGACGTGCTGTCTCTTTATATCGTACCAGCTGCAGACAATATATTTACTGTCAGTTGTACAACATTCTATTCGGGAGTCTTTAATTTCATTTATTCTCTACTTTAATTTTTTTAAGGTTAATGGAATTTGAAAAAAATATCCTAGATGCCTCACCAGTGTTGCTGTTGATTCTTATCCGACCATAGCAAGCAACTAACGTTTTTACAACAAAATAAACTTACACTGCCTTTATTGTCTGTATCTTGAGGGCTACTTGCAATATAAAATCTCTTGCTATGAAAGAACTTTCCCGAGTTTACTTGATAACCTGTAACATAGGTATGAATGATAATTCAGTACTTCTTTCCTATGTCCTATTCTTAAAATGTAATATCAGTAGTGTTAATCATTAATATTAATTTTTAAATGTATCTGTACAATGAATTAAATATTCAGAAAATTAGTAAACTGTAATATATTTAAAATGTGCCAATATTTCCACTGTCACATAAGTATGATTCATTATTTCAATTTGTGTAGTGGCATCATTTGGAGCCCTACCATAAAGGTAAAGTCAGCCAAAGGTAGCATGTTTATGGCACACTACATTACCTTGAAACTGTATTTAAAGTAATCCACTATTTAGATTGACAATAAGATAAGATTGCTTGAATAATGTCAATGAGTTAAAATTCGTACAATACCTCTGCTTTTAGTATACGATACTCTTAACATAAGCAATACATAAGTGTACATGATGGGAAACAATATCTTACAACTTTTTTACAGAATCTGGTATTCTATTATGTGGTACACTTGAAAGATGGGAATGTGTCTGAGACATTACAAGAAAAAAAATATACCAAAGCAGGAAACATAATGCTTTAAATTAATTTCATTATTCCCTTCCTGTGTACCTTAGAAAATACAAAAAAAGTGGTGTTCTGAATGAACCTGTCTACACTACCTTTATACACCACTACTATTATTAAATCAATGAATGACTACATCCCAATAACTACTAACACTTCCATACACACATGTGCAACTAACCAAAATATTTTATCCCAAAAAACCGTTTTAGGTTTACAATACTTGGCTTAGCCAAACTCCAGTCCATTGCCTGAAAACCTGTATAACGAATGGACGTTCCTGTAACAAAGAATAAAACATTATTCACTATTCTGTAAGTAGACATCCATCTGGGGCTGCATTTTCTTTTTACTAGTGCTTCCAAACTGATTTAAGACACAAATGATAAATCTGGGATCTAAAATAAGCCTCAGTATTATTTAGTTTGTGGAAGATTAAGAAATTAAAAATTAAGTACAAAGATTTCAGAGGTTAAGGTTTAAAAATTTCATGGCAATGAGAACAAGATTAGTGTCATAACCTAGAAAATCATAATCCAAACTAACATGGACTATGAATACATTCAGTACACATTGTACCTTCTCTTCCACTGAACACACAGATTATACCATCATATCTGCCATTAATATTTCCAAAGGATTTACTACTGGTACAATACAGTATTTAAAAAACAGTTACTATACTAACCTTTCCAAAGATATACTCCAGGTGCACCAATCAGTATTTCTGACCTATTATGTGGCTGGAAAGAAAGACAACTGTGTTTATGGTCTCTGTGAGCCTATTTGGATAGTATATAAAAATATGAAGTATTTAAGAATTCTCTTGCAATTACTATATTGATTCTAAACCTATTAAACAACGCTATTTTGTTTAATTTGTAAAACTTTGAATAAGATAAAATGATGATAGTGAACTTTAAGTTGAAAGGGACTTGTAATAGAAATTCATGGTATAATGAAGTTATATCTCAGCATTCACATAGCCAAAGGAAAACCACAAAAAATTTCAGTCATGATAATCAAATCTCAATTTTTGATTTCAAACTGATATCTTCCTAGTACAGTTTTGGCATCAAACTCCTAACACCATGCCCTGCAGACAAGCTAACCTAACATTCCAAAACTTCTGGGACTATCCCATACTTTTCATGAATTGTAAACAAGGTTACTCCAGCTTCTGCCACATGTTATCCATTATCAGAAACATGTGAATCTCACATTTACAAACCTCAGGTGGAGGAATGTGAACAGATATCCCTGCTTGGCCCACTGCATAATTAGGTATATGCTGTCTGTTCACTGAAGTTGTATACTTATCTACAACAAAACAAACATGATACATAAGATTTCAATGTATTTGTCTTTAAAACAATGCAATATGTCAATCTAAACATAATTTTATAACAACTTCAGAAATATTAACTGAATTCTTGTATGCCATTTTATTCACCTTTATCAATCTATGTAACCTACAAATGAAGTTTCACATAAATGTTTTATTAATAACAAGTATTCTTCACAATAAGGCAATATGACACTTCATACATCAATGTTCATACTTTAACTCAATATACAGATCTAAATATTAAATGAATGTGTGAATTCTATTAATATGGTGAATAACACCAAACACAAGGCCAAATTATGCATTATTTTTACCAACAGTGTCACGATATAACTTTAAAGCAGTTTTCACAGTTGAGGATTTATGATTCTTCTCCCACCCATAGTGAAAGATCAGTAATGGCAGACAAACTGAAATTTTAATTTGTAGGGTCAACTTACAATGAATAAACTGATCTGTGATTGGATGACACCAAATTTGAGATTACCAAATCATGTGATTTTATGTATGAAAGTCACTGTGCCAAAACCTTTCATCTTTGCAAAATTCTAATGAGGCACTGATAAATAAATCTGAAAAACTGATTTGTTGTCAACCTCCAACATCCATGGTAACAGTGATAATTTTTTGACCAAATGCTTCAGTAGCTGTAGAAAGACTAGGAGATATTGCCTTTAAAAATTAATCTTATTTTCACTATAACATACTTTATTACCTGAATTAAGCAGAGGCAATAATTTGTAGGTACCCTTAGCAGTTGTACCATTCTGCTCTATTTTTGAACAGTAACATACACCAAGCATAAAGTCAACTGTATTCCGTTCGTATGTATTTCTCCACCGATGACCACACACCTGAAAACATTTAATGTGTATTAAATATATACTGCACCATAAAATATACCACATGGCCTTTTTCCTACAGTAATAAACACAATATAAAGCAAATTTCATCAATGTTATGGCATAATATGCTAGCCACCTACAGTATTCAGTCTCGTGACAAAAAAGTAATGGCACATATGATATTACCTTAGAAAAACATTTGATAACTACAAGAATATTACAGTATTAAAACAGAATTTACTTTTCTAAAACTATAAACATGTTCTGCTAATTTAAATTGTGCGCACTGTAAACCTTGATACATATTTGACTTCATGTAACACAATTGTCCAAAAATCTTGTTTACAAAATATATAAGTGTTTGAACTCACAACAATATTTCCTTGCTCTTCTTGAATATCCATTGCCCCTCCAATCCATGCCGCATTTTTTTGTTCTCGATATTTCAATTTACCCTTTCCATATTCCTTTTTATTTTCTGTGTGAAAATTAACATACCAAAATTAATTACCACTTTATCCATTGACATAAAAATAAGTCATCCTTTCAATAAAAAGAAGCAAATAAATTAACATGTATAAACTCTGGCTGAATATGGTAATAAATATTATGAAATTTGTCTGTGACAGCCCCTGTCCATCTGAGAAATTGCTACAGTGATATATTTTTGTAGGGTGTAAATAAAGGAGATTTAGCCTATTTGGACTTTGATAATGGGGAGTTCAAAGCAAAATTAGCCTTTATAATATAGCATTTACCTTTGAAGTATGGGGAAACAATGTCCCATGGTTGTTAAAAAACAAAACATACAAAAGATACATAAATAAATGCACCTCTCACACAGACTGGTGTATTTGCTACAATAATTACATGTTTTCCAATGAAACAGAGCAACTGGGATTATCAATTCATTGTCCAACTTACCTGAAGTATCAAACTTTAATGCATAGCATGACTCTGCAATAGGACATCTAAACACCACACCTGGTTCTATGACACCTGGATATAATTTGGTGTCATTACCACGTGGAGCACCAATCTGAATCCTTAACAAAAGGTATAAACTCACATGTCAATCTTGCTAGAAATCTACAATGGGAGTTTTAATGTATTTGCCTTGGAATTAAATTTGCAGCAAAAATCTGTACCAACTAATCATAATGTGATACATGCCACAAAATTACATACTTATTACAGTACAATTCAGAGCATAATTTAAGAATGCCAATTTATTATACAAACTGTGTTTTCACAGACTGGAGATACTAGCAGATTCAATCGTAACAAGTGACATTTTCTTCTAAATAACTTTCATATTTCATCATAACAGTAATCACCAAGACATGTGAAATTGTTAGAATCATCCTAAATCTGGTTCAGAATCCACAATAGGTCAATCATATTACTTCACAAAGGAAGAAGTGGAGGAAGAGGATAATTTCTTCAAGTTATCATACAAAGTAGATGGCACATCAGTACATTACTTAATCATATGACTTCTTTTTATTTGGCACTAAACGTTCTGGACACTGCAGTTCATCGAAAACAATGTTTGCCATTTCCAGCTGCTTTGACATAACAAATTAAATGCTAATAAAATTGCAATCCATCAAGAATGGGAAAAAAGACTCTTCATGCTCACAAATACTTTTTCTTTCACCTACGATAGATAATGAAGTCTCAAAATTTAGTTCAGCATTCCGGATTCCCAAACTTCTGAAGGCAAATGCTTTGCCAAGTATCAGAATATATGCATTTAATTTCCTCTGTAATTATTTACATAACTGTACTGTACTGCACAAACATTAAATAAATAATATAAATAAATCTGAAAATAACATAATAAATCAGCCATTCTTATGGTTAAATATTATTGAACACCATTTCATCTGCGAATGTGAAAGATCAAATCCAATGATGATGATTATAAATGGTGAGTAAAGAATTGAAAAGAAGTTACTCTGACCATAGATTTGAGGTTCTCATGGCAGTGAAAATATCAGTTGTGCTCTTCTGGTTTGCGACAGCATAGTCTTGTAGGTGGTTACCTACATTTCAATATAAAGTCTGATGTACACTGATTAATCACTGCAGCCATGTACCATTACCACAGATTACATAGAATAAATTCTTGCTGTCATTTCACCTCCTCCAAATCCTACAGGACAAATGATGGCACATGAATGCTAAAGCTACTACGCTCAAGTCATTTCCAAGCATTGCTGCAACTTACCAAGGCTTGGGTCCTGAATGAAGTAACACAGAGAAACCAAAATAGCTTCCTCTTCGTCCTACTCCCTTCAGCGGATCTTCATACACTATGGGGTGATTGATGTCTAAGTTAAAGCCATGGGAACAGGTCAAGAGAATACAGGTTAGTAGTAATGTAAACAACAAAAGCATGTTCCACTAATTAAAAGCAGTTTCTAGCTTTGCTTATAAGTAATAACAATATTCAATCTGTTTTAACAGAAATGCTGTTCTCATTTCACAGAGTATGACCTAATTAACTCAAAGACAATATTATCATCTAGTATAAACACTGGTTACTTAACATGAAATGTATATCTAATACTTTCATGTCTTGTGATATCTAAACAGGAAGAAGAAAGGAAGTCTATGTCAACCACCAAACAGGAAATTGCAACAAAAGGAATTCTCTCATACTGGATAAGGTGGAGGAAGTTAAAATATCAATGGATTCATTTTTAGAAGCTTCTAATGATCCTTTATAACATATATGACAACCACCCATACATGTATTTAAAAACAGTCAGTCTTTGTTAAGATAATTATGTAATCACTCTAACATTACTATTTAGATATATAACCTGTCTACAAAGAAAATTACACTGAATTTCAGCCAAGCTAGTACACTATATACATATACAAACATATTAATATTTGGTATATCAGTTCACTAGTCATTATATTACAACACATTTGGTGTGGAAATTTGCAATGTTTTGATTCAAGAGTACAATCTCAACAGCCATACAAAAATAGATAACTTTTCATCATCTTCTTAAGTGCAACTCACTGAAACATCTGCATGAGGAATATTACAAAGGCCACACTATACACTGTTTTTGCTACCATTCCTACAGCTTACAGTATAATGAAAGAATCATCTAGTAACTGATGTAAAAACACAAAATCCATCGTGCAATAAAAATATACATCTGACAAGCTTCAGGTAATTTAGATATTTTGCATGATAAAAGAAGAAAATTATTACAACTACAACAAGAAAAGCACATAACTTTTCATGGGAATCAGTATTTAGTACAAATAAGAATAAATATTACAAGATGCACGACTCCTTTCGTTTGAATAGATACAAAGTACCGCACTTATGAAGCTGTTATAAACTTCACATCATCATAAAGTACGCTGATGATTCTCAGTAACATCTTTATACAGCTGGTCTTTTTTGTGAGTGCAGGCTCAGAATAATCAAACACTCCTGTAAAGTCGGGATGCTCCTTAACGCACAAGTTCACTGCCGTACCATTCTATTTATTAAAAAACAAAATCAAATTTACATTTTGAAGTGTTGGCACAGACCTTGTTATCTGGATTGTAAGAGGATGTAATCAGAAAAACAGATCATTGTAGCTCCATATTTAGTAGTCTCATGTCTAGACAAGGAAGTTCAATTTAGATACTTTGCAAACTACTTGCAGCAATAACCAGCAAAGGAAACACCAAAAAGGAAGTACACACTCAAAAACAAACCCTCTTCCAATGAAGTCTTCTTGGGCAATGAGTCATGTGAGAAAGGAATTAATATCCAGCATCCTGAAGACTGTCTCAGTAGTTGACGAGGCAAGTGACATGACTACACTGCATCTAGCTGTCATGAAAGCTTCAAAACCCTGTGTAAGATTTGAAGTGCTCACAGCAGTAAACATGCTGATATTGGTCTTCTCGGTTGTAACACTCTGTCGACTTGTTGGTAGATACTAATGTTTCAGAGGAGCATATTGCCTCCATATTCAGAATAAACCCTTAGAATATTTTAACAAAATGATCTATTACCAGGAACAGGGACAGACTAGAGCAGGAGTTCCAGAACCCCAAGTCTGTAACAACTGAAAAGTATGGGAAGTACTCTCTGAGTCTTTCACAGTGACTAAGTATAATAAATTCTTCTCGGGCTACCAGCATCGTCAGGTGGCCAAATGCAGAAAAAACCAATGTTTCGAGAACCATCTGCATCCTCATCCTCTGGATACTGAACTTCAGTACTCTGATGACAAGGATAAAGATGGTTCTCGAAACGGTGTTTTCTGCATTCAACCAAATGACACGACTGGTAGTCCGAGAAGAATTCATTATAAAACAAGGGAAGTTTCACAAAATTAAAAAAAATATCAGAAAGACAACCCTTCAAATATTTCTTTAAACTTTACAATGTGAGAGGGTGAAACAATAGAGAATTCTAAATATTTTAAAAACCTATGAATACCGACAAACCCAAAATTAATGTAGTAGTAGTAACTTTTTAATCAATATTTTACTTAACAATTCAACACCCCTGTCATTCTAAATCCCAATATGTGGAGGCCCATAGAACATAAATCAGATACATGAATTAAGACATGCAGAAATTGAAACAGTAGGTCGCTAAACTCTGCGTCAGATTAACTGTGCATCATGTCTGCAATGTAGGATCTTGTCCATATCTCAACTGATGATCACAATTCATCACCAGTGTTGATATAACAGGCTGAATTAGACACATTTGATATTACAATATCTGCAAGCTAAAACAAATACTACATACTAATGATGATAAACAAAAATTATCAGATGTCTTGCGAGAAGTGTCGCAAATAAAACCGGAAGTACTCAATCAGCGCAGATCAGAAAATAAATAAAAATTTGGTCTTATACTAATACATTTAACTACACTGTAACTAGAATACAGCTTCTTTTGATGATTAGACTAAGCTTGTTTTCCAGTTAAAATAAGAACAAGCTATGAGGTGGTTGATACGAGCTTCAGTTAACAATAAAATGCCTACACCATGTCCACATACAAATTCCTCTCAGATTGTAAATTCTAAAACTCTATATGCATGTGTAGCTTCACCACATTCTGTATAATGGATAAATGGGAATTTAATGTGTTATATAATAAATCACAGTAAGACAGTTTTCAATACAGCACCAACACATCAAAGTGGGTACTTAAAAAGTATATTTACACCTTCCAATGTTACAATCAATTAACCTATCTTATCTGTGACGATGGCAACTCTGATCTTACATAAATATGATATGCTTCCAGAAATCAATCTTTCTAAACAAAAACAAAAAACAGCATTTTACTTACAGACTGGAAGATCAATGTAAGAATCTGGCTCGGGTTACCTTGACGGTAAATACGTACCTTGCTATTTATCTGTTCACTACTCACAGAAATTGCGCCCATACATTGTTACCAACCAAAACATACAATATTTATCTATAATGAAACACAAAAAATAAAAATCAGTGTGAAAAGGGGACAGATTTGCAGTAAGTAAATTGTAAGAATGTATCATACCTCAGAAATGCAATTCTTCTTTCAGGTGTATTGCTATCTTCAAATCATGTATAGAAACAGCCAATTGACTAGACTTTAATGTAGCTGCACAAATATATGCAATCTAATAATTCATTCAATCTACTGTCACAAGTAAAATTATACAAGATCATGCTCATTTGTTAATAATGCAGCAACAAACTGAAACTACTAACTATACCAGAAAAACAAAGATACACAGTAAATATACATGTGGAAATACTGGAAGTTTTGCATTATCCGCCACACATGCTCTAACTCATCATAAAATGGAAGACACAAAAGAAGTCATATTTACATCATAAGCAACAAGTTTCCTTTTTAACTACATTAATTTATAGACATAGGTCTGTAATGCATGTAGTTTGTTCAGTATGACCAGATAAACAGATGACAAACAACTTAGAAGCTTCTACGATGAAGAAATATCAGACTCACAGCATGTTTGCCAATATTGAGGTACTTGATGGTTAGTCAAAACTCTTCATATTAGCAGGATCTATGAATGCTTGGAAGAAATAATTGAACTGTATCACTATCAGAACAATGGTAACAACCCGCAGACACCAATATTCAGGCATTGCAGACAAAAATAGGCCCATTTATAAAGCGCAACTTAAAAACTACGAATTAATATAAGCAGTATACAAAGACAAAGTGTATGGGTATGGAGGAAATTTAGTGGGTCAATTAGTAACATTTTACAAGTGACATGACCAATCACTACGGTAAAACGAACAGCAAGTCTGGGAAGACTGCAAAGAGTACAAAATGACAAACTTCCTAAGACATATTCATTCATATTTGTACAAAAATGGTAATGAATAATCCTCACCCTAGTTCACATTCTTGCTACTTTATATTTCTCGACCAATACGTTTAAAACTCTATGAAATAAAACTAAATTGTTGTCTGCAGTTTGACCACACAAGATAACATACGCTACTGAAGGCTATGAATAAGTAAGCATCTATTATCTCATAATAGTATTACAAATTTAGTTAGAATCTGAATCGCCAATATGATTCCTGTAATTTCTACGGGCTCTGTCAAGCCGACTCTTGAATCGTTTAAAGATCATCCAGTCAGGGTCATCAGACCCATCATTATCAGTTGCCACAATGTGAGAACCGTTGGACTCCACGTGATGATTACCGCCACTGCTGCCAGGCCGAGGACTGAACGTAGAGCTTGACTCAAGACTGCCGGTACTGCTAGAGGGTGCCATGACAGTGCCACTGTCTGGAGTTTCCACGTCAAGTAGAGACTGCTTGATATTAGGGGTTGATGGATTCGGAAGGCTGGTTGAAATCACAGTTCCACTACCGTTAACATACTCATTGTTATTGTTATTACTGCCAGTACTATCACACTCATCTTTTGTTACACTCTTATTGTAATTAAAATTTCTAGCATATGATACTTTGAGCTTAGCTAAGGCCTCTGGATTTGTGGAATTAGGAACTTCACTGTGTTTGTTTCTCGGCAGAACTCTATGACTGAAATTTTCTTCATCATTATCAGACGAACTAGAAGATGTTTCTATCAGCGTCTTTTCATGGCCATCACACTTACGTTTCACATTCCATTTCCCAACAATATTATTTTTGACTGATTTGCTTGTACTGCTCGACTGCGCAGATTTGTCATGATATGAAGAATTTCTCCTCTCAGATCTGTTAGTTCTACACCACATAGAGTCACTACTGGTGTTTGAATCACTGTCCTCTACAACAGTCCCATTTTCAGACTCACTTTGCTTTCCTCTTCGTTTCCGTAATCTCTTTACCTTCTTTGTCAATTTTCTCTGGCCATTTTCATTTCCGCCATTTAGCTGTGGCTTAGAACCACTTTGCATTTCATCGCCACTTACTTCAGAAGTACCCACAGCATCTGTATCACTACTTTTTGCTTCTGAACTCTTGGCCTCATTCCATAACTTTCTTTTGGGAGGGGAAGGTTTCCAGCCTTCATCATCATCAGAACTCTCACTAAAAGCCAACATGAACTTCATCCTTCGTTTCCTATTATCACCGCTGGATTTTGTCTCGGATTTCTTTGAATTTTTTGATGTTGATGCACTTGTAGAACCATTCTGATATCCAGATATGTTTTCTTTCTTTACAACATCACTTAACCTTTTCTTTGCTTTGTCATTTACCACATCATATTCAGCATCCACAGTGTCTTGTTTATTTACTGTAACTTCTCGCCCGCTATTGCTACTATCAGTGCTGTGTCCAGAATCAAGCATCAACATTCTTGTTTTGTGCTTCTTATTTGCTGTCCTCAAAGTCTCTGATGTGTCATCACTCTGAGAGCGGGTCCGAGCCAAACGCATCAACTGAGCACGTTTTCTTGCAATTAATTGGGAGATTCGATTCTGTGTCTCCACTGGCTGGGGTCTTTCTGTGTCTGCACTCTGATCAGGTGCTACAAGATAAAATAGTGACAATCATTAATTAGATTAGGGTAAATAAGAAGATTTCTGTCTTCTGGGTTGTTGCGCTGTGTAGATTGGTCAATGTTAACCAACGTTTCAGAGGTCATACTGCCTCCGTCATCAGGGCGATGAATATTCATCTGTAACATTGGTTAACATCGACCAGACTACACAGCGCAACAACCCAGAAGACAGAAATCTTCATACTCACTGCTGTGAAAACCTCCAATCTTACATTGTATTTTCATATTTCCCACACGAATAAAGCATGCTGCGCACACTTACCATTATTAACTTGTCCTTCTAATGCTTCCAGATATGCTGCAGCCAGGGCTTGCATTTCAATAATCTGAGAATCTAAGAACCACAATAAAAACATAATGTCAAATTACTTCAAAGGTTTACAGTTTAAAAACTGCAAAAGATCTTGACAAAAAACATTTACTCTTTTACCTGAATGCGCAGACTCTGAATCGGAGGAAGGTGACACTAAAGCATCCTGAAAAGTCTCTGCATAACCAGTAGCAGAAACCTCAGAACTCACACTTCCTTCCGAACTCCAGCCTTCAATTTCACGTTGAACCAAGGAATCAAAGAAGGCCATCATGCGAGGATCCTCTTTTGTAGACTGGTGACTGTAGTCATGAGACATGAACTGAAATAATATACACAGACTTCCTAAGAACATGTTTTTACAGTATTGCAAAAATTAATGGTCTCCAAGTAAAATATTTTTCTGTCTTCCTCCTTCTAAGGGGCTTGTGGAAACAATCATATTGAAATGATGATGAACTATGAAGTAAGGATAAATATGGAAATAGAAAAACAAATTTGGTTGATTGTTTCATTTTATGAACATTTTTATCATAATATGGGAATTTTAAACACGTATCTAATAATCAACAGCTGATGCAAGAGTCTGGAAAATTACCTGGCCACTCCTGAGCACCAAACTTAGGTAATCTTCATGGGTGAAAACTTTCCTCTGTTTATCAGTTGGTTCATTTTCATACAAAAGACTTCCCGTTGATTCTGGCAGTGGGAATGGACTCCAAAACTGAATAACATACAAAAACATGATAAGGCTCAAGTGCAGAAAAATACTACATAGTTGACATAACAGCAGCCATACTTCATTTACCTTAATTAGTTTTTCCACTCCTGAAGATGCAATTATGTAGTTTGAGGGGTTGAAGCGTACTTGATTGACAATTGATCTATGTCCTTTAAGTATCATATGTGCCGAATCAATCCACTGAGCTGAAAAGTATAAAAAGTATATTAGTTTCCCCATTCAGACTTCCAATGTATCTTTCAACTGCAAAACACTGATTAGTAAAATTGTATCAGTAACAACCAACCTTTACTTTCTGATGGAGGTATTCGCCAGACATACAGATTAAAATCATCAGAGCCAGACAACACATACTGATCATCTTCTCCAGCAAAGCAGCAGCTCTTCATGGTACATGAATTGTAATACCCAGCATGATCAAACTGACAGACGTGTGAAGGAGAATGTACGGCATACAGCACGGGCGGCAGACGGCGGCGAAGAGCAAGGATCTGAGTACCACGCTGATTGAAACGGACACTCATGCAGCTCTGAGAAGCATTCTGGCCACCATAGCGCATTACAACCCTGATCAAAAAAATTTGTTCTTTTCAACTCCACAAAATGCCATAATACAGACCCAATTATACTAACAGATAAAAAATGTCATGTAAAAGCTCGTAGGTGTGCATGCCATTATGGTTCTTCTTCTGTTCTTTATTATGCCGTCTCTTTTACAGGAGGTTGGCGACATTAAGAACAGGATTCTTCCATCCTTTTCTCGGACTGGGACCTGTTCATATGTTTTTCAGGCAGGTGATACAGAAGTGGTTTGCCGTTGCCTTCTTCTGTGTGTATGGAGTATGGAGTGCCACGGAGAAACCGGGGAAGCCCCAGAGGAAAACTCAGTGTTGCCTAGACCACGGCCTTGCCCAACACAAGTTATAAATTCGGGCACCGCCAGGAATCGAACCCGGGACCGGATTACAAGGCCAGCGTTCTTAACCGCTAGACCACCGTGGCAGTGCCATTATGGTTACCACCAGGAAATGTCCTTATATTTCTGTCACACAAAAAAACCTAGTGCTGATCATTAATAATTTATTTATAAAAGTACTATTAATGTAAGCAGGTTTCTACATGTTTCGGCCATTCATGGCCATCCTCACATACTCAAACTCAAAATATTAATAAGAAGCACAATACTCACTGGAGAGGTTTCCTCACATCCCACAGACCAACTCCTTCCTTAGAATTGGCTGTTGTGAGTATTCTGGATTCCACAGGATTGAACATAACTGCATGAAATGCTGAGGTATAATTGGCAAGGCAAAATGGTTCTGCAAAATAAAACAGCAAAATAAAAATGGGTCCTGCCAAGAAAGATGAATGAATCCATATGTTATATATAAACAATTGTTGGGATTTCATTTAAACTCTTTTACCTAGACGGATATTCAATGTTCAACACCGGCATTTCTATTTTTTTTAGTTTATTTAATAGCTGTAACAATGATAATATTTAATGTGAGGTGATAACTAATTATGAATTATAATGAATGTGGCAGGATATGACCACGGCAATGCCCACCTGAAGAACTGATAAAACTGCAGAACCAATTTCACAGCCTATATTTCAATTCATACATTATTGTCATTCAACTAATACAATAAAACATCAGAAACATAAGTCTAGAGACCAATTTATGATAAGGGACAACTACCTGATGCAGGCCCTTTCTTGAAAATGAAATAATTCAGCAAGTCAAGAATATTCCTCATGTAATACAATCTGAACGTATATTACCACATTCACAAAAGCCCATCAGTGAACCTTATCCAGAGCCAGTTCAATCTAGTCCCCAAATTTAAACTCTATTACTCAAAGAATCATTCTGATATAACTTATGGCTCTGTATCCCATGTGGCCCTTTCCCTTGACGGTAACGATAAAAAATTAATTTAACCCTTTGAATCGAAGGCTTGTCTAAATAATAACTCAGTATGTACCGCAAACAAAACATAATGTGTCTACACTGCAAAGATAAATTGGTTAATGCTGTTTTTAAGGAAATAATCATTGACTACAATAAGGATCATATAAAAACAATAAACAAAATGAACAGAATTATTGACTATTAAAGCAGATCGGGCATAATGTTACCACTAGGCTTTAAAGGGTTATAATAAAATTACAATAGAAGAAAATACAACATTTCACTGACACTACCGATTTTGGTGAACTATTGCTAAATGTGTATAAACACATTTTAAACCAAAATTCTGTAATGCATGCCATCATGCCACGACACACAACACACCGTTTGAGAAACACTATTCTAGGCATCTACACAATAGAAGACACACCTTTCTTTTAAATATTAGATACATCTCTTTTTAAAGTTTAAGAATTGCAATGTTGATAGTTACGATGGAAAACTCGGCAGCTTTAGTTAAGAACAAAAACACTTATTTTAAAGACTAATCACAATTTTGTTATCACAAGTTCTGCCTGTGACATTATAATGGCATTATGAAATTTTATGTCCAGTCAACAACTTAAAATTTACAGTACACAGAAACATTGTAACAGATTATCCTTATACCCACTACCAAATTCTTACCTTGCTGCACAGAATTCAGACTGACTATACACTTACATAACGTCCCGCGCCATAGCCGCGCGGTCTGAGGCATCATGCTTCGGACCGGCGATACAGAATGTGCACTGGTTCGAGTCTCGGGGGAAAAGAAATTTTCTCATGAGCTTTCGACCGGTGTATGGGACCGGTGCCAACCCAGCATCGTGAGGAAATTGGGGAGCTACAATGAGTAGCGTAATCCGGTCAGGAAAGCTAGCAATGGCTGGGGGTTCGTTGTGCTGACCACACATCACCCTATATCTGGTTGGATGATCGTTCACCTCTGCTTAGGCATGTGAACGTGAGGCCAGCAGTCAAGCTAGTCGGCTCTCTGGAGATGTTACGCCACGGATTTTTTATACACTTACATAACATTACAATATACAGAATACAACTATTTCAAGCAATTTACAAACCTGTGACAACAATTTCAGTAAAACCTACCTGTGCTTGGGGGTTCACGAATGTCATAAATGAGGACTCTTCCATCATCACAGGCACTAGCAAATACATTATCATTTATTGGATCTATTGAAATCCCGTAAACTGGCTGTTCATGCAAAAAATAGTCAAGAGGATCTCCACTGCAAAAAGGAAATAAGAGGTTCTAATTATTTTATTAGGGAGCAGAGACACAGAATCACACAAAGATATGCATATATACTAATACAACATAAGCCTGTATTTCCTTATAAATTAAGCAATGTAATCTCAAACTCCAATAACACTACATATAATATACAATAACTGAACATATAGCTCTTACTAGTTATTGTTGACAAATTTTGAAGTGAATTACTTGGCCCAAAAACAGTCAAATGTGCACTAAAACCTTCACACTGCAAGATTGTGGGAACCCAAAAAAACTATGTTAAATGGGAAGTCGGGTATTTACAAAAAATTTCATGCACACTGTATTTTATCTTGTTAGGACTCAGTATTTGTTTGGAATGTAATAGTCTGTAGTTTATGCTGAATTACGTATTGAAGAGAAAAACTATTAACTTATGCATAATAAACTTACGTTTTTGCATCATGAACAATCACTTGATCATCATTGCCTGCTGAAAACACTTTACTATTTGTACTGTCAAATCCAAGGCAGAATATGTTACTAATGTGTTGTGCACGCATAGCAGCAGGCTTACCAACACCATGAACTGCCTGTTCAACATTCCATATCAACACTCGTCTGTCATCCCCACCTACAACAAGCAAGGACTCACCTTTTTGTCAAAATATTTCAAAAATTTGCTTTCCTGCAAGCATGGCTCATGAAATATTAATTTATACTAAGTGTGGCTATAATAGTGATAAGTTCATAATTAACACTGCTCTTATTCAGTAATACCATTTTAAATTATATAAATTTTATATTGATATAATAAGATTACAACAATGTCAACATTAATAAAATGTAAAAGTAAATTAACAATACCAAATGAGAGATGGGTATTAACTGGTTTCATATTCAATATTTATACACTGTATTTTCATGCACTATAATTCTACTATTTTATCTTTGGCACCCAAAAAGAAGGGCTTAAGTCAATGCAAATTACATTCAACTTAAGTTCTTCTTAATAATCAACAAAGACATATATCCTGTTATTTGACACTGGATAATTTTAATTTTACTGCAGGCTTCAAGGCCATGCAGGAAAAATATTTGCAAGAAAATAGCCTTTAATATTTTTAATATAACAATGACACACCATACAGAACCATACCTAATTCTGATGATGGTTAAATAATTACACATTGTTACTGACCAACATCTAATATATGGTAGGCTACAATCTAGTGGTACTTGAAAATAAACTGTGATAAGTTCTATATTACCTAATAGTTTAGTTCAAAGAAATAAATTTATTTTGCAATGTGGCTGATATAATATTCTGATAGAAAGTAATGTAATTAGTCTAATTTATTATTCACTTATTTTTCCAGCAAACAATAAAATTATAATTACATATCAGTTTTTGCATATACTAAATGTGTTACATGTCTACCCCTGCATCTAATCATCACTATATGACTGCATGGAGGTGAAGTTCCATATATTATTGACCTGAGCACCAAATGGTGATGTGTGGTCACCTTCACACTCAAGTCACTTCATCCCCAGGGTAACAATTCCAGATACCCATTTGACAGAAGACCAAGGGGCCCCCTATCCCTACAAGAAATAAAACCCCAGCCACCCATCCCTCAACCAGTCACTGAGATATTATGGTACACTTCCTACAGAGCAAATTATTTATTAGAAAGAGCTTTTTTAATGAATAGTAAATCCTGTATTTAAAATATATACACATACAAATTAAACTTCTTCTGCCTCTCTGCTATACAGAAACATAAAAACTGAACAGTAATTGTACTTGCTTTGTATCAGTATAAAACTTGGTCTCACACTGTATGAAGAGAATAAAATATAATACAATAACACAGAACATCTGCAAATAAAATATTGAGGAGAATACTGGCCACAGAGGAAGTGATAGGAGACTTGAGAAAATTACATAAAAGGAGCTTCATAACATGTACCAAATATTATTACAATCGTCAAATCATGATGAAATTTTTGGGGTGCACAGAATACCTTGGAGAGACAGAGAGAACACATAATTATGGTCAGAAAACATGTAACAAAGGGAACACCTAAAACTCCTTGGCATAGATTGGAGGATAATATTAACATGGATCTTATAGATATAGAATGGGAAACATCAAACTGCATTCATCTAGCTCAGGACTCAGGACAGTATCGATACATTGGGTTCCAGAAAGGGCAATGAATATCTTGACTATCTAAGCAAACATCAGCATTGCAGCACATAGTTAGTTAATTAGATATACATATAAAAAACAATGAAAGAAGGTCTCTGATGCTCTGTAAAAAAGTATTAAGAAAAATGTAATTCCTACTGACTTGCACCCTAGCACATGTATGGCACTTGTAGACTACCACTGATTGGTTCTGAAACATTCATGTGAATTCTTACAAATGATGGAATTTTAATACTGCTTGATATCCATATCTATCAGTATATTACAACTTAACATTATTATGCCCACATACACCTGTTGCTCAATCTGAGCTGTATTTAGTTACTAGACGTAACAAACCATTCAAACTCACCCAACCTCTCCTTAATCGTTCACTGAATTTGGGTTTTACTTATGGTTATTAGACACAACATAAACCACTCTAATACAACAAATATAACTAGTTTTGTGGATGAACCCAAATATTCTGAAGACTAAAATTAATTTCAGTGTAATACTTTATATTGCAAGAAAAACACAATTACACCAATAAAATCTCTAATAATGTTAAAAAATATATGATTATAATTCCCAATCACTCCTCTTGTCTAACAGCTATAGGATCTACCTTATTCATGTAATGCCTTTAAAAAAAATAAATGTATCCCATCAGCACTACTCAATACAATACCCCACAATAATATAAAACAACAGAAAATTTGTCAATGAAACGTCTAAATAAATATCACTCTGAACTTGGAATTCAAAAAGCACCCCTCAAAACAAAATCACATTATAATATGACTCTTAGCTAAATGGGGGTGAGGAGGAGAAAAATTACTGGCAAAACTCGTAACTTATTCCAAAAAAAAAATAACACATCAGCACGCTGACACTACATAAAAATAATCTAATTATCTGCTAGAAACTTAAACTATTATCGCCTACACATTATGTTTCACAATCTCACCGGATGCTAGAAGCTCCCCTTTATTGGAAAACTCGATGGCGTTTACACAACCATAATGTGCTAGTAGATCCTTCCTATATAAATTACGCGCTGAATATAGTCTTTCTCGTAACAACTGCTTATTAATATTAAGTCTGTCGTTATACTGCCTCTTAACCAGATATCCTAACGGATTCGCTGGAGAAGGACTGGCCATGGCAAAATAACTTATTTGTAATAACTTATCTGCACCACTATAGCTCGTCCTCCCTTTCACGACTACTTTCAATCAGCTGCAAAGAACTACTTCGTTTGATTGCAAATTCATCTGCAAATGTAACCCCAGGTATTCCTATGCCTAACGCCAAGTACTGTCACTTCAAGGCGGTCGCACACTGAAACAATGAAAGCGTTTTATATACCATGACAACCTCCGTCGTTATCAATAAACTTCATAAATGCACACGATCTTTCACGTGACCCAAAACATGGATGAAGTACGAATGAATCTCAAGAAAATAAAATTAGAGAAGTCAATCCAAACAGTTGCTTTTCAATTAAAATAATTTTGTCTTTAGCACATTTGTACACTCTTAAACCACACTTCTTATTACGCCGTGGGAAGACATATTATCACATGAATTTCAGTGGTACATGCATCGAGGTAATTAATTAAACACAGAGCCCTTAAATGTTTTCCACTGAGGGCTCAAAATTTTAGTATTGTTTCAAATTTCAAAGTGCTTTTGTTTGTTCTAGTCCTTATTCATTGCGTTTCTTGTCACGTTCGTATTACTAAATGTAGGAAGTTAAAAAATTACAGTGGAACCACGGTTCCGGAGAATTTGATGTAAATACGTCTCTGTATTTAAATTACATTTACGTCTCTGTAATTTAATGTAAAGTAATGTAATGTAATGTAATGTTATCTTCAATGTCATCCATCTTGTTACGAAAGCGGATTGTTGACGGCAGTAATGTAACACAACAATTCCGAGTAAACAGATGACGTTTCCTAGGTAACATACCAATGCACGCAAGCTGACCATTGTTGTCGGTCCATATTTACACATTGTTGTCGATTTGTTGATACGGATCTTACACATTTTTTGTCACTTTTTCGTAACACTTTTTTGCGGAATGACCCTTCCATATAGACGTATTTACGTCAAAAAGTGTTGGTTCGGAATTGTTATCCATACTAAATTTCATGAAAATCCTTACAGCCACTATCTAGTTATTAAATAAGTACAAATGGTTATAGATGACGAAGAGATCATGTTGGGTTCAGTTAGACTAGGAAGAGTCAGGTTAGTGATGTGCAAGCGCAGAGGATCATCAAATGGTCACTTGTGGCATAATGTGGATACAACATTTTGTGAATTTCTGTCCAGTCATTTTCCAGTTCTTAAATACGCAGTCTGATAACAGTTGAGAAGAGGCTTGGTTAATTTTGGTTGGGTTTAGGTTATGTTGTATTTGGTTATGTTACGTTGGTATTGCGCTTGCGCAGAGGACCATGGGTAATAGCGTCAAAACCATTTCACCTAACAATGGAACAGTCATGGTTGTGTTATTGAGTTTGTGAGGAAAACATTTAACTTCATTCCGTTGTCGTTTTGTTCAATGCTAAGATTATCACGCCAATCTAATTATTAAAGTTTGATCTTTATGTACATGTCATGCAGCATGCCCGAGCGTATCACTTTGAGTACGACCACCCTACCATGCATTTAATTTATATGTAATCATAGTAGATGGCAGCAATTTCCAACGATTGAAATCCATGTCAACCTTCATGTTTACTCTATGAAACTGTATGTGGTCAACAACATTATTTAAATTTTCTATCTGCAAAACTTAAAATTTGTAAAATATAATCCATATATGCCAGTGGTTTAAGTATCTCGTTCTTATTTAGTGTGACTAGAAATTACTTTGGTTCCATTCATTTATTAGCTCCGATTTGTGGTATTATCAGCGTGATTGTGTTGGTAAAATGACACATATCACCGACATGTTGGTAACAATATAGTTGAAGTAGCCAATGAAAATCAAGTTACAACCGGTGCTGAATTTTAAATGCTGGCTTAAAGTTTTGTCTGCTGGACTCTTCGTATTAACATTATAGTTTTATGCTGTAATTTAATTAGCTGGGATGAGTAAAGATAGGGCGGTGTAAGTGTCTAAAGATGTGTAAATTAGGCTAAGTATACGATATTTATCTGTATATAAAATTAATAAAACTTTGTGTTACTATGTATCGTTCCAGTTTTAGTATATGATGGAACGATACATAGTAACACAAAATACAAACTTCACGATTTAAAATTGGAAGTCTCAGTTCAGAATACGTACTAAAGACGTTCATGTATAGTCTTTATTTGAGGCAATTTGTTACAAGAAAGAAGCAAGGTGTATCCACATCGAGCTTTAATGTAGTGGTGTAGATGACCTTGGGGGGGGGGGTGAAAGTCCCTTGCATTTCTTCCCTTCAGTTTTTCTAGCATTGGTCGCCGTAATTGTCAACGTTCGATAACTATTGGGAATTCCAAGATTAGTCATCATAATTGTCGATAACTGTTGGCAAATTGATATTAAATATGTGCATCAGTATCAGGATTTTGATTGTGTTCACATCTGTATTTTCCAACCTATATCTTATGTAAAATGTCCCATCCTTAATTGCTTTACTTAAAATATTAGGTAATCAGTATTGTTTCTATACAGTTACTTCTATTATATGCATATATCTTAATCATAGACTGCTCATAACCTTATGAAATCTTTTTTCAGTTTATCCACTCAGTTATCACAAGGAGACAAAGGCAGCAGGGGCAGTTCACAGACATTTTCAGTAAGTGTTAACACAAAACTAGTTAACATAATTAACAATATGACCACAGAGTCTGTATGTTTTAGAGACACTCAAGTCCCTGTTTTATTACAAACGAAGACAAATTTGAGATTACTGAAACAACTATGAAAGGGTATGAACAAAATTCAGCACAGTTTTTTTAATGATTGGCAAACCTATGTATAATTTAATTAAAATTGGTACTAGTCTGTTTGAAAATGGAATGTTTATGCTGTTTTGGCAAAGAATTATCAATTATTCTTCTCTTTGTATTCTCCTGTTCTTTACTCCTCCAGAATTTCTGGGTCTTCCTGAGCTACAGTTCAGATGTTTAGTTACTGTATGTGTCTTCGCATACATTATATTGTTTTCACTTTGTAGATTTTGAAGCCTCCAAAACATCGCGGACCATTACAAGAGTTGGATTTCAGATTAAACACTGATGAGGATGCAACCTCTTCTAGTCAGTCATACAATAAGAGAGTCAGCTTTCATAGATCTGTACAGACCAAGTGAGTATACACATCACCTTATAACTGAGCCATTATGATTTTCAATTTAGTAACCCATTTCTGTACCACATAATTTCCTCTTCCATCAGAGTCACTTGAAAAGATCATATCTTCCTCACCATTTATTACATTCTGAAGAGGAATAGATGATGTAATCTACTGACCACATATAATTCTGTGCTTTTAACAAATCACATTTCATTCATTTGTGAACCTCTTTGTCCTACTTCTTTCTCCACCCCACCTTAATATTTTGTAATTCAATATGAGTATATGTTACAATTCCAGTTTCTCCCCTTGTTAAAATAGGATTTTGAGACAAGTTTTAATTCATAATGAAATTAACATTTCATGTTAGTTTGCTGCAAACTTTTTTAAAGTGAAAGTTAGTATTTTTCTGAATATTCTGTCTTCTACACTGTGTAGTCTGATAGTTTACCAACGTTTCAGAGGTCCTTGCTGCCGCCGTCATCATGGTGCCTCACCCATCTTTGCACTCACTGCCGTGAGAACCTCAAATCTTACTTAATATTTTTCTGGACATGCTACACTACTGCACTTAATCAAATGTTTGTTATTACACAGGGAGTTCCATGTGGAAGAGGCTGTGACAAATTGGGGGTTGACTTATGAGGAGACTTTTAAGAGTTCTTCTGATTCATCTCATCAGACTGACAGTAGCAGGTAAAAAATTGTGCTGTCGCTGTGTAACTGAATGTTGATACGTTGAATACCGGCAGGATGCAGTTTCTGCTATAGTAAAACCTGCCCATAAGAAATGCCATTAGAAAACTGTCAAATTCTAAAGAAATACTCAGTACTAAGATTTCCGTCTTCTGGGTTGTTGCGCTGTGTAGTCTGGTCGATGTTAACCAACGTTTCAGAGGTCAGTATATGCAGAAATATTGCAGGTATCATAATAAATACTGTTTGCTGTGTACACATATGGTTACATTTTCATGATTTTCTTTTTCCTCCTAATTTTTGTCTTATTACAATTAACTCAGATATGACTAAGTTATTTCAGTGTTTTCTTAACGTCATCCTTTAATAGTCTGATTACACTGCGATCTAATTTTGTGTTTCAGTTGTCCATCTGGCAGTAAAGTTACTATTTTTGATGGTCAACTAAACAGCCACAACCTAAAAACACCAATCCCTCCGAACTCGGATACAATAAGAGATGTCTTACGAGAAAGAGAAGGAATGGATCACTGTGAGAATAATCTCAGATTTCATGCAATCAACACTGATGATGGTGACAGTGATGATGAAAATTGTCTCCCTCTGATGCACATCTTTAATCAGTCAAATTATATGGACTTTACCAAACCACTTGATGTTAATCTGAATTTAAATCAAAACAGTTTGTTTGATGATAACAACATTGGACTGACAGAACCTTTGAAATACCATATTGGCCTCAATCAAAAATGCAATTTTGGATTATCTACAGTTCTTGATCAGGAACTGAAAACAACAGAAGAAATATGTACAAAGTTAGGAGGAAAATTGCTTGATACACATTCTGAATTCCAAGACTATACAAAATCACAAAATAAGGCAAAGGAAGGTTTCAGAGGTTTTGTTGGTAACAAGAGTGCAAGCATTGCAGAATCAGATTGTTCAGTGAAGGGATCTGATGAAAGGAGTGTTTATTTGTCTGTACCAAATGATATCTGCAATAGAAAAGTATTTTTCAACAAGTTTCCTACTACACACTCAAAGGAAATTTCAAATATTGATGGAGAATGTTGTATTTATTTCCCAAACACAGGAATACCCACTCAAATAAATGAGAGTGACATGAGCTTTACGCAAGTGGTTTCATGTAACCAAAATAAGTATGAATTGGATAACAATGGTCCAACCTTTCAGCCATCCCCAGATTGTGCCATTAATTTAGATGAATATGAAAATTCTGCACTTAATCAAAGCATGGAATTAACTAAAACTCTTCGAGAAATTAAATTCTTCAACAATATGGAAATGTTCAAATCAGATCTACCATATGACAAAATACAAGAAACTGGGAAGACAGTTATTCGTGCTAGTGAATTTGGTACCTCAGATTTCCAAAGCTTCAATAAAATAAAAGACTCTGGCAAAAGTCAAATGATGGATGTTTCCAGTTTGTTAACACACGGTTGCATCCAGGGCTCAGGAATCACGAACAGCGCGATTCCGAACAGAGTGTGCTTGCACAACACTAATGACGGAAATGTCCAAAACATGGACTCGGCTAAATTTCTTGGGAATCCTGTACTGATATACAGAACAGAAACTGATGAAATGGAACTCACATGTGAAAGAACACAGACCTCCAACCCAATAGAAGTAACTAATCACAATGATATGGAACTGACAAAGGAAATTAAAAGGAAAGAAATGTGTAATCCTGGAAATATGAACAAGTATGTCAGTGACACAGCACTAACAAGTGAAAGCAGACAGAAGGATATGTCCAGGCCAATGGACGTGTCCATACATAGTGATAGTGATAGTGACATGGAGTTAACAAATGGAATAGAAACATGTAATCGTGGAGAAGTGAACAAATATATCACTGACATGGAACTAACAAGTGAAAGCAGAAAGAAGGAAATGTCCAGGCCAGTGGAGGTGTCCAGACATACTGGCAATGATAGTGACATGGAATTCACAAATGTAAAAGAATGTACAGAAACATGTAATCGCGGAGATGTGAACAAATATGTCGAAGACATGGAATTAACAAGTGAAAGCAGACAGAAGGAAATGTCCAGGCCTGTGGAGGTGTCCAGATATACTGGCAATGATAGTGACATGGAATTCACAAATGTAAAAGAATGTACAGAAACATGTAATCGCGGAGATGTGAACAAATATGTCGAAGACATGGAATTAACAAGTGAAAGCAGACAGAAGGAAATGTCCAGGCCTGTGGAGGTGTCCAGATATACTGGCAATGATAGTGACATGGAATTCACAAATGTAAAAGAATGTACAGAAACATGTAATCGCGGAGATGTGAACAAATATGTCGAAGACATGGAATTAACAAGTGAAAGCAGACAGAAGGAAATGTCCAGGCCTGTGGAGGTGTCAAGCCATATTCCTAACACCACTGATATGGAGTTAACTAGCGGAATAAAGCGGATTGAAACATCTCATCCAGGAGATGTCAACAGACATATGAATATCATGGAAGTAAGAAGTGAAAGCAGAAAGAAGGAAATGTCCAGGCCAGTGGAGGTGTCAAGCCATATTCCTAACACCACTGATATGGAGTTAACTAGCGGAATAAAGCGGATTGAAACATCTCATCCAGGAGATGTTAACAAATATATGAATATCATGGAACTAACAAGTGAAAGCAGACAGAAGGAAATGTCCAGGCCAGTGGAGGTGTCAAGCCATATTCCTAACACCACTGATATGGAGTTAACTAGCGGAATAAAGCGGATTGAAACATCTCATCCAGGAGATGTCAACAGACATATGAATATCATGGAAGTAAGAAGTGAAAGCAGAAAGAAGGAAATGTCCAGGCCAGTGGAGGTGTCCAGACATACTGGCAATGATAGTGACATGGAATTCACAAATGTAAAAGAATGGACTGAAACATCTCATCCAGGATATGTCAACAAATGTATCACTGACATGGAACTAACAAGTGAAAGCAGAAAGAAGGAAATGTCCAGGCCTGTGGAGGTGTCAAGCCATATTCTTACCACCACTGATATGGAAATAACTAGCGGAATAAAGCGGACTGAAACATCTCATCCAGGAGATGTCAACAAATGTATCACTGACATGGAACTAACAAGTGAAAGCAGAAAGAAGGAAATGTCCAGGCCTGTGGAGGTGTCAAGCCATATTCTTACCACCACTGATATGGAAATAACTAGCGGAATAAAGCGGACTGAAACATCTCATCCAGGAGATGTCAACAAATGTATCACTGACATGGAACTAACAAGTGAAAGCAGAAAGAAGGAAATGTCCAGGCCTGTGGAGGTGTCAAGCCATATTCTTACCACCACTGATATGGAAATAACTAGCGGAATAAAGCGGACTGAAACATCTCATCCAGGAGATGTCAACAAATGTATCACTGACATGGAACTAACAAGTGAAAGCAGAAAGAAGGAAATGTCCAGGCCTGTGGAGGTGTCAAGCCATATTCTTACCACCACTGATATGGAAATAACTAGCGGAATAAAGCGGACTGAAACATCTCATCCAGGAGATGTCAACAAATGTATCACTGACATGGAACTAACAAGTGAAAGCAGAAAGAAGGAAATGTCCAGGCCTGTGGAGGTGTCAAGCCATATTCTTACCACCACTGATATGGAAATAACTAGCGGAATAAAGCGGACTGAAACATCTCATCCAGGAGATGTCAACAAATGTATCACTGACATGGAACTAACAAGTGAAAGCAGAAAGAAGGAAATGTCCAGGCCTGTGGAGGTGTCAAGCCATATTCTTACCACCACTGATATGGAAATAACTAGCGGAATAAAGCGGACTGAAACATCTCATCCAGGAGATGTCAACAAATGTATCACTGACATGGAACTAACAAGTGAAAGCAGAAAGAAGGAAATGTCCAGGCCTGTGGAGGTGTCAAGCCATATTCTTACCACCACTGATATGGAAATAACTAGCGGAATAAAGCGGACTGAAACATCTCATCCAGGAGATGTCAACAAATGTATCACTGACATGGAACTAACAAGTGAAAGCAGAAAGAAGGAAATGTCCAGGCCTGTGGAGGTGTCAAGCCATATTCTTACCACCACTGATATGGAAATAACTAGCGGAATAAAGCGGACTGAAACATCTCATCCAGGAGATGTCAACAAATGTATCACTGACATGGAACTAACAAGTGAAAGCAGAAAGAAGGAAATGTCCAGGCCTGTGGAGGTGTCAAGCCATATTCTTACCACCACTGATATGGAAATAACTAGCGGAATAAAGCGGACTGAAACATCTCATCCAGGAGATGTCAACAAATGTATCACTGACATGGAACTAACAAGTGAAAGCAGAAAGAAGGAAATGTCCAGGCCTGTGGAGGTGTCAAGCCATATTCTTACCACCACTGATATGGAAATAACTAGCGGAATAAAGCGGACTGAAACATCTCATCCAGGAGATGTCAACAAATGTATCACTGACATGGAACTAACAAGTGAAAGCAGAAAGAAGGAAATGTCCAGGCCTGTGGAGGTGTCAAGCCATATTCTTACCACCACTGATATGGAAATAACTAGCGGAATAAAGCGGACTGAAACATCTCATCCAGGAGATGTCAACAAACGTATCAATACCATGGAACTAACAAGTGAAAATAGGCAGAATCAAATGCCTGCTGAGTTTACTACTAGAAATATGGGCAACTTAGAATTTATAAATGAAGTAAGAGACAGGACATTCATTAATCCATCAACAGTAACTAATTTGTCTACCAGAGATATTACAGACATGAAATTACTTAAAGTAAATGAAAAGGGAATATATGCTCAGTCTGATGAGTTCAATGAATTTGCCAGCTCCAATGACATGGTGAACAGACACATTGTACATCATAAGCAAAGTGACATCCATATGGAGACATGTAGTGGGACAAATAATGCTAGTGGCACAGAAATGAGGAACAAAACACACAGAGTAGCATTTAGTCCAACCTCATTGTCAAAAGAGGGACAAACAGAAGATGTAACAGATGTGTCGTACCATTCACTGAAGTCTCGTAACATGAAAACAACTAGTAATGTTAAAGAGCTGCACAGTATTGATTCAGAGATAACACAGCATTCTGAACCTATTGCACTTATTAATTTGAGTGCTAATATTAGTACTGACAAGATGAGTCCATCTGAACCATCTACAGTACATGCACTTGGAAGTAATGAGAAACTGGATGTGAGGGACAATCCAGTTACACTAGTTAAGGAAATTGACGATATGCGTCACAACCAATTTTCTGAAACAAAACATTCCAGTATGGATGGAAGATATTGCGAACAGATAAGATCTGTCCTTGATATTAAAAAAGTAAATGAATCAGTAAATTGCAATAGTATGGAATTTAATGTTGAAAATAATATTTCCAGCAACACCTCAGTTCCAGATGTTGGTTTAAATTTGAGCATTCCTTCAAATATGAAGAAACTAGAAAAACGATCCCCTGAATGTAATATGAAATTGTCACATGTATCAAAAGTGAATCAGGAATTGGTGAATGGATCTGTTCAAAACGTTGCTGATAAGCTGTCTCTCTCACAATGCGGATACGGCCTGGAAGATTCAAAGTCGTCGTCAGACGAGTTAACTGAAGTTTGTGAAACGTGCAGAGGAGACAGTCGAGTCACGGAAGAAAACTTTAGCACGCATCGACTGTTGACTGGGACAAATACTTACACATCCAGAACTACTGAGGTTAAGAAATTTGATAACATAAGTAATTCTGTATACCATGATAACAAACAGTTTCAAAATGCAAAAGAGTATTCAGTGGATAACATACAAATGTTCAGGAGCCATGAAGAAGATTCATTTATATTGGAAGAATTGGGCTGTAAACATGAACATACCATTAAGCAGCCTGATTTGAATGAATACGCTGAATCTAGTGACCTATGTGTGAAAGCGGACATTGAAACACAAAAGAATTCCATGGAATCTACTGAGATGGAACAAAACCTACATTGCTCACTACTTCAAATTACACTAACATCCATACCAGATGAAATGGAACTGAGCGTCGTCAAAAATCTGTCATTTGAAACTAATGAATCTTGCGAGGAACTTGTTGACAGAGTGAGAGAGGCAGATGAAATCATAAGAGAAAGTATGTGTATGACATCATATGAATGTGCTGTGCCTGGTAACAGTCAGTCTGCACAGTCAGATTCTGAAGAGACGGCATTACTGCCACAAGAACTGAACATCAGTAAAAATCCTGCAAATGGACCAGTTACAACGAAGCAAAAAAGTGCTAAAGAGCACTCAGAAGCAGAAACAATTGCAAACAGACAACGCTGTAATCTAAATGGGATGTGTGCTAAGTCTCGTATCAATCAAACAGATGAAAAGATTAAACGAAAGGAATTATTGAAAGACACAAACGAAGTTGTACCCATGTCTTCAGTGGAAGAACAGATTAAGGCAAAAGAACAGAGGTCAGTGATAACTTGTTACTAATACTAGTTTACAGACTATTTATTAGCATAATTATCCTGCTTTTGCCTGGAATTAAACACATACTAATAATGGTATTTCATATGGATTTGTGATATTTATTTCTGATCTGCAAAAAATTTGACACATATATAAGCCAACAAATGGCTGTTTCACTTTAACTCAACCACATTTAAGTGTGATCACAAAAATCACTTCAATCAGCTTTATTATCTGTGTTCTTTTGATTTGGATGAGTCTTACATGATACTCTGACGACCCGTTCTTCAAGTGCCTGAGCACTGCGGGTCCCAACTTTTCGTTGGCTTTGATCTATAGACATTCGATAGGACTCCTTGGACGAGGGATCGGCCCGTTGCAAGGCCTCTACCTGTACCCAGGACAGCACAACACAGAAAAACGTGGACAAACATCCATGGCTTGAGTGGGATTTGAACCCACGGTCCCAGCGACCAAGCGGCACAAGGCCCACGTCTCAGACCGCGCGGCCACTGTGACCCCGGGATGAGTCTTATATGCTTCAATTGTATCTTCCCCTTGATGCCAGTTACAATTGTTTCTTCAACAGGTCTGACTGTCTATGGAATATTAAGGAAATGAGTGATACGCTTTGGTCCTTTCAATTCTTGTACAAATCACTGGTGCTTATTCTGAAACTTGATCCATGTGAGATGCAAGATAGCGGCAAACTTGTAACTGATATTCAGCTGATTTCACATGCCACTGGTGAGTTATGTCTGTTTACAATAAATTACATTTCAAAGTGCAATAAATACTCAGTTTATATTCTTATTCTAGCATCATCTCCATCTGCTATTCAGTTTTACTTGTATCTTATTTTTGTTTTCAGAAAAGGCAGATCCTCTTGTTAAATTCGTACATAATGTTCTTCTGCAAAAATTTCAAATTCAAGCACTGGATTCTACGTGCAAGACAACTCTGGATGTGGCTGAAGTCTTGGAAAGAATTTCAGCCGAAGTTAAGAAAACAAAAATATTTGTGAAAGATTTTATTGAACTGGAAACCTTGGACTTGATACAAATAAATAACAACTGGTAAATTTATTTTAAAAATTTAACTCTGTTAGAGATTTACTGCACTGGATTACTATAGAATCTAACTCGAGTCAGATAAGAGCAATCGTTTAATATTCTGTTCTCTTCATTTTTATTTCCAGTGTATCATTTGATATAGCAAATTTGGACATCCACACGTGGTTTCGTATAAATGTGAAAATAGACACCTGGGAAAATATTTCACCTGCTGATGTGTCTGTTGAAAATGTGGTTGGTAATGTAAGGTATGTTTATTTTAATCGAATAGAAATTTAATCTGTTGCATAATATGAATTTGTGTGCTATTCTTGGTTACTAACTGGACTAAAATACAGTTCCTTCAACATGCCCCATGATTGCCAGTATTCAAATAAGTCCCATTTTTATCGCTATTATATTTTAATTATTATAACTTTGTACTGAATGTAAATAAGAGCAATGCAATGTAGTGTATAAAATATGTAATTAGATATCCATTTATTGAGGGTTTTTTTATTTTCAGAGAATATGAAATCAAAAATCTAGTGACAGCAGCAACCAGAGGTCCAAACTGTCTTAGAGATTATGTCAGGATTATTAAAGAGTATGTGAAGGTACTTGCTAAAAACAAATGCACCTAAAATTTTCTATACTCGCATTAAAAATAGGAAGGTACGATATCTCTCGGAAGTGGATTGTATATAAACCAGGACTACACAACAGAAAAGAACACTGTGCGTAATAGCTATAACGCATATACAGAGCGTGAATGAGACAAGTACAAAGTTTACTTTAACTTAATATGGAAACTTCAACATATAACCTTAAACTTTTTCTTACAGGCCACATGGGATAATATGAATCTCAATGTGGAACAGTTTAAAGTTTGGTACCCAATGTCATAATTTATGGTCATAACATATGTAATTAGCTTCAAAATTATGGGCTAAACTCATTTTTAAATAAAACTGCTTCAGACTCATTGACAAAAATCTTAATGGACCATAAATGGTCGAAAAGTTTGTATGTTTCTTATACTTAATGGTACTGAATAAAAGAAATTAGTTTCTCTTTAATCGGCTTTAAATTCCTTATTATATCATGAACTGAAGACCCATTTTGCGAAAGATAATAATTGTGAAATTCTATGATATGATCTCCTGAGATAGAAAAATTTAATGGAGTTATGTGAGAGATACCCTGGTCCTCCAGGTTGGGGGTTGGTCACAAGGCCAACAACCTTGCACCGTAAAAAGGAAGATGTTTCGAAACCTCAACCTCGGACAGACGGACCTAACAGAGGACCGAAGGGAACAGGAGAATTCAGGAGAATTGAGAACCATAGAAACAGAAGAAGAAGAATGTGATATACTGGAGTTGTGATTCAACACCATTTTATGTAAAAAAAAATCACATATTTCAGATTATTCTTACATCACATGCCCTGTGCTTATGATAAAAAGTTTCCTAAAACAGAAGGATTTCTTGGTCTCTGGGCGAGATACTTTACTGTAATTTGCAGCTTTTTTTATAGAAGATAGGTAACAGATTAAACTAATGAATTCCTCCTAATGTCTCTATTAATACAGTTCTAGTTAGTGTTCATGTCATATAGATAATATGTTCACAAAATGAATAATGCTCACAGTTACATTTGGGTCGTCTGAAGTCCGAACAGGGGCCGAGTGCTGCTGAATCTCCCCCACACCACTTATGCCCTTGACCATAAGACAAGAAATACAACATACGTAGCCACAAAATTTTTGGTGAAATATTTTACAGTTGAAATAAATAGGTAACACAGACTTTAGTATTTTATTAACATCTGATTTGTACTGTATTACTTCAAAACACTGCACTTTTAGTACGAACTATTTTTATGATACAGAGGCCTATATATATATATATATGTACTTTCATATGGTATATCTTACTTATAAAGAGGAAAATACGAAGTCTGATAATGACTTGGTATGTACAGAATTATGTGATTACATAATTCAATATCTTTCTCTATAGAGTTGCTAAGACTGAGTTTGTCTTGTGGTTGAACACTGTTTCGTTAGCCCACAAAAGCAAATTAGAAAAGAAACTTGCTCACAACCTTCAATGGTCAAATTATCTTCCAAGCACGACCCAGTCTCGCAAACAACTAGACTCTCCAAGACTGAAAAGCATGCAAACGTCAAAATCAAAACTGTGATGATCTGCATTTTAAATTACTAATTGGTTCCTCCAAACTAGAAAAACCAAGAATAGTCCCCAGGCCGTGCAGTATTGAAAAATACTCGACAAATGGATTTTGCATCATAATATTATCTTTTCAAATGAGCTTTCTGTATACGGACTTTTGCTGCCGAAAACAAGGGTCTCATTTTGAATAACTTGGAGATATTCAAAGCAATGTAACGACAGTATGTTTGAAAAATTATTTATAGTAATAATTTCAGGTAAAGCTGAGATGCTGGGAATCAAGTACATTGAGAAGTCAAGAACATTCTTGAGGTTAAAAAGGTCCCCCACAAATCAGTCTAATTAATTTTAATATTTTATCACTGAAATATATAATAATATGCATCAAACATATAATTAGGATAATACAACTTTCAATTTAGAATTTCACTTTTTGGGTGTGAAAGGCACATTCCTGTGATCCTGATGCCACTCGTTATGTACTTTGGTGTAGCAGCTCTTGCAGTAAACATCACCATCACAGTCTAAGCATCTGATCTTTGGATTTTTGTCACAAATGACGCACCATACTAGCTCTTCCTGCAAAGCACAAAGCAAAAATGTATAAGAGCCAAGATAGAGTTACAGTAAAAAAGAAACATTGTCAACAAATTCTAGGAAAAATAAGCGGAGAGATGACTGTGTGTTCACAAATTTACTTAATAGTCCGTGATGCAGGGAGGGAAGAAAGTAGAATTCATTGTCATATTTACAGGTTTTGATCAAATCTGATATTGGGACCACCGAATGAAATCCAAGCTAAACATATCAGTTAGAGTCTGCAACAAGTTGACAAAATGAGATTTTAAGCTTTCACAGCAACTGAATGAATTAAATATTCTCAGGCTATGAACTGTGTAAATATGGAGGTAAGATCTAATATTCTGGAAACTGACTCTGCCTCCATATCGAGGTTGGCGTGCTATCATGTTTCCTGGTATGAGGCAACTATTTTTCATCATACAGAGAGCAAAAATATAATAAAAACTATGAGCCGCACATTGAGAACCCCTGTATTAAATAATACAAATTTTTGAACAGAACAATGTCATTCCTAAAGTGTATGTAATAAATACACACAAAACTAAACTTTCAAAATGAAACAGAAGGGATACAAAAAACTAATGTTCTTTGGCAAATCCTGAGGCCTTTAGCCTTTCATATATGCTGGGTCACATCAAAATATTTTCTTATTTGTTGTATTTTATTACTGTCCTCACCTCTTCCTCAATTCCTTCAGAATCATCCTCTAGTTCTTCTTCTAAAGCCACTTCATGAAGAGCCTATAAAAAAATACTGGCATGTTACATCACGACCGAGGCGAAATGTTATATGAAACAACCAGTGACCCCAATGTTCCATTTATTACAGCACCGTCATGTAGATGACCACTGGCCTTTGTCATCAATCGAATGAAAATTAACTGTATGAAAGGTTAACAGGTCAAACAGCGAAGTGAGAGACATCTTGGAAAATCATATTCTCTTAACTTACCTTCTGTATTGTTTCCTCTACTTCCTCATCTAAGTTTTCAGCCTCTTCAGTTGGTGTCTGAGCTGATAATTTAGTTTTTATGGCTTTCAAGCTGTGAAAATAAACAGGCAAGTACGACTTCAGTTTATCTTTAATGCTCAACTTAATACTAATAATTCTGGTACGTGCAATCTGTTATTGTCTCTAGACTTTAAATTCACAAAAGCTATTTTTTATGCTGTCATATTAATCGTGAAAAAAGGGTAGACAAGCAAGGGTCTCCAAAAAAAAAATCAATCAAAATCTGCACAGTTCTCAAGTTATGATATGACACAGCAGTGTGAAATAATGTACCAGAATATACTACTAAAATATTAAGCTTCTTCTTCTTCTTTATTACGCCTTCTCCTTTTCAGGAGTTTGGCGACATATTATGAACAGGATCCTTCCATCCTTTTCTCGGACTGGGACCTGTTCATATACGTTCTTGGCAGATGATCCAGAAGTGGTTTGCCATTGCCTTCTTCTGTGTGTGAATGGAGTAATTGTTGGGATGCCACGGAGAAACCGGGGAAGCCCTGGAGGAAAACTCCGTGTTGCCTAGACCACGGCCTTGTCCAACACAAGTTATAAATTCGGGCACCGCCGGGAATCGAACCCGGGGATTCAGTTTTGAGATGCCTTACTGATTACAACACTTGCCAGTGTTGAGTGTCTTTGTCCAACTTCTTCATTTCGTGACCTTTCATCTCCTTTTGCATCTGAACAAGGAAGGCATTCACATCATCTGCCTCCATGAAATCCTGACTTTCTTCAGTGTCAACCACCTCGCTCCCACTCTGTATCAATGAAAAACCACAAAACTTCACGTGAACAACATTCTGCCATCACCCATTTCCTTATTCTTGAGACAACTTATTCCTAACATGTAACAAAGTGTTTATGGAAAATTTACTGGATTCCAAGAATTAGATGTTCTTACCAAAGACAGACAGTGACATCACAAATATAATAACACACTTGACCAATGAGCATGACACCGAACACGTGGTTTTCTACTTCCCACCAAAAAAAAATACCACTTTATAATTAGTTTTTCAGTGCAATGCAGCATTCAGGTATGCCCAATTCCAACTTCATTTTAAGTCTGCTTCACATACGATGCCTCGCGTTGCTGGCATAAACATTTTTTCTCCTAACCCTCTAATTCTATTAAGCACCATCTTAAAGATACCCAAACTCACCAATCTCGGGCTCTGGTTACCTTCATGTTATTTGTTTTATACTTTTCACCAGAATAATTTGCACTTATTTATCATTCCCCTCCCTTCTGCAAGCATGACATTGAGAAGACGCACATAATTCTAGGGGGATAGACACCATTAACTTCTGCCATCATCGTAATCAATACTTATGTTGGATACTCGACTTGCTACAGTGAGAAAAAGTAGTTCTGATCACCCCTTCAAAATAAAAACAAATATACTCCCCACCATTTTTTGTCCACTAAAAATATTGCATTGATCATTAATGAATTAAATTCCCATCTGTTCTTGATAAATATTTTTGTACCTAACCTTAAATTCCTTCCTTGACAGGCCATAATAAATATTAAATTCTATACATTTCCAAATTCCCCTGGATAGTGAGCACGTCTTTATGTTGTCATGAAAAGACTAAACATTTACTAAGGACTGGTTTTTCACATTCCAGTTCGTGTATGAAATTACCATACCTGTTTATCACCTGCAGAGGTCTGACCGCTTGATGTATCTTGACCTCGCAATCTGGCGAGGCGTTGAGAAATTTCATCTACTGCATCTGGCTGTCTTGAGTCAAGTTCATATTCTTCAGAAAACTGCTTAACAAGACTATCTGCCTTTTCTTGACTTGTTCGTGTATCAGGAGGAATATAGCTCTGAGGAGCGTGAACAGAAACACAAAGGAAGCTATATCATCATACTAACCTGCAAGCATTCTACGCTGAAAGTCCAGTCAGCCCACATATTACCTGAGAAATGTCAGTTTCGAAATTCACCACCGACATATTTAAGTAAAATACAAATGTCAAATACTGATTCACTCAATAACGGCTACAAACATCAATGAAACATTTTTATCCTCGTCAGTACCGACAGAATACTTCTAAAAATGTATTTAGTCATTTGTATAAAGTGACAGACCGTACTGTCCAATCTGAAGAAGAATTACATTTTGTGAATATAATATACACTGAAAATCCCTCCAAAACCATTCCTCCACAGCACCAGTTCCACGAGTACAGTAATAAATATATAATTTGTGCCCTTCCCTCCTTTCTCTTAAATACATTTCTAATCCCTTATCCTCCGCAGTTCTTACCTGTCCTTGACATCAATCCCTCTTTTTATATTACACATCACATCAATTTTGATTTGTTTGAATTATAATTAAAAATACCCACAGAGTTTCAATTTCCATCACAAAGGACTAATTCATTTGAAACCACTCTGTTTGTGACGTCTAGTACCATTCTATTTCCGTGCAGTGATGCCACCGTAGCTGGGTCTTCTCCCTTCAGTTTTGCCAATCTCCTTGCCACCTCTTCTTCTGTGGGAACAGGTTGCTGTTTCCTGTCCTCTCTCAGCTTCTCCAAACGCTCTGCAATCTTACAGTCCACCTCACTTAGGCCCAATTTCAATTTCTGCATATGCTGATCTTTACGATATAAGGTTATGGGTGGGCGTGAAGGGTTCTCGAGGGACTCCAATCTCCTACAAAACCAAGTGAATACATCACGCCAGAAAAAAAAAAATAATTATCTTTAATGATGTAGGTAAAATTCATAAATGTTCAAGTCAATTTTTAATTCAATGAAACAAACTTGAGTGTAATTTCAGAATGAATTAAATGTAAAATACATGAACTATGTGTTACATTAAAGTGAGTTAAGAGAGCCCATAATATAATAATGCCCTTTCAGAAGAACCAAACAAAACATTGTGGTTAACCAACTAGCATTAATGCTTCATGCACACAACATAAACGTTTTGATTCTTGGCCTTGATGAAATGTCATTTTTCTCAGTCCCTCAAGGCAGATGCTATAATAGTATCTTGAAACAGAACATGGTCACATCCTTCCGCAACTCATTCATAAATTAGATAATAAAAATACCTAGTTTAAATAGAACATTTAAAATCTTACTTTCAACATGATTTGCAAGATACTCCTTAAAAATGACATACGTATATGTAATCTGCTGGATGATCAGCTAATGAAATTAAAAGGATCCATGGTCACATTTCTGATATAAAGTTTTACATTTTCTCAGAGAATAATGTGGAACACATCATGAAATGGCCAATGCTGAGTATGTACCAATAACACCTTTCGAGTCAATACAAGCAACATGTACAACATAGAAACCTGTATGATTAACATAAAACTCATATGGAATATGATATGTTTTATTCTGATCAGAGAAGAGATGATAATAACTAACCTGAGAAAAGATTCTGGAGGGCAATATTCCCCTTTGAATGATTTTGGATTTTCATTCCCTTCAATAAGTGTTCCATAGCAGGATTTACACACTTTACATACTGAATTCCCAAACTTGGGAACAGCTATTTGCAGTTTCAGGCATTTACTGCAATATGAGAAGCCACAGTTTGGGCAACCAACCTGCAACAAATTTACAACAGTCTTCAGAGAAACACTATGAAATGCAAATCTTATGATGCTCCATTATGATAAAGAATGTCCCATCATTGCATAAATACTGCACACTTTTCTGTAGAAAGGGAAGAAAACAGTACAGATTCTATCTTACATCTCTGTACCCAAAGCATCGTCTACCAAGACACTTTTGCAGCAGGCCTACTCAGTTAAGAATAGGTAGCCATTTCAAATAAAATTGTCAAAACATGTGTTCAGACCAAACAGATTTCACTTCAACAAACAACCACTGCACTGCTTCAAAACTTCATCTGTTACATTACAAAGGCACAATTTGAATCTTTGTCTGTTTAGGGTAAAAAATCTTGAAACACATACTTAGAATAGAGCATAACTTATTTTAATTCCATATATCCTTCATAGGCTATAACTGAGTAAACTGTGCTTCATATATGATTACTACAATAAGCCGAATCTTAACTTACCAAAGTAAAAAACTGACCAATGATATAATGTTACGAATATTCTTATTATAATACGTGGGTATTTGTGGTATGGGATTTAACATCTATTTAATTATTTTCATGTTGTTGCAGTACTTGAGTTTGCACAGACCCTTAACGATTCTCAAAAACTATGCAACTCTCCTTCTATAATACTTACCGTAAAATTATCTTAAAAAAATTGTATTTTCTGTACACCTACAGAACGTACCAGCCTTTCGTGTCCGAATTCCTGCCGTAGATTAATACGACGTAAAACAGGAAGGCCTTCAAATGTAATTCAGACGTTACTTATCTATACAGTACAATTATAAATTTAAGTTTAAATCAACATAAACTAAATTACACTTACATCTTTATTGAAAAACGTAAATTTGCTGGAACAACCTAGACACGACATACCGGATTACTGAACAGAAAAATCTCCTCAGAAACAGTCATTAACTGATGTTAATGATTAATACAAATAATGTTCACACAGTAACCTACAACAGCAAGAAGTGACACTAACCATATAATCATAATCAAAATATATCACACGTATTACCAATCTGCAAAAGATTATATTCAGTGCAGAGTACCAACATAGATTAGAAGAAACCACGAATTAAAAACACAAAATGGCACTACTTTATAACCCGCAGCAACCTAGTAATTGAACCTTCTCAAAAAATACACTATTTAATCTGATAGTATCAACTCAAGGAGAATATGATAGGCAGGACATGTAGCACACATCGGTATATAAGGAATGCATACAACATTTTGTCAGAAATCCAGAAAGAATGAAACCACTTCAAAGACCTTGGCATAAATGGAAGGATAACCAGCTGGGGGTTACTCCTGACCTTATACTAAAACACTGACAGTTTCCAAATTTGAATTGTATAATTACAAACTTTATTAAACATGTAAAACAAAAGAATATTAACACATCCCTGGGAAAATGTCACCACTGTTAAGGCATAAACAATTGCCAAGACTCTTTCAGAAGCTTAGAAATATGAGAAGACTCATCAAAACTGAAATCAGAATTAAAACATATTATAACACTGTGTTACAGGCATTACAATTATACAATTTTCAATCTCAGGAAGAGTTAGGTCCACTGGAGGGTTCTGAATAAACTTGCTACATAACTGCATAGCTATGTGTTTGTATGCACAATTTATCTTACAATGCATTATAACTCTGCTATCATTATCACATAAATTGAGCTTGTTGCAACTAATGATGCCATGTCATGACCTGACCTTCACTCAGCTCTCCTTCACTGTGACTGTTGCATCCTACACGTGAATGATCATATGGACCTAGAAATAGAGTTTGAATACATTAACAAACCATTTAAAGATCAACTGTAAAATGTTCAATATACATCAGAAATATTCACATTTATATATCATGATTACTGGCCTCTGAATTTCCAGAAAACATATATTTTACAATTCTCTGTCCACAATTGTTCATTGAATACAACAGAGACAGAATTACTGGGGCCCTACACTATTTTGATTTCAAAGGATGCAAACAATTTAGAATAATTATTTTAATAGAAATAACAATACAAAAGAGAAATATTCAATTTTTAAATTGAAGAATATGTAATGGAAATCTGATGACTGAATTAGTAAAAATTAACAAGGCCTTGTTACACACACACACACACACACTATTGTACAACAACACTTTTCAATCATTTCCATTATGGAATACTATTATGGCTGATTTCTCTGATATTACCTAGATTTCTCCTTGTGTGTCGCACTTCAGTATCTATTTGGGCTATGCTAAAACTGGGCATGGAGTTGTTTGTTTCCTGAAACAATTAATATTGTTTTTAAAGTGTTGCCGACCGAGAGACATTTCTCATGCGTACAGACAGATAGGTTATCATTGTTAAAAGTGTTACTAAAGAGGGACTTCTTAAAGACAGTTGTGTTAAAGAAATTCTAAATGGAACAGGAATCTGTATTTGCTTTTGCTTTGGGAGAACCTTAATTTCATATTCAGAATTTGTTTTATTGAATACAAGAGTATTATTCTTACCTCTGAAGAATCAAAATCATCTTTAACAGATGCACCTGAATGAACTACAATGCCATTAACAATCTGGGTTTTGCTAGCATGTCGTATCCAGCTTACATGTTGGCCTTTATGTAGCGTGCTATCGACTGCTACCTCTTCTTTACTGCACAGGCACTGAAATATGTGTTCAATTAATGTCAAAGAACTTCTTTGCTGTGATGAGTTGAACATTTACATTTATATTAAACATTAATGTGGTCAAATGCTCATTACTTTCACAATTCACATATATTTATGCAACAATGATTCAATTAAAATATATATTCAAATCTAAATTCAAATAAATACTAAATTTATGATGTATAAAAGTAATAATACTTCACCAAGAACTGAACTGGACATTTCCCTACTACAAAAGAGAAGCAGTACCACTCGAGACAATGTCTTGGTAAAATTCTACTTACATGTGTCCCAAACCACTGGCATTTCCATACTTCACCCACACTGTGGCTATTAGTGTGACATGAAGGGCTAAAGTGTCGATCATAAACGCCTGACACAAACAGCTCTCCCACGCTGCAGGAACTACAGGACACTATCAATTCACCATCTGAGGGTGATATCTGCTCCTGTACCACAAAATTTAATTACCATGGTAAGCAGCAGTCTGGTTACCACATTCAGACATTACACAAAGACAGCAGAGACACATACAAATCTTATTTCAGAACAGTATAATTTATGACCTAATGCCTGAAGTGCTATGTCAAGAACAGCGCAAGTGCCAAAAATATATTACATTCTTCACAGAAATGGCACTTTAAACATTCCTTAACTTTTATCATCCATATGTTGCTGACTATACACGCTGTGCATTGTACTAGCATACCATCCAACTGTCAGCTCTAGAGTGACCCCAAGAGCTATGCTGGCGGTAGCATAGCTACTGGTAGGGCCTCCCTAGCCAGATTGGTCGAGGGGGAGAGGTCAGACTAAGACAGGTATCCTGGTCCTCCAGGTTGGGGGTTGGTCGCAAGGCTAACAGCCTTGTACCGTGAAAAGGAAGATGTTTCAAAACCTCGATCAAAGTCTTGGACAGACGGACCTAACAGAGGACTGAATGGAAGTGGTGAAATGAGGAGGCCATGGACCAAATACGGACCAGAGAGCCATAGAAGAAGAAGAAGTCAACTCTACAATTAAAGTTGGACTGGCAGTCCTATAGCTCAGGTGTTTAAATAACCTACTGCTGTCCAGCATACTATGTGACCACCTTTGTCAACACGAGATACTCAGTCACGAGACTAGCTATCCTAACAGATTTTCTTGATTTTTATCAGTTACCCCAAGCAACTCTGTTTTGTGGCTGATATAACGTGTATGTGGCACTTACGTTGGAAACAGATGCACTTGTAGAAGTTGTTTCAGTAGTGTTTTCATGGGGACTTGACAGAGATAAAGTTCGTGGAACTACTTCATGTTGGACTGATACATCTTGCTGTGAAGTTGAGGAAGAACTCGGTTCATCATCCTGCTGACTTTGCACACAAACTAGGCCTCTATGTTTCTTATTCCTTATCTTCTCCATCTTGTCGTGATGTCCCGCGTCTTCCAAAATAGCATCCGTTTGAGTTTCAATGTCTATTCCTTTTATACGGCATGCAGTGTCTACTGGCTCATTTCTAATATGTGAACACTGTGGTTCTTCAGAATGAGTGTTTAACGTGTCGTATTGTGTTTCAGTTTGTTCAAGCAATGTTGTTTGCTGTCCTATGGACCGCATATTAGGTGTCCCTCTAGCAGACTTTGCCTTACACAGAGGTAATCCATGCAGTGAATCACCAACTTTGGCACCATGGGTACAGACATCGCTTAAGTCATTATTACATGCTGGTAGTGCAAGCTTCTGAGGTGGAAAACCTATAGGTGATGTACTTTTATCTACAGGGCTCCCAGACAAAATTGTAATATGTGTCTCATCCAGGTTTTCAGTTTGAATACCAGCGGATAACAATCCTTTATCATTGTGTTCCACTGATGGAATCTCAATGGGAGATGATGCTTTATCCATAGGTAACTCAGATGGAATAATCATAGGAGATGTCTGTCTGTTTACATGTTCTTTATCTGAAACACTAAAATATGATGATCCTTTGTGCACATGTTCCACTGGCAGAATACTGGTAGAAGATACTTCTCTACTCACAGGTATCTTGCCTGGAATACTAATGGGTGATGATCCTTTATCCAAACACATAGGTTTCTGGAAATATTCCTTGGAAGAAACTTTCGCCAGGCAGACAGGAGGTGTCAGAGCCACAGGTGATGTCGTTTCACGTGGTACAGTCACATAAGGATTCATGACTCTTGCACTGGGAGAATGGTATGAGTGTTTCTGTGAATGCTCTGATGAATCCTGAGACAAGGCATCCTCACTGTCAGCTCTTGATGTTTCTTCTGCGCCTCTACCTGCACAACGAAATAAAAGTTTGAATTCTTGGCTAAAAATGTTGATCACTGTCAACTCAACTAATCACAAACAGGAAAAGACAAAATTAAACATAAATAAATTATAACATTCTGTGGTAAAAACCTATTGGTTATAGCTAAACTGGCAACTGTATATAGTACACAGATAAAATAAGCAGTGGTCATAGCCTATTAGAAGACAATAGGAATTTTAAGCCCTTAACTGATAAAGATAAAGACAAAATACTAGGATACAAGCAGAAATAAAGAAGCAATAAAATACTTTGTATTTATTTATGGTATATTTAATGCTGTCATGAGCTCAGACTACTTAGTGTAGAAAACCTTATAAAACCACTTGTTCAACGCTTCATGTATCTCACTGCTAAATATATTTTCACATATTTTCTCATTCAGGCAAATGTGTTTATAATGAGTACATATATTTATGTATAGTTGCTTGGATGTAGGGATGAAACAGGAAAATAAGTATATATATATATACAGTTACAACAATTACTTGATACGTGCGAAATGTTTTCACTTGGTTCTTCCTCTTTATCATTTCTGCTTCTGCCCTCCTCTTCAGAATCCTTTAATTCCTCTTCCCAGTCATCCTCATAAATATCATCTTCATTCACACTTCTGCTATCATCTACCAGTAACATCTGTCGATCCTGAAAAAGTAATAAGGAAGCTTGAAGGAAAACTGGCAGTCTACGAACCACACTTTGGGAATCTCTGTTTTAAACTACTGTTCAAATGCCTAGTATTATTATCATCATCATAATCATCACCAACATTGTGAGAAGTGTTGTCATTGTCATTATTTTTGCTGCTGCTGCTTCTGTTCTTGTAAAAACATGATGTTGAAATTCTGTCACCCACACAATGAAACATATTTTTATTCCGCTTTATTTTCTTCCCATGAAACTTGTCTAAAAACCAAATCTGTTAAACTGACTTTCCTGCACCTTTCCTACCAAGTTCTTGTTCTTACTCTGGGAATATTCCCCATCCTGATTTCTTTCTTCATTCTTAATATACCCTCACCTAACCTCACTCTTCACAGGTAATTACATACTTTAATTGAACTTATTAATTATAATTGTAGTTACAATGTACCTTAGAATCAGTTGATGATGATTCAGTAGGAACTGATCTTATATCATCATTTTCCTCTTCAGCCTTTCCAATAGCACCTGTTATATGCTCACCTTCCACCCTACAAGAATAATAATTTTCAAAATGTTACACATTTATAGCAGTTTAAATGTTAAAGATTAATTTCACTGTACTAGCAATACATTCCACCAGAACAACTTCGTAATCACCACAAACAACCAAAAACTAACATAAATTTATTTCTATATATTACATTAGTAACTTACATGGTCATAAGTTTGAGCTGCCTTTTTCCATCGTTATGATCCTTAGGTCTATTCCTGCATGCAGCTGTCTTCTTGGGGATGGTAGTTGTTGATGACCCACTTGAAGTTTTGAGGGTTTGGACATGTTTTCTCCTATTATAATTATCATCAAAGCACTGCTGGTGACGATCAGAAACATCATGCCTTCTGTTGCCAATACCCGAGTCAGAATTAAGTTCTGCTCTACCCTGCCAATTACGAAAGCTATGTTTATAGCTACAGTCAACATTCCTACTAGTTGCAGCATGTGGATCACTTTTAGAAGAGCTGTACTTTGGCTTTCCTGCTGCTTGATAACTCTCAATGTGGTCATCATGCTTATTTCTATTGGGTAAAACTTTGGAAATGTTGTCATGTTCAAGGCGTTTCTTTCTACTACCATTATCAGCTTTCAAGTTTGTATCAGAAACTGATTCAGATGTATCGTAGGGCTTATCATTATAAATTTTATTACAAGATTCATCAGTTTCATCGCCTAGTTCAAGTATCTTGTTGTCAAGTTGTGACACCTTATCTGGGTCACTGTTACTTCTGTTACTCATATCAAAATGATGGTGCCATGAATTGCCCATAATGGGTGACCATGTTCCTAATGTTTTTGAAACCCTCTTCAGGTTTCTTTTTGGAAAATCTTGAACTGATATTTTAACTTCAGCTTCCTTATGTACATGAGCCTGTGTTTCCTGCTCATCGGTACAATATTTTACATTATCATTAGAAATTTTGAGTTCTGCGTCACTGCTTTTGCATTCACTTTCGAAATCCTGCTCATAACTGTCAACATCGCCGTTAGCATTACCCCCATCAGCTTTTTTAGACCTATTATATACTGCTTGAGTTTCCATCTGACTAGACCTATTACTACCATTGGAAATATCTTCGTCATAATCACGCAAACCTGAAGATGAAGATAACCGTTCTGCTTCTGGAGATCCATCGTATGATGTTTCCTGGCTCTTGGAAGCTGCTCTAATTTTGGTACGAAATTCACATTCATCATCTGATTCAAAATTCTGAAACATGACTTCCTGTTTGTTATTCTGTTTGGATCCTTCCACAAATGTTTTAATTGATCTGTTTTTTTTATTATTATCATTGTCCTTCAAATATTCTTCTGTTGCTAAATGTGCTTTGCAATCATTCAAACTATTTTTTCTGGTTCTGTCATTTGCAATGAAATCTTGTGTTTTCATTGTCTCCTCTTGAACTGTGTAACGTTTAGTTCCCGTCTTAGTTGCTCTAAACAAAGCATCAGTTTCTTCATTTTTTTGAATTGATATACTTTCTCCAGTAGGACTTCCGTCTATGTATTTTGCCTTGTTCATGTCAAGAAAGAACGGTGTTTCATCAAGTACAGAATTTAAAATTCTGTCCACCGCAGGTCCTTGAAGAAGTGAATATGCATCCACTTCATCTTTCTGTGTGTCATATTTAAACCTATAATGGCATCGATTACATTTTCCATTAACATATTCTGTACTTGGGACACTATTTAGACATATGTTACATTGAAATAAGCGCATATTGTTCTTCACAATTTGACACTGAACGCAATGACCGTGAAATAATTCTGACTTCGGAAAGTGCCTGAGGCACGTCTTGCATCGGTCCAGACGTGCTGCAGCTTTCGCTACATCAGGTGTTGGACCACACAAGTGCTGTTTTACTTCACGGCTTGGGGACAGAATATTATGGCATTTAACGCATACTCCACGGTACAAATCTGTTAAAAGATAACTATTTCTACACCTCCTGCACAAACTATGGTACTCTTTTTGAGAAAGCAGCTTCTTCGGACTTGCATCTGTCATCCTACTCCTCTTGTCGGACACAGAAGAAGCACGTAAACCTCTGGAACTTCTCTGTTCTAGAATGGAATGTTTTCTAGTTTCATCTTTTAGTGCAGTACCAGATGTGTGTCCATGATGAATGTGTTGCCTGTATCCATCTTGCAGTTTGGGATTGGATTTTAATACATGTTTATCGCTGCTTCTCCTATCACCTTGTGTTTTTGACGTGCAGTCCGTTTGGTCCAGTTGTACCTGACTATGTGATATTTCACACAATCCAACATTCTGTTGTGGTGGTACAAATGGTGGTGCTCCAGCGGATGGTAATGAAATACTAGGTACTTTCTGAACCGACAAATCTCGTTTGATAGTTAAACTAGGCAGTGCTTGAACTACTAACCTCCTCTCTGGTTGTGGGTCTGTTTTTTCTAAGTTTTTTTCTGAGGGAATGGAAGCTTTCATATGAACGACAGCTGAATTACAGGGGCTTACATGCATCTTCTTCTTGGCACAATTGTGTATGTCTTCGTGCTGGCCAGACCTACTATAATTTTTTAACGCAGATTTTAATACTTTTGTGTCAGTATTTTTGAAGGCACGTGCATCTTCAGATCTCAGTTTCCTTTGCGGTCTCTTAACTTGTGATTCCGCATATTCAAGACAGTGTTCACGATCACGTGAGCATGGCTGTGAATGATCATTCTGAGTCTGAGACTCATGCGTAAGTTTGGTACAAGCACACACATTTGAAGGTACAGGAGTCCTTGAGCTATGTCGATCATAATTCAGGGAGCAGTCAGGCAAGTCTGCTTTATTTCTTAAGACAATTTTGTCCTTTGTCATACTTTGCAACTCACCTCCAGGTTCTGGAATATTATTTATCTGGGAAGATAAATGTAAGTCTACACCATTGGCATTCTGAAATTGGGTATTCTGCCCTACCTGAGACTTGATATTTTTGAACTTCTCAAAACCCGAGTTACACAACTGTATATCTTTGCCATCCCTTCCTATCTTAACCTCCAAAATAGCGGATATTGCTTTTGCCTCAGTGAGGGCCCCTTGGAGGCTGTCCTGTGATATACGTATTTCTTTCTGAATGTCAATGTTGGTTGGATGCTCAGTAATAACGAATGGTTGCCTTGTGGGGTTCTTTTTAATGTTATCCTGTATTTGAATCTTTTTCTTTCTCTTGCATTCTTCTGAATCAGCTAACGTTGGTTTATTCTGTTTAATTGAAGACGATGGTCTCGTGAGACGATGCGTCTGAAACATAAATACACAGAATAGAATGTATTATTTTAAAATATTCTTTTAATATTCAATTATATCTGCAAGCTTTCAATAAATTAAATTATATTATTTTATTTTATATTATCTGTTTATAGGCCTCTTATTCAATTGTCAATTTGGACTCTTCCCATTGAGATAAAGGCGGTAACAATATTGTTAAAAGTATATATTTATATTACCTTGAACTTTAATTCACTCCCTTGAACAGCAGCACCGATTAGCTCTCTTCTTTGTTGTTTTTTGCCATCACTGTTAAAAGGTAATAAAATACATGAATTTTATAGCTTTTTTCTTTCTGCTCCCCCCCCCTCCTCCCAGCTTGCTACAACTGTATTTAACGTTTCTATGCTGGTTTTTGTTTAAATAAATAATGGAACAGTTCACATAAAGCTTCATTTCTCTTCCTCTTAGGGATTTCTAATGTAGTGAGGTTAGGTTAGGTTAGGTTAGGTTAGGTTAGGATGGGTTAGGTTGGGTTAGGTTAGGTTGGGTTATGTTGGGTTCTGTCAGGTTAGGTTAATTACTTAGCATGAGGCGATATAAATATCAGCACCAACACAGCCACACTGTGTAATCAGTATCACTGTATCATCAGACCTTGTAACATAAGTCAACCAACCTGGAAAATGGTATAGATGGCTGATTCTGAACATTAATTTGTTTCTCTTCAAATGCAATTCCTCGCTGCATATCAAGCAACTGAAGTTTGGTGAGTTCGAGGAGATTATCTGCTTGCACGAGAATCTTTGTATGGTCTTCTGAGGTGAGCAGAGGCAGGTCGAGATCCAATGAAGGGAAATCAAATTTATCATCCGGCTTCTTTGTACTCGTAGAATCCTGAAACAAAAGTAATTCAGCATCGCAGGTTCCTCGGTGCATTGTTTGAAAGTTATGAATATAACTGCTGAATTCAAAGAGAACAAAAGTGACTAAAAAAAAAAATGTGGGTGCCTACAAAAATTTGTCTAGGCTCTCTTTTATCCACCAATGATTTCACAAAGACTGCTGAGTCAAACAGGCCAATAAATCACTGCCAATGAGGCCAAGCATTGCCATTATTTTCTTACCAAGTATTTGAGATCATCCAAAGCCTCAAATGGCTCAGCATTCTCTGGTTTTGAAGCGCGGCTTGTGAAGGCCTTGGCTGACGTCCTCGGTACAGCTCCTTTGGACACGTAAGTGCAGGCAGCCTCTTTGTGGTCATCGGATCCATTCTTCACACTGGAACAGTCATATTCATACGGATCACCACAATGCTTGCCAATTTGATCCAAGTATTTAAAGGAATTCAAGAAAACTACTTAATTCAAGTCTTCTGACTTCACACATAATCAGAACTTTCAGCCCAGATACCAAAAATTCCAAATTACATTTGAGGTAAGTGTAAATGCAAGACATAGAGTATCAGAAAGGAGAAAAACACTTGCTCTGATTTTCAGGTAAGGTGAAACAGAAGACAGCAAACAGTGTAAGGCATGAAAGAAAATTAATATTATTATAACCATCTAAAATATAAGTAACAATACATGAGTATTTTAAAATCGAAACGTTGGTCACAAATAAATCAAAGAATCAACTAGAAATTCGTTTCAAAACCAGAATCACCGACCAAGAATGAAGCACAGTCGATCAATGCACATGACGTCTCGAACTTAACAGGTTCCTCTGACATTATTCACTGGAATCACCTGGAACTGGGATCTCCCGACACAACATCGCGGACTACTTACAATAAATCACTTTGAGAATAAAATGGCTCTACTGCGACGTAGAGAAACTACTTAGATATTAATCTAAAAACAAAATCAGGTTAACTGCATTAACACTAAAGCTGTATATAACAGCCACTCTCACACACAGCCCCATTCTAAGATTAACCGGGGGGAAAAAACAACAGAATAACAATAAAAATAAACACAAAATCCCCCAAAAGCCATAATATTTTTCACCCCCAAAACTCTGTGGTTGTTACTTGTTTCATGAAGTGAAAATACCTTGTTAATTTCTGTTAAACGTAGAAATTACTTATTAATGTATTTTCAGGGTCTCTGTGATGAACTCCAGAAGTTAGCCGCGTCTCAACTGAGGTCACGATCCGTGCCCACGTCAGCCGTGGGTTTTGTGTGGACAAAAGTACAAATGGGGTAGGTTTCTCTCGGAGTCCTTCGATTTACCAGGTCAATATTATTACACCACTTCTCTGTGTTACCTTATATGTCATACTAGGGATTGAGGCCCAGTTCCGCAAACATAGTCTCGACCCCAATAACGATATAACTTC